GTTGTTGATATTTCTTACGGCAATTCCGACTTGGGATTCATCCAGTCCAGCCTTTTGCATGATGAATTCTGCGTATCAGTTAAATAAGCAGGGAGACAATATACAGCCTTATCTTACTCCTTTCCCAATTTTCCTCTTAATGAGGGTGAAAGAGGAGGGCACAAAATATGGTCTGAAGCTCAACATCAAAAAAACGAAGATCATGGCCACTGGGCCCATCACTTCCTGGCAAATAGAAGGGGAAGAAATGGAGCAGTGAGAGATTTTACTTTCTTGGGCTCCATGATCACTACAGATGATGACAGCAGTCACGAAATTAAAAGATGCCTGCTTCTTGGGAGAAAAGCGATGACAAACCTAGACAGCATCTTAAAAAGCAGAGACATCACCTTGCCAACAAAGGTCCATATAGTTAAAGCCATGCTTTTCCCAGTAGTGATGTATGGAAGTGAGAGCTGGACCATAAGGAAGGCTGATCGCTGAAGAATTGATGCTTTTGAATTATGGTGCTGGAGGAGACTCTTGGGAGTCCCATGGACTGCAAGAAGATCAAACCTATCCATTCTTAAGGAAATCAGCCCTGAGTGCTCACTGGAAGGACAGATCCTGAAGCTGAGGCTCCAATACTTTGGCCACCTCATGAGAAGAGAGGACTCCCTGGAAAAGACCCTGATGTTGGGAAAGATGGAGGGCACAAGGAGAAGGGGACGACAGAGGACGAGATGGTTGGACAGTGCTCTTCAAGTTACCAACATGAGTTTGACCAAACTGTGGGAAGCAGTGGAAGACAGGAGTGCCTGGGGTGCTCTGGTCCATGGGGTCAGAGAGTCGGACACGACTAAATGGCTAAACAACAACAACAAGCACATTTCATAGATAAGTATGCTAAGAAACCACATGATGTGATCTACGCAGCTTTCATTGACTTGAAAACTGCATTTGACTCAATCTCGCAAGTAAGACTATGGGTGAAGCTGAACTCAACCATAGGCAAAAGATTACAGTACCTAATTAAATGCTTATACAAAGATACTGTGCTGAAAGTGCGCCGCTCCACAAATGGTCAACTTACAGGATGTGTACCAGCTACAAAGGGAGTTAAGCAAGGGTGTATCCTAGCACTATTCAACTTATATATAAATGACATTGTCCAGTGCCTAACAACTCCAGGGTATCATGCCCCTAAACTGGCCAGAAAACCCATCTCAATTCTACTATATGCAGATGAAGCGGTTCTCCTATCTCATACAAAAGTAGGCCTAAAAAGACTGATCAGAGCATTTTCAGGGTATTGCCAGAGAGAACAGCTGGCCGTGAATTACAAGAAAACCAAAGTCATGGTCTTCTCAAGAAACTATAGAGCCCCTAGATGGCATATGGACAACCAGCCAATCAAACGGGTCAAAGTTTTCAAATATCTTGACCTTATTTTCCAGTCCACAGGGTCATGGGGAGCACACCAGAAATGTGCAAAAGAAAAAGCGCCCCAAAGTACCAAAATTCTGACACGCTTTTTCCACACAAAAGGTTGCAAGCATATAACCTCAGTTCTGGAAGTGTTCCAAGCTAAACCCCTAGCACAGCTATTATATGGGGCTCAGATTTGGACTGGCACTCAACTGGCCTAAACTCAAATCTCTCTGGTCTAATACCCCTAGTGCAACAAGACTGTCACAAGAGTGCCTGGTCTAAAACTGTCAATCAAAAACTTCTCTCTTGTGGTTTATCCCCACAGCCTAAATGATATCGAGCGTCAGAACAACTTGACCACAATAAGGAAATTTTGCCCATGGTATGACCATTTTCCATCCTCCCACTTTGATTCTCTGGCACCCTATCTAGCAATTTAAAAAATATGGACGTGCCTTTACCCTCACAAGACTGAATGTACTGCCCTTGGCTGTGCTTGAGGGAGGATTCCAACAGATTCCATATGAAAAACGCTTATGTTCCTGTGGAGATGGCAGCACCGAATCAGTGGTGCATGCCCTCCTAGCTTGCACTCTTTACAAGGACCTGAGGAACGAGATTATCGCCCCTCTTTTACTGTCCATCCCGGGTTGCCCAACCACTGCCACAGTGTCTTTTCTCCTGGCAGATCAAGAGGAACAGAACACTGCAAAGGTTGCAAGGTTTCTAGCTGGGGCAATCAGAGTAAGGTCCACTATTTGACTGCTCATTCAGGTCTCTAAACTGTGTTTTATATAATCGACTTTTTATTTTGTTCTGTGTATATTGCAATGTTCTTTTGTTGCTATGGCTGATGCAAATAAAGTTTCATTCATTCATTCATTCATTCAAAGTGGAAATTAAGAGTTACAGAAACATTGGGGAAATGGAATAAACTGTCATGTGAGTGCAGCCTAAGATTCAACTGTAAGTCTGTCTTCCTGACACTGACTGGCAGCAGTTCCTCTGGGTTAAATTATTATGATTATGGTTATGATTATAATTGTAATTATAATTATTATATATTATTAATACTGCGCCCATCTGGCTGGGTTTCCCCAGTCATACTGGGCGGATTCCAACAAAAGATTAAAAATACATTAAAACATCAGTCATTAAAAAGTTCCCTAAACAGGGCTGCTTTCAGATGTCTTCTAAACGTCAGATACTTGTTAATTTCTTTGACGTCTGATGGGAGGGCATTCCACAGGGCGGGCACCATTACCAAGAAGACACTCTGCCTGGTTCCCTGTAACTTCGTTTCTCGCAGTGAGGGAACTGCCAGAAAGCCCTTGGCACGGGACCTCAGTGTCCGGGCTGAACAATGGGGGTGGAGACGCTCCTTCATGTATACTGGGCCAAGGCTGTTTGGGCTTTCGAGGTGACCACCAACACTTTGAATTGTGCTCGGAAACGTACTAGGAGCCAATGTAGGTCTTTCAGGACCGGTGTTATATGGTCTTGGCAGTCGCTCCCCGTCACCAGTCTAGCTACCGCATTCTGGATTAGTTGTAGTTTCCGGGTCACCTTCAAAGGTAGCCCTACATACAGTGCATTGCAGTAGTCCAAGCGGGAGATAACCAGAGCATGCACCACTCTGGCAAGACAGTCCACAGGCAGGGAGGGTCTCAGCCTGCGTACCAGATGGAGCTGGTAGCTGCCCTGGACACAGAATTGACCTGTGCCTCCATGGACAACTGTGAGTCCAAAATGACTCCCAGACTGTGCACCTGCTCTTTCAGGGGCACAGTTGCCCCATTCAGGACCAGGGAGTCCCCCATACCCGGCTGCCCTCGGTGCACCCAAACAGTACTTCTGTCTTGTCAGGATTCAACCTCAATCTGTTAGCCACCATCCATCCTCCAACCGCCTCCAGACACTCACACAGGACCTTCACTGCCCTCACTGGTTCCAATTTAAAAGAGAGGTAGAGCTGGGCATCATCCGCATATTAGTGAACACCCAGTCCAACTCCTCTGATGATCTCTCCCAGCAGCTTCATGTAGATGTTAAAAAGCATGGGGAAGAGGACGGAACCCTGAGGCACCCCACAAGTGAGAGCCCAGGGGTCTGAACACTCATCACCCCCACACTTTCTGGACACGGCCCAGGATGAAGGAACGGAACCACAGTATAACAGTGCCCCCAGCTCCTCTAGATGGTCCAGAAGGATGTTATGGTCGATGGTATCAAAGGCTGCTGAGAGATCCAACAGAACTAGGAAACAGCTCTCACCTTTGTCCCTAGCCCGCCGGAGATCATTGCCCAGCGTGACCAAGGCACTTACAGTCCAATGATGAGGCCTGAATCCCAACTGGAAGGGATCCAAATGGTCCGCACCCTCCAGATGTGCTTGGAGTTGTTCAGCAACCACCTGCTCAATCACCTTGCCCAAGAATGGAAGATTTGAGACTGGGTGATAGTTGGCCATATTGGCTGGGTCTAAACATGGTTTTTTTTAAGAAGCGGTTTAATGACTGCCTCTTTCAGCGGGTCTGGGAAGGCTCCCTCACAGAGCCCATTGCCCCGCAGAACCCTGCAGAGTCCATCGCCCAGCCCTTCCCAGCTCGCTTTTATTAGCCAGGATGGGCAAGGATCAAGGAGACAGGTGGTTGGTTTCACTCGTCCAAGCAGCCTGTCCACGTCCTTGGAGGTAACAGATTGGAAATGATTCCATGCAACTCAACTAGAGTTGATTCCATGCAACTCAACTCTCCCCCGGCCCTGCTCCCACGGTAGAGTCTACCTCTTTCCAAATCTGAGTGACTTTATTTGCAAAAAACTTTGCAAAATCATTGCAAGAGATCTTGGGGTCTTTACCAGGCCCCGATGCCAAAGGTGGTTCCATTAAATTGCAAACCACCTGAAAGAGTCTCCTGCTGCTATTTTCTGCAGATGCAATAGAGGCAGTGAAGAAAGTCCTTTTCGCTGTCGCTATCGCCACTTGGTAGGCTCGACGTTGAGCTCTAACCCGTGTCCGATCCAATTCAAAATGAGTTTCCTGCTACTGGTGGAATTATTATTATAATTATTATTATAATTATTATTACAGACAGGGCTCCTTCCCCCCCCTACCTGATGATGCCTGGTATTTGAATCCAAATCTTCTGGCACGATAAGGCATGTGAGCTTAGCTATGGGCCTCCTTACCTAGGGAAAAAGGCTGACTTTGTCTGTCACTGGAGCCCTCCCTCCCTCTCTCTCTCCCTCCCTCCCTCCCGGTTTGGCACAGGTGACTGCTCACCTGCCATACTTAGAAACAGGAAAAGAAAACACCATCTCCTTGACCCTCAATTGTGCATGCATCAAGGAAATTCTTGCTTGACATGCTCCACTAGGGAAATCGCCTTGCCAAGGCCCCGGCTTGTAAACAAAACCTGTGGGCAGGATGTGCCAAAGAGGTGTTGCTCAACTGGGCGTCCACGACACAGAAATGGGCAGGCAAAGCAGAGTCCCAGTTCCAATGACAGGGAGGGAGGGAGGTGGAGGCGGAGGAGGGCATGATTGGCTGCATCAATATCTACAAGAAGGCAACCTTTGTACAGTGGCACATCCACCTGAGTAAGCTTTGTTTGGTGGCGACAGGATCAGACGGTTCGCTAGCTGCATTCCTGCTCGGGGTCATCCAGCTTGCCTCTTCTGCCCCCTGGAGGTAAGTGGAGAGGGGCCCCCTCTTACCACGCACGCACCAAAGGCAGGTATGGAGAAAGTGGGTAGCAAAATAAGTTTTCTCTCTCTTAATCATTACTAAAATCAGGAGCCCCATCCAGGAGGTTCAGAACAGCTGTAGGAAAGGACTGCCGCTCCCAATTATCTTGCGGAACATGCTGCCACAACATGCTGTTCACACATCATACTGAGCTCAGCTACAAACTTGCCTCTAGACATTTGCAAGTGTTTGTGTGGAACAGTGTGTGCCCCCTTGATTTGTACAGCTCAGCTATTTGCATACAGATTGTACGCATGTTGGATGTTATTGGAAGACCTCTAAGGTATGGGCTGTGGCAATGGTAGCCCCTGGGTTTTAGTGATCTGAAAAGAAGTTTGGGTTAGGATCAGAGTTCTGTCCATGACTACTAGTCATGATGGGGAAATGGAACTTCCACATTCAGGGGCAGTGTATCTCTGTGCATTCAAGAGTGTCAGTTGCTGGGCAGCAATATTAAGATGTGGCTGTTGCTTTCATGTCCTGTTTATTGGCCTCAGCAGCCAGCAGTTGGTTGGCTGCTGTGTTGGGGAGCTCTTTTTATATGAATATATATATGTGTGTGTATATAGGCATTAATGGAGTTTTGACTATTGGCCAACATGCTGCCTGTCGGTTCCCTCGTGATATCAACATGGCTGCTAGCCATGACAGTTATAGAGCATCAAGGTTCAGGAGCAGTCTATCTTCAAATGCCAATTAGATGGGAAGCAATGGTGGGAGCAGGCAGTTGCTTTCATGCCCTGCCTGTTGAATCCTTGCAGGTCGTTATGGGAAATGGGAAGCAGATATTTCATGGGATCTGGGTCTGATCCAGCATGGCTCTTTTATTTTCATTCATACAAAGTGGTGCTCTGTTTGTTTGTTTGTTTATTTATTTATTTTATTGATTAAATGTTTATACGTAATATGAACTTTTCATAAAAGTGAATCAAGTCAACAAAATCATAATCAGTAAAAAGCAAAATAAAACATAATAAAAAACCCAGTAAAACAACAGTAAATACCAGTAGGTTAAAAGAAAATTTTATCCTGCGGAGGCCTGTCTAAGCGGTATAGTTTTTAGAAGGTGTTTGCCAAACCTCTACTGGCAGGGAGTTCCCCAGGGCAGATCCTGCCACACTAAAGGCTTGCTCCTAGTGAACACCAACCTCAGAGATGTGGGGCACCACTGGAAGTGCCCCATTAAGAGGTTCTCGGCTACTGAGATGGCGAGTAAGGGATCAGGTAATCCTGAAGGTACCCTGGGCTCAGGCTGTCTAGGACTTTGTGGATTAACACAAGTACAGTGGTACCTTGGGTTACATACGCTTCAGGTTACAGACACTTCAGGTTACAGACTCCGCTAACCCAGAAATAGTACCTCGGGTTAAGAACTTTGCTTCGGGATGAGAACAGAAACCGTGCGGCGGCAGCGGGAAGCCCCATTAGCTAAAGTGGTACCTCAGGTTAAGAACAGTTTCAGGTTAAGAACGGACCTCCAGAACGAATTAAGTTCTTAACCTGAGGTACCACTGTACCTTGAACCTGGTATGGTAGCAAAATGGCAATCATTGTAGTTTTCTTTCTGCTCTGATTTGCAGAGAACGACTTGTGTCTTGGCTTCACTGTAGGCTGAGATAACGGCAGCATTCCTTGTCAAAATGATGGTACACCTGCCATGTGTCCCCAGGCAAAGCATTTATTTAGAGCATTTGCAGCCTGCTCTAGAGGAGAAAAGCAAACTCTGGCACCAATTCTTAAACTGATTGCCACAGCCACCAATGGCAGTTTCATTTATTTAACAACTACTACTACTACTACTACTTTATTATTTCTATCTTGCCCATCTGGTTGTGTTTCCCCAGCCACTCTGGGTGGCTTTCAACAGAACATTAAAAACAGAATAAAACTTCAAACATTAAAAACTTCCCAAAACAGGCTGCCTTGAGATGTCTTCTAAAAGTCAGATAGTTGTTTATTTCCTTGACATTTGAAGGGAGAGCATTCCACAGGGTGGGTGCCACCATCAAGAAGGCCCTCTGCCTGGTTCCCTGTAACCTTGCTTCTTGCAGTGAGGGAACCGCCAGAAGGCTCTCGGAGATGGACTTCAGTGTCTGGGCTGAATGATGGAGGTGGAAACGCTCCTTCAGGTATACTGGGCCAAAGCCGTTTAGGGCTTTCAAGGTGAGCACCGAAACTTTGAATTGTGCTCGGAAATGTACTGGGAGCCAATGCAGGTCTTTCAGGACCTGTACTATATGGTCTCAGAGGCCGCTCCCAGTCACCAGTCTAGCTGCCGCATTCTGGATTAGTTGTAGTTTTACTACTATAAATTGCACAAAATGTTTTGTGCATCCGTGCCTAATCTCGCCCTGAATGAATGAATCTTTATTTGCGTCAGCCATTGGCCATAGCAATAAAACAATAATATGATATACAAAGAATAGAAATAAAAAGTCGATTATATAAAATAAATTTTAGGGTTTTGAATTAAATAGTGAAATAGTGGATCTTATTTTGATTGCCCCAGCTAAAAACCTTGCAACCTTTGCTGTCACCTGCTCCTCTTGATCTGCCAAGATAAAGGACACTGTGGCAGTGGTTGGGCGACCTGGAATGGACAATAAAAGAGGGGTGATAATCTCTCCCTTTTCTACTTTTTTTTTATTAGTGTGTGTTTTTCTTTTTGTAAATCTACCAAATTTTGTAAATCTACCAAAATATAAAATAAAATTGGGATTAAGGTTTTTTCTCAGGACGGTGGAAGGCGTGTGTGCTGTGTGCCGTTGGTGAAGTGGTGGTCTTCTTCTTCTGATAGGACATGCTGGGGGTGTGTGGAATGGGGGTTTGAGGAGGGTTAGCTGAAAATGTCCCTATTTTCACCTGAGGAATGTTGGAGGGAATGTTAGACCAGCTTCCTCTTTGTTATCCTTCCACAGGTAGGCTAAGGCCTACCTGTCCAGACAGACCTTTGGAAATTTAAGGAGCAGGCGACACTGATCACTGACTGGGCTGTGGTCCAGACAAGCAGGATTTTAGTAACTGGTTCCAAATGTGTTCTGATGTATTTCAATTATTGTTTTTAACTAGTCTGTTTTTATGACTCTATATTTTACAACTGAAGTTTTTAAATGCTGTGAGCCACCTTGAATCCCAATTTGGGAGTAAGGTGGGATAGAAATGTAAGAAATAAAGAAAGAAAGAAAGAAAGAAAGAAAGAAAGAAAGAAAGAAAGAAAGTCTGGGGAAATTTCCTGAGGGCCAGACAAAGAGGTATGGAGGGCCGTATTTGGTTCTCAGGTCTGAGGGATACAGCAAACATCCCACACACATAGCAGCAACACATTTGCCTCCCCAATGTAATAAGAGTATAGCAATGCTCAACCGATCTCTTAAAGCTCCATCATTTTAACAGTTTCATAGAAAAGAGAATTCTGGCCAGGACAGATTCTCTAGTTTCTGCAGCACTGAGAGGTGATAAACCCCATCTGTAAAGTTCCCTCATCCACAAACGACAAATGGTTCCGCACCTCATATTCCAGGCAACTATTCTGCTTATGTTTCCTCTCCTTGCTACTATTTCCCATGATCTTTTTTGTTTATATGATGTTTTATTCTGATTTGGTTTCATCAATTGTTTGTAGCTATAAAGAGAAAGCAAGATACGTGTTTATTATAATAATGATTTTAAAAGTGATTTCCAAATAAGTCATGTACAGAGGAAGTAAAAAAATAGATGGGCTTAAGTGTGACTAGCATCTGGATATGATTATGTTGATACAGTACAAATAAACCATTATTTGGATAAGATTATGTTGACATACAGTACAAATAAATCATATACAGAGCAGACCCATGGAAATCAAAGGGAAAGTATGACTCACATTGCCAATTACATAATTATTATCATCATTATAGGAGCTCTGTCCTCCCTCAGGTGTATTCCTGCCAATCATTTTCTCTACATAAAATAAAAATGGTGAGTGATACCATGGAATGAACCACCTTAGGTCCAGGGTCTACTTAGGAAGCTGTCATGATGACAGCTAGGTAGAATATTGATCTACCTAGCTCAGTATTGTCTACACTGATTGGCAGCGGCTCTCCAGGGTTTCAGACGGGGAGTTTTTCCCAGTAGTACATGGGTAGGAATTTAACTTGGGACTTCCTGCATGCAAGGCAAATGCTCTACCACTGAGCAACGACACTTCCCTCCTTGTGTGGGACACCTACCAGTTGACTACCAATTACAGACCAGGCCCCTAGCTCAGTAGAGCATGAGATTCTTAACCTCAGAGTTTCAGAATCGTGGGTTTGAGCCCCATGTTGGAGGAAAAGAGTCCTGCATTGCAGGGAGTTTAAGTAGATGACCCCCGTGGTCCCTTCCAACTCTTAAGATTCTATGACTTTCTATGAGTGAGTGACTCTGTGGTTAATATAAGATTAATACTGTAATAATAATAATAATAATAATAATAATAATAATAATATTTTTTAATTTATACCTCACCCTTCCTGGTTCAAAAACCGGGCTCAGGGCGGCTAACAACAAATTTAAAACACTTAATTGTAAAAGCAGCATAAAATACTGTGTAAAAACATGAATAACAATAAAATTCAAAGTTCAGAAATCACTTCGCGGGAAATCCATATAATAAGCATTCAATAGTCACCAGGGCCAGCTGGCTGAATTAGTCCTACTTGGGCCAGCAAGGAGGCCAGGGGAGAATTAGCTGTGGGGTCTCAGAGTGGGTGATCTTCATAAAAGGGGAGGGGGAGGGAAGAGAAGGGAAATAAAAGATCAGGCTGAGTACAAATTAAAGGCCAGGCGGAATAGCTCTGTCTTACAGGCCAGACAGAAGGAGATTAAATCCTGAAGGGCCCTAGTCTCATGGGACAGAGCATTCCACATGGTCGGAGCCATCACTGAAAAGGCCCTGGCCCTGGTGGAGGATAGTCTGACTTCCTTAGGGCCTGGGACCTCTAAACTATGGTTATTCATGGACCTTAAGGTCCTCTGCGGGGAATACCAGGAGAAGCGGGCCCGTAAACACGAGGGCCCTAAGCCACAAAGGGCTTTAAAGGTCCATGAATTTAGGCTGCAATATTGTACACACCCAGGAGCAATGGATACTAGTCCATTAGTGCAAATATGGCTCAGTCTCACTGACTTCAGTCTGCCCTCAGCCACTTCCCCGCTTCCTGCCTTCCTACTTACAACCAGTCCAGGAGATGGCCCAAGCTGCCAGCTTACTTCCTCTCCTTAGTCTCAGTGTTGCCTTTAACTCTGCAGGGAAGAGCATGGGGATAAAACTTACCTGGCTCTGCCTGTCAGCAGCTATGGCGCCACCCTCTGTTTAGCTCCCTGCCTTCTGCCCTACCAGTCCCAATGAGCACCAGCCAACACAGCCTGGAAATAACTTGCATTAAACTCAGTGGGGCTGCACTGTTAAACTTGTGGCTCATTCAGATTACATTTGTAATCACTAAGGCTACCATACACCATGCATTTAACACACACACACACACACACACAGAGAGAGAGAGAGAGAGAGAGAGAGAGAGAGAGAGAGAGAGAGAGAGAGAGAGAGAATATCATAGGAACTGTTGCTTGACAAGGTCTCTCTCTGTGTGTCTCTCCAGCAGTACAATGGCAGATTCAGAAGTGCAGGGTCCCTTCACGGTAATCACCCAAGCCTTCTATGATTACCAGGAACAAGCTTAAAACTTTACTCTGCTTATATTAGAACTGGATGTTTAATCCAGCTCTTGCAGAACACCAGCCAGCAGTCTCAATCAAAAACAGTGATAGGCTGATCAGAGAGGAGATAAGCATTCTTTCTAATAAAGTCCTTTACAAGGATCAGTGCAAGTAAAATAAAACAGGGGGGGGAGAACCAGTGCTTTTAAAAGTGAATTATTATACACAGCATATATGGGTGCTGCTTTGCATATCGTTCCGGAAACAATATTGTCCAAGGCCAGCCTCCTTTCAAAATGCAGAATATCACCTTTGTAGGAGGACAGATAATATTGCATGTTATGCACAGGAGTCAGCAGCTTGATGAGTTTCAGATGTTTTTTCTTGTCAGTCTGTTACTAATAGAACACCGGCTTCTAACTAAGGCCACATTCATACATTTAAAGCACCACTATACCACTTGAAATAGTCATTAAGTTCCCTCAAAGAATTTGGGATTCCCAGAGTTCCTGTGAAGAGATACTGACTGTTAAACCACTCTGAGAATTGTAGCTCTGGGGGGGTAATGGGATGTCTCCTGACATCTCTGAGCACCCTCAACAAACTACAAACTTCACAGAATTCTTGGCAGGAAGCCATGACTGTTTCAAGTGGTACCGTAGCACTTTAAATGTATGGTGTGGCCCAATAATGTATTGATTCTGCCTTCAGATTCCGATGATGATCCTTGAAGAAAGTTGAAGCAGAAGAGCTTGTAAGAGCAAGACGGGGGTTGATTTTGGGGGAACTTTCCTTGTTTTTAAAGGGTAGAAGCAGCAGTGCAGCCCCAGGAACAGGCCCGTTTCCTCAGCACCCTCATACAGTCACCCTAGACACATTTACCTGGGAGGAAGTCCCTTTGTACTCCATGGATCTTCTCCATTGAGTGGAAAGGGACTTCCTCCCTGGTACAGAAGCTGTTCTAGGGCAGCTCCACCGGTTCACCCACACAGGGCACTGAGTGGAGAGTGCGCCCAGTAACCACTTACCTCCTTCCCAAAGCCTAGTTAGCGCTTCCCCAGCTTTGGGAATGGGATGGGAGGGTTCGCACCTCCTTCCCAAAGCCGAGGACAGTGGCCTAGCTCAGGGGACCATAGTACCAAAGTCCAGCCCTACCAGGCAAATGTGATATGATGACTTAATGCGACCATAAATACAGTCATGCATCTCTTTATCATCTAGGCTGTCTGCTTGTTGATGTTAAATGTCAGACAGGTACCTAAGGTTGAGTTTTTACTCAGTAAAGACTGCAGACTGCATTTTCTTTCATTTGTTTGGAAGATTAGTAGTTCAAGGGCACTACGTTTAGGGGTCGGCATTGTACAGGAGCAACAGGCCCCTTCCGAACAACACACACTCCAGTGGGGGGCTGGATGACTGCAATTCTGCCCTTCTTCCCATGGGCATAGTCAAGTGGGGGGGGAGCTGACCCCCCAATCAATAAAAATAAATAAAAATGCATAGGTAACTGAGGTCCTGCTCCCCCCCTTTCCTACTTCCTTCCCCTCCCAGAGATCTGAACTGATTACTTGCAGAGGGATTTTGGGTAGGGGATATCTCCCAGCCCCACCTGGAGATTGTGAGAATTGGGAATTTCTGCATGCAAACTACTCCTCAGCTATGGCCCTTCCCCTAAATATAATTTTTTATAAAGCAAGAGTCCTGAACAAAGAGCTGTTTCTTTAAAATAGGAACATAGACAGCTGCCTGACCAGCATCAGTCAGACCCATTGGTCTTTCTAGCTCCATATAGTGGACACTGACTGGCAGCAGCTCTCCAGGGTTTCAGGCCTGTCCCACCTATTACTGGAGGTGCTGGGGATTGAACCTGCAGCCTTTTGCCTGCAAAGGAGATACCCTACCACTGAAGATTCCACCCCTTGTGCCAAAGATCTGGATGGATGACAGTGCTTGCGGAATAAGGTTCCAGTCCTCATGGTTCTGAGTATGAATAGAAAGCTGCCTTGTACCAAGCAAGACCATTGGTCCATCTAGCACAGTATTGTCTACACTGACTGGCAATGGCTCTCCTGGCTCTTTTCCCAGTCCTATCTGGAGATGCTGCTGGGGATTGAGCCTGGGACCTTCTGCATGCAAAGCAGATGTTCTACCGTTGAGCTGTCCCTTCCTCAGCATTAGGCTATTACTCATATCACAGGTGCGAGTGTGGTTTTAGAGTAAAAAATTTTTTATCCCTACTTCCCCATGTACCTTCAGCCTTCCTCCACACAAACACACACACACACAGAGAGAGAGAGAGAGAGAGAGAGAGAGAGAGAGAGAGCGAGCGCGCTATATTTTCTTGCTTTCCATGTCTGCCACTGAACCGACCAAACTTCCTGGATTTTTCCATATACCTTTGTTTCAAGTGAAATGACGCAAAAACACACTGCACCTAACCTTTCGAAAGCGAGACTTGAGTCTTATCGCACGATCCATCTTCATTAAATAATAATAATAAAAGTAGTGACAGACCTCAGCTGACAACGTGACTGTGTGCATTAGACATTTAAAGTGTTTTTTAAAATATTCTGCTCTTGCAGGAGAACAACCTGCCAGGCCGCTGTAAACTTGTTCAAACAGCAATGTTCTTGCGCTGTAAGAGATGTCAACGCCACTATTTTAAAGGGCATAGGAGGCTGTTGCAGCCCAGATGTTATCTTGCAAACTCCCCTGACTGAACCCTGAGCCCCAATTAAAGGGGATGTCATGCGTGCCATACCCTTAACTGGAAGGGCAGGATACCAAAGGATGACCAATTCATTTATCATAAATTTATTTACATTATTACATGTGGCATTACAGTATTTATGTTTACTTGTGGGATTAACTTACCCCATACATGCCAACTTGACAACTTCACTCTCAGGAATCAGCACTCTTACAAGTGCAATGCAATACTTGCTCCACACCTGAAAGAAATTGAAATTTTAGCTTGGGGGCACTTACACTTTGGAACTCCCTGCCTATTGACAGCAGGTGGGCGCCTTCCACATCTATTTAAAACATTTTTGTTTAGTCAAGCCTATCCAGACATGTAGATGTGACTTGTTTTATTTTTAGCAAGCGTTGATTTTAATCATCTTTTGAATATTTTGAATACCTGGTTTTTATCAATAATTTCAATGTTTTCTTTTATATAATTGTAAACTGCGTAGCTGTTCTTGTTTTTCTGGACACCACAGTTTAAGAAAGATATTGACAAGCTGGAGGTTTAGGATCAGAGTTTTCCTTCTCCTATATGGGCTGCCTTCCCAGGTTGGCAAGTTCCATCTGCCCCTCACTTCCCTCTACAGCACATGCAGAAACCACCTTCTTGACCATTGGACCCACTATTGGTCCCATCTGCTCAACCCGCCGGAGCCTGTCTTTGCATTCAGGGAAGTCCCTAACTCACCAAGGGTTTGAGACCCATCAGCTACCTTCACTAGGTTTAGCTGGCCAGTTGAAGCCATTCCTGGGTTGTGGCCGCTGTCACATGCTGACAACTTCTAGGAGCCACACATGAGAGCTAGGTGCAGAGTCGGGGCCAAAGGAGGACAAACTACCCCAGAAGGACATGATGTGTCACCCACCAGAGGTACTACCTCTCCCCTAACACTCCATACACCCCATTGTTAGATATAATAGAATTAATAGAATACGGGGTGGCGCTGTGGTCTAAACCACTGAGCCTCTTGGGCTTGCCAGAAGGTCGGTGGTTTGAATCCCCACGACGGGGTGAGCTCCCGTTGCTCGGTCCTAGCTCCTGCTAATCTAGCAGTTCAAAAGCATGCCAGTGTAAGTAGAAAAATAGGTACTGCTCCGGCAGGAAAGTAAACAGTATTTCCGGGCGCTCTGGTTTCTGTCATGGTGTTCAGTTGTGTCAAAAGCAGTTTAGTCATGCTGGCCACATGACCTGGAAAGCTGTCTGTGGACAAACACCAGCTCCCTCGGCCTGAAAACAAGATGAGAGCTGCAACCCCATAGTCGCCTTTGACTGGACGTAACCGTCCAGGGGTCCATTACCTTTTACTTTAATGAATAGAATAGAATAGAAATATATGATGTGGGGCTTCTCCAAATGGCCCATTCATTCAGAATTAATCCCAATTTCCTTACACAAAGTTTATGTGATGGTTAGACTAGGTCTGGCTTTATTGAGTATTTGTCCTGCTTTGTTTGTGGGGAAGTTACATGACAAGGAGCATTCATTCTGAGTTTATCTTGATCTGCTTACAGATTATTTACTTGTCTTCCCATTAGTCATTTGTTCATCCCACACTTTCCAATGTGTTTTTCTGTCACTTTCTAAAACATAAAAAGTCATTGAAAAAAAATTGAAAACATAGGAAGCTGCTTTATACTGAGTCAGACCCATTGGTTCTTCTAGTCCAGTATTGTCTGCACTGGCTGGCAGTGGCTCTCCAGGGATTCAGGCAAGAGAACATTTCTGGCCCTGCCTGGAGATGCCATTGGGGATTGAACCTGGGACCTTCTGCATGCAAAGCAGGTTCTCTGCCCCTTCCTCACAGGACTCAGTCATCAGGCTCCCTCAGCATTCTCTTTGCCAATCTTCCCAGGGCATGTTAGAATAGGTGTACAGGACTCCTGGTCTGCTGCCTTAATTAGTGTGCCTCCACCCTGGCCATTTCAACCAAGCCACATCAAGTGTTGGGCATGTAAGGTTGCAGCCAACCCAAAAGGGGTTTTTCAGGAAGTATCAATCAGCTGACCAGTGGCACATGCAAAGCCCTGTGCACCCAGATACACAACTCCGAAAGACCCAGCAATCAGCTGATTTCAAACCCTGCAACAGGGGATGATGTCATTGTGATACCAGGTGATTGACAAGTGGCCAGCACCACTCCCTGTCAGACTTCACCCGCCAAGGGTGGGGGAGGTAACAACCCGCTGGCTATCCAGATCTACCTCACCACACTTGGTTTACACAGACCAATGGGAAGGCAGCATATTTCATGATGGGCAGGTGTGACTGGTATCAAATCCTTCAGGTGCTCCTCCATCCGCATCCTGCCCCTCCTGCCCACGACTGGCTCTTTGGAATGTGCTGGTGCTGTTTGCCAAGGTTTTATTTCTGGGCAGAAGCCCAAGGCCTTGTTGAACATATGGGTGGATCCCTTTGTTGACCCTGTTTTTGTGAGCTTATTTATTGGCAGTGGATTTATCTAAGGCCTGTTATATATAGTTTCTTTGAAAGGGAATGTTAGACAAGCTATGCCAGCTGTCAAATGGGTGACAGGCAAGGAAGCTGCTGAATCAGACTCATTAGGCCATGGGTCGGCAAACTAAGGTCTGCGGGCTGGATCAGGCCCAATGGCCTTTTGGATCTGGCCCATGGACGGTCCGAGAATCCAGGCAGCCGGCATAGCGCGCACGATGGTTTTTGCAACTCAACCAGGCTTGGGGGTCAAAAGTGAGGCAGGCGGCTGCTTGAGGCAAGCCCCTTCTCTGTCTGTCATGTGCACGCAGCAATCTTTTCTTCCGGGGTGGGGGGTGGGGAAGAGGAAAAAGGAGCCACAGTTTGGATTTCCACAATGGAACTGCTGGTGACTGACCTCAGGAAGGGCAGTTGCGGGGGGTGCCTTGGGAACGACGCCCGCCAGTGTCTGTGGCGGCGGTGCTTCCCGCCGGAGGAAGCAGGGAGCGCCTGGGCGGCTGCACTCCGAATCCGTTCTGCGCTCTGCTGGGGAGGCTGCTTGTTAGCTACACTGTGCGAGCCATGGAAAGGTAAATAGCTGCTGCTGCTGCCTCGTCTTCCCTCACACAGGAAAAAGAACGTTTTGGCTTGAGTGGCGCTGGTCTGACTTAGCCTGGCCGACGGCGTTTCCCTTCACCCACGCATACGCACACGCTCTCCAGGGCTGACAGGAATGGTGTGCTTACCTCAGCCCCCCACCCCACCTTATGAGAGAAATATTAACTGTCAACGTGTAAAACGCAAAGGAAGCAGCGTGGGTGTATGAGGGAACCCCCCCAAAAAAGAATCACATTTGGGCAACATTGGGGTTGGTCCCAATAAGGGTTTTTGCCAAAAATGTGGGTCATAATCATGGCAACATATAGTCCGGCCCCCCACAAAGTCTGAGGGACAGTGGACCGGCCCCCTGCTGAAAAAGTTTGCTGACCCCTGCATTAGGCGATCTAGCTCAGTACTGCCCACACTAACTGGCAGCAGCTGTCCAGGGTTTCATGGAACTGTGTGAGAGTTGTTAGAGAACCCTTATCCCAGAATTGTAAAGGAATATGGGTCTCCTCTTTGCACTCTTAACAAACTACAGCTCCCAGGACTCTGTGGAAAGCCATGTCTGTTTAAAGTGGCATGATACTGCTTTGAATGTACAGTGCACATGTGGCCTCAGTTGCTTCACTAACTTTAGTTGGCTTGGGAAGAAATGGATGGAGGAGAGAAGAGCCATCAGCCATAGTAGTTGAAAGGAACCTCCAGGCAAGGGACAGGCAATTGTCATACAATGAGGTACTTTGTGAGATTACACAGTCTTAATCTTTTTTTAAAAAAAGAAAAGAAACACTTATGATATGTGAACTGCCAAATTCTACTTTTCAAGCAAGGGTAGGCCAGGAAAGAAAACGCAGGCAGAGAATACCTTTCAGAAGCTGGCAAGGTCTGATTGGGGAGGTGGGTTAAGGTAAGGTTACCAGGTTTTTTTCCAGTGAATCCAGGAACACTTTTCAACTTCAATGGATTTTGTCAGGGGACTGATTTGTAAATCTGGGGACTGTCCCTGGGAAACGGGGATGTCTGGTAACCTTAGGTTAAGGTGCTCATTTGTTGCATGTTATGGAAGAATGTCCTCTATTTGACAGCGTCCTCTATTTCTCTATTTAACAAGCCATCCCAAACAAGTCAACAACTTTAGGCGGGGATGCCAGTCATTCAGTTCCCAGCTAGTTGAAATTCACAAGAGGGGCATAAAGCCAACATTTTGTCTATAGTTCTATGCTCCCACCACCCGATAGAATATAGAGGTAGAGGTAGATTGCATTTGAACATAGATGCTCCATTCTTAACTTTCATGACTAGTAGGAGTCCTGTTGGATCAGATCAATAGCTTATCTAGTGCAGCATCCTGCATCTCCCAGTGGCCAGCCAAATGCCCCAGGGAATTCCACAAAGAGGGCTTGAAACCAAACAGTACTCAAAAAGTATTGATTGATTTTAATATTATCAACTTCTGTTCTGTCCCCTGCTGTTTAACGGAATTTGGAGGAAACCTGAAAAAGGCACGGCAGTTATTTCCTTGAAGAGAGGATTGGCGAAACCTGCCAAGCCCCCCCCCCCCCCCCCAATATTTATCTTGCCACAACATATAGTAGACTTCAGGTTCGTTCTCAGCTAAGCCACACAGCAAACTCTGGTGTAGCCACCAAGACTAACACATTAACCTTCCTTTTCAAAGCCAAAAAGGCACCCACCATGTCTGTCTATGTTCTATCCTAGGGTTGCCATATTTCAAAAAGTGAAAATCTGGACACAAAGAAATTGTTTTTGACCCGCTTTTAAGAAAATTCACCAAAATCTACATTTCCGACAAGGGTTGCCATACGTCTGGGTTTTCCTGGACATTTGAGGGATTTCTGCCTGGACACGACTGCTGAATCCCAGGAATCACCAGGAAATTCCAGGCATATGGCAACCTTATATCCACTGGTGAAGGCATTGCAACTCTGGATAACAGTTCCTGGGAATCACCAGTGGGGGAGAGTTGCTCTAGCGCTCACTTCCTGCTTGCGGCCTCCCCATGGACATCTGTTTGGGCCTTTGTCCTAATCTTGCAGGGCTCTTATTATTTGCTTCTGAGGAAAAGTGCTGATTCACATGCTGCTTGGTAAACAAAGAGCTGGTGTGGTATGAGCTGAGTAATCACTTGTTCAAATGTCACTCCCACCATAGATGCATTAAATTACCTTTAGAAAGCACTTAGTAGTAGGAGTAGCAGGAGACTCTTTCAGGTGGTTCGCAATTTAACGGAACCACCTTTACCTCCCAGGCCTTGTAAAGACCCCAAGATCTCCTACAACGATTTTGCAAACTTTTTTGCAGATAAAATCACTCATATTCGGAAGGAGCTAGACACCACCGTGGGAGCAGGGCCGGGGCGGGAGAGTGCTAGAGCTCTGTCTGGTCAAGTTGCATGGAATCAATTTCAATCCGTTACCCCCGAGGATGTGGACAGGCTGCTTGGACGCGTGAAACCAACCCCTGTCTCCTTGATCCTTGCCCATCCTGGCTAATAAAAGCAAGCTGGGAAGGGCTGGGCGATGGGCTCTGCGGGGTGGTGAATGCTTCCCTCTGTGAGGGAACATTCCCAGATCCGCTGAAAGAGGCGGTCATTAAACCGCTTCTTAAAAAACCATCATTAGACCCGGCCAGTATGGCCAACTATCGCCCAGCCTCAAATCTTCCATTCTTGGGCAAGGTGATTGAGCGCGTGGTTGCTGAACAACTCCAGGCACGCCTGGAGGATGCGGACCATTTGGATCGCTTCCAATCGGGATTCAGGCCTCACCATGGGACTGAAACTGCCTTGGTCACGCTGGTTGATGATCTCCGGCGAGCTAGGGACAAAGGTGAGAGTTGTTTCCTGGTTCTGCTGGATCTCTCAGTGGCCTTTGATACAATCGACCATAACATCCTTCTGGACCGTCTAGAGGGGCTGGGAGCTGGGGGCACTGTTATACAGTGGTTTCGCTCCTTCCTCCTGGGCCGTGTTCAGAAAGTGGGGGGGGGGGATGAGTGTTCAGACCCCTGGGCCCTCACTTGTGGGGTGCCTCAGGGTTCCGTCCTCGCCCCGAGGCGTTTTAACATCTATATGAAGCCGCTGGGAGAGATCATCAGGGGATTTGGACTGGGTGTCCATCAATATGCAGATGATACCCAGCTCTACCTCTCTTTCAAATCAGAACCAGTGAAGGCGGTGAAGGTCCTGTGTGAGTGCCTGGAGGCGGTTGGAGGATGGATGGCGGCTAATGGATTGAAGTTGAATCCTGACAAGACAGAAGAATTGTTTTTGGGGGACAGGGGGCGGGCTGGTGTGGAGGACTCCCTGGTCCTGAATAGGGTAACTGTGCCCCTGAAGGACCAGGTGCGCAGCCTGGGAGTCATTTTGGACTCACAGCTTTCCATGGAGGCGCAGGTCAATTCTGTATCCAGGGCAGCTGTCTACCAACTCCACGTGGTACGCAGGCTGAGACCCTACCTGCCCACGGACTGTCTCGCCAGAGTGGTGCATGCTCTAGTTATCTCCCGCTTGGACTACTGCAATGCGCTCTACGTGGGGCTACCTTTAAAGGTGACTTGGAAACTACAACTAATCCAGAATGCGGCAGCTAGACTGGTGACTGGGGGCGGCCGCCGAGACCACATAACACCGGTCTTGAAAGACCTACATTGGCTCCCAGTACGTTTCCGAGCACAATTCAAAGTGCTGGTGTTGACCTTAAAGCCCTAAACGGCCTCGGCCCAGTATACCTGAAGGAGCGTCTCCACCCCCATCGTTCTGCCTGGACGCTGAGGTCCAGCGCCGAGGGCCTTCTGGCGGTTCCCTCATTGCGAGAAGCAAAGCTACAGGGAACCAGGCAGAGGGCCTTCTCGGTAGTGGCGCCCGCCCTGTGGAACACCCTCCCATCAGATGTCAAAGCAATAAATAACTACCTGATGTTTAGAAGACATCTTAAGGCAGCCCTGTTCAGGGAAGTTTTTAATCTGTGATATTTTACTGTATTTTTGGTTTCTATGGAAGCCGCCCAGAGTGGCTGGGGAAACCCAGCCAGATGGGTGGGGTACAAATAATACATTATTATTATTATTACTTATATGGCCTCAGACAACTCACTCCATTCTCAGTCACAGCTACCTGCCAGTGAGAACTAAGAGCTTTCTAGGTTCCTGCTGCTGCTGCAGCATCAGCAGCACCTACGGAGTTAAAAGAAAAACAAAAACCAATTACACCTGTTTATCTACCGTGTGGCCTTGGGAGCTTTCTTTTCCATTCGGATATCTTTAGTGATCCATGTAATTGATTCTGGCACAAAGTCAAGCAGCAATCAGACGTGTCAGCCAGAGATTAACACACCCATACCCACACATACCAGGGCTTTTTTCCCCCCGGTTTCAAAATTTTCAATAGTGAAAGAATTGGAGGAATCGTCATTTAGAAGCAAAGTGCAAAAGCTGTCCAGATGTGGAAGTCATCAACTGCATCCCCCAGGATCCTGGGCTCAGTTACAACATAAGAATTTCCCCAGAATTTGCATTTGTTACTGATGCCCCAACTGTACCTGCCGTTGGGCAAGTAACTCACTTGGGAGTGATCTGCAGAGGGTTGGATTAGGTGACCCTTTAGGTCCCTTCCAACGCTACAGTTTTATGTTTCTGTGATTCGTGTTTGCCTCCAGCCATACAGAAATGCATTGCCCTGGTATACAGTGGTACCTCAGGTTACAGACCCTTCAGGTTACAGATGCCGCTAACCCAGAAATAGTACGTCGGGTTAAGAACTTTGCTTCAGGATGAGAACAGAAATTGCACAGCAGTGGCGTGGCAGCAGCAGTGGGAGGCCCCATTAGCTAAAATGGTACCTCAGGTTAAGAACAGTTTCAGGTTAAGAACGAACCTCCAGAACGAATTAAGTTCTTAACCCGAGGTACCACTGTAATGCATTTACTGTATCAAGCTTTCAAAATATGTACGTCTCCACCCCCATCGTTCAGCCCGGACACTGAGGTCCAGCTCCGAGGGCCTTCTGTCAGTTCCCTCATTGTGAGAAGCAAAGCTACAGGGAACCAGGCAGTAGGCCTTCTCGCTAGTGGCGCGCGCCCTGTGGAATGCCCTCCCATCAGATGTCAAAGAGAACAACAACTACCTCACATTCAGAAGACATCTTAAGGCAGCCCTGTTCAGGGAAGTTTTTAATGTGTGACAACTTGGTGTAATTTTGGTCTTTGTGGAAGCCGCCCAGAGTGGCTGGGGATGCCCAGCCAGATGGGTGGGGTACAAATAATAAATTATATTATTATTATTATTATTATTATTATTATTATTATTATTATGTACACGGAAATGGAAATAAATCCACAAAAGTTCCTATCCCCACCCACCTGCAAAAATAAAAACCCAGACTATTTCCCCATATGCCCTTTAGTCATTCATTCACTCATTTAATCTTGACTTAAAAGTGGCTATTCAGGACTGGTAATAAGCTTACATTCTAAAAGTCATAGAGGGGAGGGGGAAGGGGTAGCAAGCTCAGGGACCAGTTGCCCAGATATCCCTGTGACAGAAGGTGATTATGGTAGGGTTGCCATATTCGCAAAAGTGAAAATCCAGACAAAGTTGTTGTTAAGTTGTTAAATCTTTGGGATTTTTACAGCATTTTTCTTAAGAAATTGCTCTAGTTGCCATATATCTGGGTTTCCCCAGACATCTTGCTAATTCAATGAAAATCTGCCCGGATGCCATTTTGACAGCCTGATTCCCAGACATGTCCAGGAAAACCGAGATGTATGGCAGCCCTAGATGATGGACTCTCCCTTGTCAGAGCTTGGTTGGTTGGTCTCTGTCAGGGATGATAAAATGTCAAGATTCCTGTAGCAAGAAGGGAGCTGGATTAGAGGACTTCCCTGATCCCTCCCAACTCATGAGTCTATGATTCTATTATCTTGATGGATGGACAGAAAATTCTTCATGTTTTTATATATTTAGCTATGGGCAACAGATGGAGCAACTGGTACCTCCCAGCAGCCCTGGTGATTCTGAGCATGTTCTCCCTCACAGCCCTGCTCCTCATTGTGGTGGGAAACCACAATGTCACACTGCCTCCAGATAATAAGGTGAGTGTGCAGCAATACCTGATACCATGGACCTTTCTTTGAGGCAAGCAAGTCAGTTGTTTAAGAAATAAATGTCTTCCTATTATATGGGTGTGGGGAACCTCAGGCTTCTCCATTTGGCCTCCGGGACTCTCCCCAGGCCATACACCCCTCTCCAGTCACACCCCTCAGTGGGCTCTTTGAACTTTTCTGCCTGGCTGGAACATGTCCCCTTGAACTCTGGTTATAACTCTTCTTTGTCTGGATGAAGGGTTTGTGGGTGGGTATAGGTGTAAGCTAGCCCACTGTACAAAGTGAAGAGAAACACTCATTGCTCCACCTACCTGTTGCTGCTCACCCAGGGAGTTACCCAGAAAGAAATTTGGCCCTCCGGCCAAGGAAGTTCCCCCACTTCTATCTTAAACCCTGATGAGAGTTCAGTGGTTTGTTTGTTTGTTTGTTTGTTTGTTTGCTTGTTTGTTTCGCATTCTAACTTAGCAGCTCAGGTTTTGTATCACCTGACTCTTTCATTCTAAATGTCTCCCCCTCCAGTACGGGCTGGTGTTTGATGCGGGCTCATCCCACACCTCGCTGTTCGTCTACCAGTGGCCAATGGACAAAGAGAACAACACAGGCGTGGTCAGCCAAACCTTCTCCTGTCATGTCAATGGTCAGCTTCTCCTAGTTACATAAAAACATGGCAGGGGCATCTGAGGAAGGTGGGAGAGGGATCCAGAAGGTCTAAAATATCAGCTGTATTCAACTCCCAGTGAACAATACAACATTGATTATGGAATATTGAATACAGTTGACTCTCAGCTTATGTGGGGGTTATGTTCTGTACTGCATAAAGACAAAATTGCATAAAGACAAAATACTCTCTCTGCACCTCCGAATACCCTCCCAAGGTGAGTGTAATGGTGGCTGGGATTGCTGACCTTCCCCCTCCCATACAGGCACCTGCCCCCTTTTTATTTATTTGTAAAAAAATTCGGCCAAGCGCGTAAAGCTGACTTTGCGCAAATTAAATATGCCTAAGTTGTGAGTCGACTGTATATGGGTCACAGAGAGAGAGAGAGAGAGAGAGGGAGAGAAAGAAGGCATGTCAGAGAGGGGGGAGAAGCGATGTCACTCAGAGAGGGGGTATCAGAAAGGGGGTATGAGAAAGAGAGATGGGTGTCAGAGAGCGCTGGGGTGTCACAGAAAATAGAGGGGATGTCATGGGTGGGTGAAAGAGGGAGAGTAGGGATAGTGGGGATTCAGTTCAGTTTGCAATTAAAAGGGAACTTAACCTAATTCGCATTTTGCAAAACAATAAAAAACTGTTTAAAGTTCTGTCACAGCGCTTTTAATGTGTGGTGTGAATGTGGTCAAGGTTAAGCAAAATTACCTACAAACACAGGGATATTAGGATAAATTTGCACTAAAAGCCTTGATGGTGACTTAAAAAAATAAGCTGAAGATCTGGATATATGGGGAACTGAAATTAAGATGGGAAAAAGTAATATGTGCTTTTTTTGTGTTTCAGGGAGCGGGATATCAAGTTATGCCAAAAACCCTCCGCAGGCAGGTGCCTCCCTCAAGGAATGCCTGGATGCTGCTATGACCGTGATCCCCCCAGAAAGGCAGCAGGAGACGCCAGCTTATCTGGGAGCCACAGCCGGCATGAGACTGTTGAGGTACAAAGACAAAGAGCCAGGGTTTACAGAGTGAGGTGAAACCAGTCATGGTAGCAAAACAGCTGCCCAATAATAATAATAAAGGATCTCAGACTAGGAGTCTCAATTTTGAGTTGCTTTTTTTTTAAAGGAGCAAGTGTCTAGTCTTTACGGATGCAAATACAGTATAGGCTTGAAAGAGCAGCACTTCTAAGGGTACAAGGCATGGCTTAGGTCCAAGCTATCTGAAAAGCTCCATTCCATCATAGGAACTTGGCTGAGAGCTCAGATATTTAGGGGAGGCCCCTCCCACAGTCTCACCACCCTCACAGGCATGCTTGTTAGGGACATGGGAGAGGGCCTACTTGGTGGCTGCTCCTGGACTCTGGAACTCCCCCCCCCCCCAAAAAAAAACCTAGACTGGCCCCCTCTCTGGTGTCATTCTGCCAGCAGATGATGACCTTCTTGTTCCAACAGGCTTGGGAGAACTGATTTTTAAGAAAAGGACTTACGTTGTGCTGTTTATATTGTAACTATCTACATGTTTTTAATCTCTCTCTCCCCACCTCCTCTCTAAGTTTTAAACCTATGATTGTTTAATTCTTTTTAATTATGGTTTTTTTCCTATGTTTATAGTAATTCTTATTTTTGTATGTAAGCTCCCTTCAGTACTATCAGAGGGAAAAGGTGGGGTACAAATAAATATATTGTTGTGCATCACCCCAATACCTGAGCAGTGTGAGATTCCAGGGTTTCCGGTTGGCTTACTCAAGGTTAATGTTTCATTTCTGGAAAATAAGGCACAGCAGAGGCTGTGGTGTCTTGATGATATATGGTTTATTTACACACAAATACAAACTGGGCCTACAATGGAGGGATTCATCATATCAGTGCTGCCAGAGGAGCTTGCTTCTCCCACAGGTACAGCCATGACATCAGCCATTGTGCTCTGCCTCTGGCGTTCTATGTCACATAACTCCTAACTCTAACTCTAAGCTCTGTGCTTTATTTGTAGGCAGAGGCCAAATCATTTGCCACCTCACACCTTTCCTTTGATCCTCTGCTGTCCTAATGGTCCATTACCTCAGGCTATCATCTCATGGGAAGCACCAGCTTGGCTTAATGAGCTTTTTTAGCACATGCTGATTCATGAGTCTATAGAAATATCTCATACACAGCTTAATAATACACAAGATCAGGGAGACTATAAGTTTCGAGTGCACAACCTAATACACATGGGTCTATGTGATGGGATGATGAGCTGCTTGTGCGTAAAATCGTATCCCCTCAGAGTTTGTTCAAGTCCACAAACCTCTGTCTGTGACAGAGCCCCTCAGACATGTCTACTCTAGTCACTAGCAGATTCCGACAGTGGTTGCTTGCGTAATCGCTTCCAACATAAAAGCTCCTTAACGGAAACACGTCTTCTGGAATCTCTGCGTGACAGTTTCCGGCGAGGAGTGGGTGTTCTTACAGGAGGTCCTGAAACCTCTCCACTGTTTTCGCTGGAAGTGTCTCTGAGCCATCCCTCCAGCTCAGCTCCTCTCCCCCTGCTGGTTCCCTCATCAGCTGCTGCGTCTCTCCCAGCCTGTGTGAGCCCTTTCACCTCCCTGTTGGTTTCCTCTTCAGCTGCTGCGTCTCTCCCAACCTGTGTGAGCCCTTTCACCTCCCTTCCGTCCGATGGCAGTTCCCTGACATCCACCTCCCCTCCAGGGCCCCCTTCACCCCCTCTCGCCCCCTCCTCTACGGGCGGTGAGGAGGCAAAACCCGGAATGAACTTCCTTCATCTTCCGATGTCTCGAACACTTCTCTCAACCTGTTGCGGTTCCTGGTCTCGAAGTACACCTCCTCCTCAGAGTCCATCTCCCCTTCCCCTTCCGAGTCCGGGAATCCTTCCAACTCCTCCCCTTCATCAGTGGTCCCAAAGTATTCCCTCCGGAACCTCTCCACAGGCTGAGGTTTCCTTGGGAACCTTTGATGGAACGTTTCTATCAATACCTCGTCATTGATATCTTCAGCCATTACCCAAGTGTTTTCTGACTCCGGTTCTCCTTCCCACGCTACCAAATACTCCACCTGATCCCCCTTCCACCTGGCGTCGAGGATTTCTGCCACATGGCTGCTGCATTCTCTTTCTTCTACGACCGGTTCCCGAGTGGCCAGCCCTTCTCGTCCCCCTTCGTACGGTGACAGTAACGACCTGTGAAATACTGGGTGCAGTTTCATGTGGTTGGGTAACCGGAGCCTGAAAGCCACTGGGTTGACCTGTTGAATGACCTCAAAGGGACCCAACCTCCTGGGTCTTAATTTCTTACAACCTCCTTTGAACAGCAACCCTTGGGTTGACAGCCACACCCTATCTCCCACCCTTATGGTTTCACCTTCCCTTCGGTTCTTGTCTGCCTGCCTCTTGTATTCTTCCTTCGCCCTTTCTAAGTTGAGTTGGAGCTGACGATGGATTGCTTCCATTTCTTCCACAAAATGCTCGGCTGCCGGGACGCTCCATCTCTCCCCCTCTCCCCCTGGGAAAGCCCTGGGATGACACCCATAATTAGCCAAGAAGGGGCTCATCCCTGTGGACACATTCTCGGCATTGTTGTAGGCAAATTCCGCCAGCGCCAACTTTTCTACCCAGTCATTCTCTCTGTCATTGACATAACACCTCAGGTATTGCTGGAGGACACCGTTTGCTCTTTCCGCCTGCCCGTTGGTTTCAGGGTGCCGGGCAGTCGAAAAATTGACCTCCACCTGCAGTAAGCTCATGAGCTTCCTCCAGAACCTGGAAGTAAATTGTTTTCCTCGGTCTGAGACCACCCTCAATGGCACCCCGTGCAACCTAAAAATGTTTTCTACAAATAACTTCGCTGTCTCTTCCGCCGTGACTGCATGCGAGCAAGCTACAAAGTGGCACATCTTTGTTAGTAGGTCTACCACCACCATGATGGCTGTTTTCCCTTTGGACTTTGGCAGATCAGTCATAAAATCTATCGACACTGCCTCCCAAGGTCGTTCTGGGGTTGGTAAGGGTTCTAATAGCCCCGCCGGCGCCCGCCTTTCCCCTTTGGCTCGCTGGCATTGCTCGCACCCTCTTACATACTCACGTACATCTTCCCTCACCTTAGGCCACCAAAATTCCCTGGTGACCAACCACATGGTTTTGTGTTGTCCAAAATGCCCCGCCGTAGGGCTGTCGTGCAACTGCTTGAGTACCCTCCCCTTAACTCTCCTTCAGGGATATACAGTGCCCCTTTGTAATACAAAGCTCCATTTCTTTCCTCGAAACCCCCTGGTTCCTCTCCATCACCCCTAAGACCTCTGAGCTTATTCTGGGCGTATTCATCATTCTCTGTTTCCTCTACCAGTTCTCTTTGTCCCACCAATGCCGCCCACACACCCAGCGGTCTTCTGGAATGACATGTCTCTCTTCGGGTGCCCCCTCCCCCTCCAAATATTCAGGTTTGCGTGAGAGAGCGTCCGCCCTAATGTTCTCTGAGCCTGGCACGTAACTAATCTCAAAGTTAAATTTGGAGAACTCCTGGGCCCATCTCACTTGCCGTTGGTTGAGCACTCGTGCCGTCCTCCAATACTCTAGGTTCTTGTGGTCAGTGCACACTTGCACCTTATGTTGTGCGCCAATTAGCAGGTGCCTCCATCTCCGGAACGCCTCATGAATGGCTAGTAGTTCTCGGTCATACACCGTGTAGTTCCTCTCGGATTTGTTCAGCTTTCGCGAAAAAAAGGCACACGGTCTCCACTCTGACCCCTTCTTGCCTGGCTGCAGAAGCACCGCCCCAATCGCTCTGTCTGATGCGTCAGTTTCCACTCTCATCGGTTTTTGTAAATCCACATGCAGGAGTTGTTGTTCCGAGGCGAAGGCCCTTTGTAGTTCCTCAAATGCTCGCTCCGCCTCCTCAGTCCACACGAACTTCTTCTTACTGCTGAGACAGTCCGTAATGGGCGCCGTCAGGTGGGCAAAGTTTCGGATGAACTTACGATAGAAGTTCCCAAATCCTAGGAACCTCTGCACATCCTTCTTTGTTTTGGGTGTTTTCCATTCCAGCACAGCCTGGACCTTGCCGGGATCCATGGCCAATCCCTTGTCTGACAGGCGATACCCCAGGAATTCCACCTCCTTGGTATGAAACTGACACTTCTCCAGTTTCACCCACAGCTGGTTGGCTTGCAGCCTGCTCAACACTTCTCTGACGTCTCTCACATGCTGCTCCTCATTCTCAGAATACACCAACACGTCGTCTAAAGGCCACACAATTCTTGTAAAGCAAAGGCCCCAGGACGTGGTTCATAAACGATTGAAAGGTTGCGGAGCCTGCTTGTAGGCCGAAGGGCATAACCAAATATTCAAATGCCCCTAAAGGGGTGAACATAGTGGTTTTCCATTCATCCCCCTTCCTTATTCGTACCAGGTTGTACGCCCCCCTTAGGTCCAGCTTTGTAAAAATCTTTCCCTTCCGCACCCTTGTCAAAATGTCGTCAATCCTGGGCATAGGGAAGGCTACTGGTTCTGACACTGCATTTAAGGCCCTGAAGTCACACACCAGCCTGGGCTGCCCCCCACCGCCCTGGACTCTCTGATGAACCCTCTCTTCAGGTTCTTGTCAATGAACTCTCTTAACTCCTGCATCTCTCTGTCTGACATGGCGTACAGCTTGCCTACAGGGAGCTGTGCTCCAGGGAGTAAGTTGATTTGACAGTCAAAGGGTCTATGCGGGGGTAGTTGGTCAGCTTCCCTTTCGCTGAAGACGTCACGGAGATCTGCATATTGTCGTGGTACCTTCACGTTCTCTGTTACTTCAGTCCCTGCTAGGGTGGCTTGGACCCCTGCCAAACCCTTTCCCTCTTTGCAGTGTTCTAAGCAATGTGCTGAACCAAAAGAAACCACTCTCTGATGCCAGCCCACCAGCGGATCATGTAACGCTAGCCAGCTCATCCCCAATATAATGGGAGCTCCTCCCAAGGTGGCCACATTAAAAGCTATCAGTTCGGTGTGCCTTGCTACCTTCATTATCATTGGGACGGTTTGAAAGCTGACTTCTCCACCCAACAGCTCCCTGCCATCGATCGTGGTCACCTGCAGGGGGCTGCTTAAAGGATTGTCTGTATCTGGTGTTCAGCTGCAAACTCTTTGCTCATGAAATTGCAGGAGCTGCCTGAGTCCAACAGCGCCTTTATCTTTAGAGGGTGTCCGTTTGGCAGCTCTAGCGTCACTTCTATCACTAGGGCGGGTTTAGGAGGTTCTGGCGTGGGCACTCTCACTGCTCTTTGGCCTGGCTGCTGTGCCCTGACAGTGGCAGCCAGGCGTTGGCTTTTACTTGCTCCGGTATATTTTCCTCTCTTCCATCCACAGCCCCTACCATCCCTTGCCATTCTTTCCTCTGAGGGCAGACTCTGGCAAAGTGACCTGGCTGTTGGCAGAGATAGCATTTCCGGGCGCCTTTTCCCTCCTTCGTTGCCCCCTCACTGGGCGTTGAAACTGCGCGCGCGCGCGCTGTTCCGATTTCCATCGGCTCTGCCGGTGGGAAAGTTGGCTCTGGAATGTCTGGAATGCGGAACTCCTTCCAACGTTCCCCTTTCCCTTCCCGCCTCTCCAATGCTCTCGCCTCCTGGCGCGCTCCTATGGCCAGCGCTGATTTGGTCAGCTGGTCCATAGACTCCGCCCTGGGCGCCCGGGAAAGTTCGTCTTTCACAGCCGAAGAAAGCCCTTCTTCAAAGAGCATTTGAATGGGTTCCGCCGATAAGTCCCACCCCAATCTGTGAACAAGCATGGTGAACTCAGTCCAGTACTCACGGACAGATCGGCTCCCCTGTTTGCAACCCATTAACTGTCTGCGCACCACTCCCTTTTCAATATCGCTGGAAAACATCAGATCCATGGCGCGAAAGAACTTCATCGTGTCTTTTAAGACGTCACTATTCGCTGCCATCAGGGGTCTAACCCAGTCTCTCGCCCCCTTTTCAAGATGCTCAATCACGAAAGCCACTCGTGATTCCTCGTCAGGAATTCATCAAACTGCAGATTGAGGGCATATTGCATTTCTGTCCGAAAACCATGATAGTTTTGGGCTCCCCCCCAAACTTCTGCACCAATCCTGGTACCTTTCTGGCGAACTGGGTGGCTTTCCCCCTGTTGTCTGCATCCTGAGCCCTCCTCTCCTCAAGCCTCGCCGTCTGCATCGCCAGCTGGACCTCCAACATCTGGTACCTTTCTTCCAGGCTTGGACCCGCTCCAGCTCCTGCTTCTCCGGTTCCGGCTGGGTTGCTCATGATACCTTCTCCTGCACAAGCTGCTTTCAAAGACTGTCGGAATGCTGTGATGGGATGATGAGCTGCTTGTGCGTAAAATCGTATCCCCTCAGAGTTTGTTCAAGTCCACAAACCTCTGTCTGTGACAGAGCCCCTCAGACATGTCTACTCTAGTCACTAGCAGATTCCGACAGTGGTTGCTTGCGTAATCGCTTCCAACATAAAAGCTCCTTAACGGAAACACGTCTTCTGGAATCTCTGCGTGACAGTTTCCGGCGAGGAGTGGGTGTTCTTACAGGAGGTCCTGAAACCTCTCCACTGTTTTCGCTGGAAGTGTCTCTGAGCCATCCCTCCAGCTCAGCTCCTCTCCCCCTGCTGGTTCCCTCATCAGCTGCTGCGTCTCTCCCAGCCTGTGTGAGCCCTTTCACCTCCCTGTTGGTTTCCTCTTCAGCTGCTGCGTCTCTCCCAACCTGTGTGAGCCCTTTCACCTCCCTTCCGTCCGATGGCAGTTCCCTGACAGTCTAACTACAGTATTTTGACACTCCAAGCATTGATTAAATTCTGCCACATGCTCAATCCAGAGAACATAGTGGTCTAGCATCCACAAATTCATAACACTATAGTAGTAGTATCCAATGTGAGTCCTACGCAGAGTAGACCCATTCACATTAAAGAGCCTATGTTAGGCCCCATCTACACTATTCATTCAAAGTTATAGCATACCAAGTTAAACAGTCATAGGGACTGTAGTTTGTTCAGGGTGCTGAGCAGTCTATTCAAAGGTAGAGTGTCCCTAGCTCTGGATGTTCCTTTCAGCCACTGTGGATAGCTCTTCTGTCCTCCATCAATTTCTTGCAATGTTGTCCTCAATGCATCTAAAGTTAGTAGAGCAACTCAGGACCCAGCTTCATTGAACATTTAAAGCATACCTCTCTAAACAGTCATGTGTCTCCAAAAGAAGTGTAGTTTGTTCAGGGTGCTGAGAGTTGCTAGGAGACCCCACTCTCCACCCCCCCCCCGATCTACAATTCACCAAGTGGTTTTTACAATCAACCCCTCTTCCCAGGGAACTCTGGGACATGACTAATTTCAATGGTCCTACATTACATTGGCTGCAACCTTTCATTTTCAATCTTCTGCTTTCTTCACTACTCAGTTTTATTTGCATATACAGTTGTACTTTAAAAAAAATCTAGCTTTAAGTAAATCCTGTTGAATGCTGTTTGCATTTTTTATAAAATACATTGAGATTGATTGATTGATTGATTGATTGATTACTATATTAAGCAGTATATTTTTTAAAAGTACACACACACACACACACACACACACACACACACACTACTTAATTTGAAAAGTTATTTGCCTGTCAGTACTCTGTGCATTTGGACAACTCTTAAGATAGTGTAACCAAATTTTGGACGATGGTTCCTGAGATCAATGAATGAGCACTTCTGCATTTGATTACAATTGGACACCATTTTGCTTCAAGATGGCAGACTGAACCTTTCAAAACCACACCAATATTTGGGTTTCTTAGAATACCTGAGCAATGCTGGGTACGAAGCTGCCAGTATATAAATAAAACAAAATAACTCCAAATTAGCCTCATGCTTCCAAATTCACAGTTCTTCTTGGCAAATTACCCTACAGAATGGAGAATGAGTCTGCATCAAAACAAGTTCTGGAAGAAGTTGGCAAGACTATCAAGCAGTATCCTGTGAGTTTCCGAGGCGCTCAAATCATCAGTGGAGAGGACGAAGGTGCTTACGGCTGGATCACCATCAACTATCTGTTGGACTCCTTCACCAAGGTGGGGCTGATTCTACAAGACTATGAACAGGTTTAGGATGCGTATATCAGGCATATTGTTCCAGGGCTAGAACAAGAATAAGCTAGATATTTCTGGAGTACAGCTGCCATCTTCCCTGGCCATGCTGGTTGGTTCTGATAAGAACCCAATAAGGATAAGCTATGTTGTGAACTCCAAATACTGTTGTGCTCTCCAATCATTCCTGACCATTGGCTATGTTGGCTGGGGCTGGTGGAAATCCAACAACATCTGGAGGTCACTATTTTGGCTACTTGTGGGCTAGAGCATCTTATTAGAACTAGGAAGAGCTGGGTTTGAACCCTTCCTCAGCCCATGAAGCTGATCTTGGGCCCGTCACACACTCTCACGTAAGCCTACAGGGTTGTATTAAGGATAAAAGGATTTGCACTAGCTCAAGCTCCCTTTAGTTAGGGTGGGACACAAATATAATTCTTTATCATCATGATGCTGGCTGAGGCTTGAGAGATCCTATTCCACCATGAGCTACTACATTCTCTGTGCCTGCCACGGCTACTGTTGCTTAAATATTGCTTCTGGCCCTGCCCATTTCTCTAAGTCAGTGGTTTCCAACCAGTGTGCCGTGGCACCCTGGGTGCCTTGAATGATGATCAGGGGTGGCGTGGGCAACCCTAGCCTCTGTCCCTCTTTCTTTCCCCCACGTGTCTCTGCCTCCCAGAGGCTTGCCTAGCTGCTTATTGCAGCAGCCCTGTCTATAAGCTCCGCGGGCAAGGGTGCGGGACAGTACAGAGACTAGGGATGGCAGCAGCTGCTGCCCAGAGGACTCCCAAGGAGATGGGAGAGGAGGCTAAGGGAACACTCTACAAGGGAGGGTGTTTGAAAAGGGGTGAGAGGTTGCCAGCTCTGCAGGCAAGGGGTGACATAACTGGGCTTTTGAGCCCCACAGGGGTGTCGCAGAAAGAATGCAGTTGGTCAAGGGAGCCGTGGACTCAAAAAGGTTGAAAACCTCTGCTCTAAGGAGCCAATAACAGTTGAGTGGTGGGACATTTTCAAGATGCGAGATACCCACCAGCTGATTAAAGGGGAACATCCAGCCATTTGATGTGGGCCAATTTAAGAATACAAGCCCTGGTGGATCAGATCAAAGGCCTGCCTCTGGTATGGGGACTCTGTAGGCCCTCCAGATGTTGCTGGAGTTCCAACCCCATCAACCCCAGACTTTTGTGCTGAGGGTTTCTGGGGCATAGTAAACTAATCAGGTATGTTTGTTTTGAAAGGTCTTTAAGAGCTTACCCTTGTCTAGTCAAAAGACCATAGTTAATAAACTCTAGTTAAACCACTGGACCGGGTTCTCACGTAATGCTAAACCATGGTTTATCAAACTATGGTTGTGAAATCATGGTTCAATATTGTGTCTGAACAAGGCCATAGAGCATTAGGAAATGCTAACCAGAATAAATGAGGTGAGAAGATTGTTTTTTCAAAAGTGGGAAGGAGCTCAGTCCTAAAATCAGGTAGATCTCTAAATGATCTGCCACTTGCCAGGCCCCACAAGTGCTAACCTGTTGTGGTATCTCTGCAGTATTCTGCTAAAGACAGAGAATGGATTCACCCCACTTCAACCAATATATTGGGCGCATTGGATCTTGGAGGGGCATCGACCCAGATTAGTTTTGTTCCAGCTGGCAAGATCACTGATCCAAACGAAGCCGCTCACTTCCGACTCTATGGGTTTGATTACACCATCTATACCCACAGCTACCTGTGCTATGGTCAGAACCAAGCCCTCCAGCACCTGACCCGGATTATAATCGTAAGTCACCCGTTGCCAGTCAGAAGCTAGCTCTGGGCAGAGAGACTTGGCTGGTGGTGGGAGGTGTTAACTGAAAGGGACAGGAATATCATCTAGGAATATCATCTACAAACCCCTTGAAATCTCCTGAGATTCTTGGCAGACCACTTAATGATTTTTCTACCTGTTGTACCCATTGAAATGTGCTGTGCTAGATGCTGTATGACTTTTAACGGTATTTTTATTGCTACTTTTATTTCTTACATATTTTATTTTATTGTAATACAGTTTGTTGCTTTGGATTAAAATCGAACTAAAATAAGCAATAAAAATACACTTTAAATCAGTATGAATATTTAACATGAACGTGCGACAGACCACCTGAACAATGCTCACAGACCACAGTTTGCAAATCCCTGATCTGGGCTACAATAAAACAAAAATAGGGATCAAACCTTAAAGAATTTCATGCACAGTGTGGCTTTTAGATGTTCTTAAAGAAACTTAAAAAGCAGGCACCTTCATTGTATGTACTCTTTTCAGTGCCTTATAAAACCATACTTATTTAGGCAAGCCTATCCAGACTTTTTTGGGACGCGGGTGGAACTATAACCAAAGAGCCTAGGACTTGCCGATCAGAAGGTCAGCGGTTCGAATCCCCACGATGGGGTGAGCTCCCGTTGCTCAGTCCCTGCTCCTGCCAACCTAGCAGTTTGAAAGCACGTCAAAGTGCAAGTAGATAAATAGGTACCGCTCTGGCGGGAAGGTAAACAGTGTTTCTGTGTGCTGCTCTGGTTCACCAGAAGCGGCTTAGTCGTGCTGGTCACATGACCCAGAAGCTATATGCCGGCTCCCCGTCCAGTAAAGCGAGATGAGCGCCGCAACCCCAGAGTCAGTCACAACTGGACCTAATGGTCAGGGGTCCCTTTACCTTTACCCAGATTTTTAGAATGTTGGCATGTGTTTAATCTGGTTTTAATTTATCATTGATTCATTGATTTAATTCTGTTTACATTTTAAGCTGGGGGGAGTGGTAATTGTAAAGATTTATTATTATTATTATTATTATTATTATTATTCTAAAATAAAAAAATGACAAATCATTTTTAAATTGTACCCCCCCCAATAATTTTATTCATTGATTTGCTTTGTAAGGTTTTATGAAGTTATTAAAAATAATTTCGGATAACAAATGCAAATGAAAAGGTATAATTAACAGGTTGTAGGTAAACTTAAGGTTTATCCCAACTCTAATTGTCTTGTTTGCAGGAGTAGGATTGATTTGTTTTCAACCGCATTAGCCTCATCTGTGCTACACACTTAAAACAGTATCATACCACTTTAAACACTCATGGTTTCCCCAGAAGATCCTGGGATGTGTACTTTACTAAGGGTCTGAGAGATGTTAGGAGATCACCTATTCTCCTCTTAGATATACCATTCCCAGAGTTCCCTCTTCGAGTGCTAAACCACTCTGGGAAATGTAACTCTATGAATGGGAAATAGGGATCATTCCACTCCTCCAGGAAGTAATGATGGCAACTATTAAGTTGTGGGTGAACATATCAGACGACACAGCGATTCTTCAAACAGCTCTTGTTTATTCACAGGCCAGGACAGAACTGAACTGAAGTGTTCAGTCAGCCTGCTTATATAGAGCTCCAGTACAACATAACTGTAACAATTTTCTAAAACTATCCAATCACGGAAAGTCACTTTCGATCCCTTATTTGCATAACTATCTACAGTATCCCCCTGCTGGCCCAGGGTGAGAACTTCAGTACATAACACCCGCCAACTTCAATGACCAATCCATAGAGGAGGATAAGGCTATAGGTTCCACTTCCACTGTATGCCTCTGAATGTCAGTTGCTAGGAGTTGCACAGCACTATTGAGCTCAGGTCTTTGGGCTTCCCATTGGTGCATCTGGTTGTCCATTGTGAGAGCAGGATGCTGGACTCGTTGTGCCATTGGCCCAATCCTGTAGGGCTCTCCTTATGTTCTTATGAAGGTACATCTGGACTATGGTTTCACTCTGCGGTTCTCACCTCCAGAATTCAAGCTCATCGGATCGGGTCGATCACCCTTGCTACCCAGAAGGCTACATTTCATCCTTTACAACTGCGTCTGTCTATAGCAGTCCGTGTGCCAAGCAATCAAACCCACCTCCAGCCTCGAAGAACTTTACTCTGGTGGGCACAGGCAATGCCACCCTATGCCGGGAAACCTTCAAAAGTATTTTCAACTTCTCAAAAAACTGCAAATATAATGACTCCTGTGGTTTCAACGGGGTCTACCAGCCTAAGGTCAACGGGAAATTTCTGGTACGAGAGCATGCCAATTCATGCTAAAAAGTTGGGAATAGGGATGTTCCTCTGTGTGTCTGTGTTTGTCATGCCCTTGGGTTCACACAGAAGTAATGAATGGTCCAAATGCACATAGGTGTAGCCGTAGGGGGGGGCAACTGCCCCCCCCACAAAATAAATAAATAAAAATACTTAAGTTAAAGTAGAAATTGTGACAGATTTTTCTGAGTGCTTGGGGTCAAAAGAAAGTAATTTAAAACTTGTTGAGGTATTCCATTCCAATTCTGCTAGAAAGAGCCAGATAGAGGATGATGACAGGTGGGTGTCCTGCCCCCCATAGCATAAATCCTGGCTGCACCCATGCAAATGCAATGTATCAGTTGAATAATACTGGAATGTTTATTACTTTGGTTTATTGTTTGCTTATTCCACTGAAACATAGTTTTGATTTCTTTTTTTGTAATCTCTTTTTCTGTCTTGTAAATGAATTTCATTACTGATTTATCATCTGATTTTATTTTGTTGCAAGCTTTATTCAAGGACCTCATCCTTCGGTTTATTAGCTAAAGTAAAAAATAAAGTAGAAAACTGCTTTATATTGAGTCAGATTACTGGTCCGTCTATCTTGCTGGACTGACCAGGAGAGGAACTCCAGGGTTTCAAACAGGGTTCTCTCCAGCAATACCTGGAGATGCCATCAGGGATTGAACCAGGGACCTTCTGCATGCAAAGCAGATGCTCTACCATTGAGTGATGGCCTTTCTGCTAAAAAATAAACTAAGATCCTAGTTCTCATGGTTCTGAATAATGGCTGAATTAAATAAGAACATAGGTCCATCTAGTTCTCTCCCAGCCCTGCCTGGAGATGCTGAGGAATGAATCTGGGACCTTTTACATGCAGCATCTGCTCTACCACTGGTCTACACTCTTCCCCAGGCTTCTATAGCCATTGTTGGTTTGATGTCTCTCACTCACCTGCTCATGTTTTATTTTAAATTTCAGGCTTTTTCTGCCTATTACTATACCTTCAATTTCCTGAACTTGACTGAAACTCAGCCACTGGCCACTGTTGAAGATACTATCAAGACGTTCTGTGCCAGGAAATGGGACGAAGTAGGTATCCTATCATCCTGGTGTGGTTTGGAAGGAGGTCACAGGAGACTTGTTGACTGATCTGTAAAATGAACATATATTTACGAATATATCGGTTGAGGCACTCCAATTTGGTGGCCCAAATTCTGCTGCTTGCACAGCAGATCTCTTGGGCAGAGTTGATGAAGGACCTTTTTCTGCCTGAGGACAACATTCTCTTCTGGGCAACCAGACAGGGGGCCACATATCATTGATGTGTGGGGCCAGAAGTACAAGTGGGCATGGTTAGAGAGGCAAAGATGGGCAGAGCAACCCATGAGAATTTTCCCTTTCGTACAATAGCCTCTTTCTGTACACATCCCTATCTATCCTCCATCAAGCAAGAGGCATGATCAGAGTTCAAATGACACAGCCCAGCCCAGCCAAAACACTCAAGGAGGGCGCAGAACAGAGTTGCTGAGATGTGTAGCCTGGGGGAAGCAAGTTTTGCTGGAGAGGAGCCAGTGTGGTGTAGTGGTTAAGAGCGGTAGACTAGTAATCTGGTGAACCAGATTCACTTCCCCGCTCCTCCACATGCAGCTGCTGGGTAACCTTGGGCTAGTCACACTTCTTTGAAGTCTCTCGACCCCACTCACCTCACAAAGTGTTTGTTGTGGGGGAGGAAGGGAAAGGAGAATGTTAGCCGCTTTGAGACTCCTTCAGGTAGTGATAAAGCGGGATATCAAATCCAAACTCCTCTTCTTCACCTGGCAAGAGGCCTGAGGGCCAAATACAGAGATTTAAAGGGCTGGATTTAGCCCCTGTACCTGAGGTTCTCCACCTTTTCTCTAGGAAGACAGCTAACAGCCTTTGGATGCTACCAAAGCCCCAGTCTCAGTTCCCTGGGTCTGTTCTCAGCTTGCTCCAAAGTCATTGACAATGCTTTTTACTTACACAGAAAGGTGTTTTAGCAGGAATACAGTTCGACACTGTGATATGAACTACACCTGCCAAAATATCTTGTACTATGCAACCATGAAGAACAAACTGTAGCCCATGCTCCCTTATCCCAGATGAGGCCTTGTTTGAGGTACTGCCACTGGAGGCCGCCCAGCTGCCATTGACCTATGCTCATCCTGAAAGGTGCCACAAGACCCAAAGCTGTCTTTGCTGAAACACAGCTGCCCTTCTGGAAAGTCCTTAAGGTTCACACAACTGGACCCTTCAGTCACCTTAATCCAGGCATGGGAAACCCTGTCACCCTCCAGAGGTTGCTGAACTAGAATTCTCACCAACCCGCAGACAGCACAGCTCATGGCCAATGGTGGTGGAAATTATAGTCCAATGACATCTGGAGGGCCACAGGTTTCCCATCCCTGCCCTCGAATGATTTCAGGTAGTTGCGCTGAGTTGCTGCTGGTCAGAGTAGCCAATGTGGTGCCCTCTAGATATGGTCAGACTCCAACTTGCATCAAATCAGGCAGTATAACCAATGGTCAGGAAATGAACACTCTCCTACCTCAGCTGCTCTTGAAATGTTGTCTCTCTCTCTCTCTCCCTGTCTTTCCTCAGTTGAAATCCAGTTACTCCAGCGAGAAGGAGGACCATCTGAAAAACTACTGCGCTAGTGCCAACTACATCCTTACTCTCTTGCTGGACGGTTACGGCTTTCGAACGGACACCTGGAACAACATTGCCTTCCGGATGCGGGTGAGGGCAGAGATGGAGGTCATGTCAGTATATATGGTTTAGGTCCAAGGTATCTGAACCAGCCCAGGTTTTGAAGGGACTGATTGTTTGCAGAGTCTGTCCTTACCCCTTCTGTCTCTGCCCATTTCACTTCCCCACCCCCCACATAAGCCATTCCTTCCTCCTCCTTGCCAATGGTCTGAAAAAAATCACTTTCACAAGGGCTTCTGTAGGCGAAAATAGATATAGATTACCTGTGTGGGATAATTAACAAAATACTTAGCTGGAACTCTAGATCCAAAGCACAGGACTAAACACTTTCTCCAGCATGAGAGATCCCCCAGCAACAGAGTTTAATATTTTTTTCCAATTTTTTAAATTGATTTTCCAAAATTTTTAAACAAACAAACATACATACATACATACATACATACATACATACATCTTAACTGTACTTAATTCAATCTTCGTAACATTGATAAGTGACTTCCTCAAATCCCCCTGACTGAATTTCAGTATATATCATTGTAACAGTTTTCCAAAACAAGTTTCTCATAAAATTTACTTAATCACTTAACATCTTTCTTTTCATCTTTACTTTAAACATATTATTCTATAACTTCACATATTTAAATCCTAAGCCTATCTGTTATTTGCAAGTATTTCTATTTAAATTATCTTAGCATATTTAACTAAATAGTCTTTGAATTTCATCCATTCCTCCTGGTACTCCTCCTCCTTCTGGTCGCAGAATCTTCCGGTCAGGTTGGCTAGCTCCGAATAGTCCATCATCTTCATCTGCCATTCCTACACTGTTGGCACTTCTTGTGTTTTCCAGTTCTCAGCTAATAAAATTCTAGCTGCAGTTGTGGCATACAAAAACAATCTAACATCTTTTGGGGGCAATTCCAAACCTGTTATTCCAAGAAGAAAGGCCTCTGGTTTCTTAATAAATGTACCAGGTTCTCTCCCAGCCCAGGAGATGCTGGGGATTGAACCTGGGACCTTCTACATGCCAAGCAAATACTCTTCCTATGACAAGGAAGCTCACCTCTGCCTGAAATGCCAGCTTTGTGTTGGCTCATGGCAAGGCTATTAGCATTAAGTGGTGGGCACTGTGTTTGCCTTCCTTTGTGACTCTACTCTCTCTCTCTCTCTTGCAGGCTGCCAACTCGGAAATTGGCTGGACTCTGGGCTACATGCTGAACCTCACCAATATGATCCCCGCAGAGGCCCCCCGACAGCTGAGAGGGCACGAGGAAGGGGTGTGGGCAGCCAGCATTTTCTTCATTGCCGCTGTGCTGGCAATCTGTATTGCCCTGCTGGTCATGTATTTACTGCGCTGAGAGAAAGGGGCGGCATTTTGGACTGTTCACCTCCCTGCAGCCTCTGTGTGGGTTAGGGTGGGGCAGTCAGCACCAGCCCCTCAGCGGACCCACAAGCAAGCAAACACTAAACAGATTGGCAGGCGCCACCAAGCCAGACCAGCTTCAACTCCCTAAGACCCAATGGGACAAACATACACTACTTGCCCAACTAACACTGATTATGCCTTTTCTTTTCAGAAGTACATTCAGTATATAATTTATTGTACCGCAATCCCCCCTCCCCAGCAATATATTAGCTATGTAAACCATAAAGTCCCTGGTTCGAAACTTATCTCTTCCGTGAGCTGTTGCAAAGGCCAGAGGCAAGCTGCTTTCTTTCTCATCAACCCCCCCCCCAAAAAAAAAACACAGGGTGATGATAAAACTGTTCTGTGTTGCAGGAATCTCCTAAGACTCACTGGGAATAATGGAGGTAGGGCTTTGACCCTCCCCCCTCGAAAGCACTCTAGCAATATTATTATTAATGAAAATTAATTGTAATAGGAATGAATTTGCAAGTACTAGTAATATTGTTTCTCATCCGCTGTTTACTGGACCAGTAGTTCACTGGTGCCAACCTGCAACTGGCAAGTGCAGATGCCTGTCTTGGTGGGCAAGAGAGCGGGACTTCAAGGCTGCTTATCAGGTCTTCAGATTGATCTTGGCACCAAGGTGAGAGACCAGTTTAAAACAGATGATAGATTCTCAGGCAAAGGAATTGCAGGGTGCCAGGAGTCAGTCGGACAGGAGCTACAGTGGTCTGATTCAGGCCTGGAAGAGGAACTGCCTGGGATGGGATCCCCAAAGATGCAGCCACGGACGAAAATGCGGACTAGAAACACCATACAAATACTGTAAATACTTGGGGGAGTTGATTCTATGGGGCTGGTTCTCATCTCCCTGTTGTGGACAGCTAGTTACATTCTTTTTTTCTTTTTTCTTTTGCACCAAAATATTTTTGTGGGTGAAAGGATCTCTCTCAACCCCATCAGGAACAAACTTTCCACAAGACTTAAGGCATGTGCAGGCTGTCTTCATTTTCCAGTTGGGATTCCGTCACATACCAGCAAAATTCAAATTTGAAATGAAATTGAATATGAAGTACTTGGGCAACAAAAAGAGACCTGGACTTTTTGTGGCAAGAAATGAATGCGATGGGAAAATGCGTGGGATAGCACTTGCATGACCCGACACCATAGAAATTCCCTGCAAACAAATTGGAATGAGTGTGCAATAAACAGTTGGACACTGTATGACCTCCCTGCGAACTCTGCACAAACAAATCAGGACAAATGTTCAATAAACAGGTCATCAGGAACTGACCTCACAGTGCTCGCTAGAAAACTTTATAATTCTTTTTATTGCACATTTCTCAAATAAAAACTTTGCTAAGTGTTTACTGTGGACATATGAAACCAGGAATTATCTGCAGTGCTCTGTTTTTATTGAAGGATTTGGTAATGAAGACCAAATTTGGCTTTCAGAGAAACTTCTCTTTCATGAAGGAAGCTTTGCACTAGTCCTCCTGGGTTTATGAAACCAAGGATTACCCAGCAACACTTTTCCTTTTAGTGCAGGATTTGGTATTGGAGGCAGGGTTTGGCTTCCATGATTGGCTGGGGATGGTGGGAGTTGTAGTCCAAAAGAGCTGAGGGCGCCAGGTTGGGGAAAGCCTGCCTTACAGGCTTAGGTGGCTGTAAAAAAGGGGAGGAGACAAGTTCAGGGAGCTAGATCCACAGCATACATTTGAAGCACGCCTAGTGCATATTTAAAGGTTATAACTTCTCACAAAGAATCCTGGGAACTATAGCTAGTTAAAGATGCTGTGAATTGTAGCTTTGTAAGGGGGAAACCATAGCTTCCAGGATTCTTGTGGGGTGTGGGGGGTCATTACTTCAAACGTGCACTGGATGTGCTTTAAATGTATGTTGTGAACCTGACCTTAGTCATGAGGTAGGGACACAGGTGGCACTGTGGTCTAAACCACTGAGCCTCTTGGGCTTGCCGATCGGAAGGTTGGTGGTTCAAATCCCCACGACGGGGTGAGCTCCCATTGCTCTGTCCCAGCTCCTGCCCACCTAGCAGTTTAAAAGCACGTCAAAGTCCAAGTAGATAAATAGGTACCACTCTGGCGGGAAGGTAAACGGCGTTTCCGTGCGCTCTGGCACTCGTCACGGTCCTCCGTGTGCCAGTAGCAGTTTAGTCATGCTGGCCACATGACCCAGAAAACTGTCTGTGGACAAACGCTGGCTCCCTTGGCCTGAAAGCGAGATGAGCGCCACAACCCCATAGCCACCTTTGACTGGACTTAACCATCCAGGGGTCCTTTACTTTACCTTTTACCTTTTAGTCATGAGGTCTAAATTCACATTCAGCAGATCACTGAATCACAGTTGCTGGGGAAAGCTGCCCTTGGGGAATGGTTGTTGCCTTCCAGCCCTGCACATATAGCTTTGGTCTGATCCTGCAGGGCTCTTCTCATGTTTTTTTTTACTGTTAGCAGACCTTGCAGCTTGGAATTAGAGTGGAACAATCACTTCCAATTTCTGGAATTCAAAGGCTTTATTCATGCAGAAACTGTTTACAGAACGAGTGGAGATAGAAGGAGAGAAATAGCATATATCTTGTCTCAAAAAGTTAGGACAGAGCAACAAACAAAATAGCTCAGTTTTAGGGGTGGCATTAAGGATGACAAAGCAAAGACAATAAGCAAGTGCTGGCAAGATTGCTAGACCAACAGTGCCCTCTGGTGGTTTAAAGTAATTCATGCATTAACTACAAACTCAAGAGAAGGAAATATATTTGCTTTTCACCAACACTCCAATCCAATTAACTTTATTGTACTAGCCATTGGCCATGACAAATGTGAATCAAAAATAAATATAAGCAAAAGGGATGCTGCACCACAAATAATAGTCTCTATTTAGATCTCTGAGTTTCCCTTATATTTCACTGCTATATTGTCCAGGGTATTCTTTCTGATCTTCTCAGCCACCAAAGCAAAAAGGGTGACTTTATGAGTCACTGAAACGTTTCCATTACTAAGAAGCCAACACTTCACCAACACTTAGATGCATTTTCAGCATGTCTGAAGGGCAACACAGCACCTAATGGCAAGGGAAGGGTCGATTGTAGCATAAGTGATTGAATGGGTGGGTGAGCTAGAGGACAAGCCCCCTTTTTTCTGCTCTAGGAGCAGGTGTCAACAGCACTCTCGCACAGCAAAGCATTTTGGGAAAATGCCAGTGGTTCCATTGCAGCGTCCTTCCAGCCACTCCTCGTTCACTGTGAAAACACAACCAAGGTGAAGGCAGGTGGGTTTATGGCCAAAGGCACAGATCAAGAGAAGGGGATGAGGAAGGTGCCTCTGGTGCCTTTTAATCTGAGAGGGGGGAACATTTTTCCCTTCAGGGACCATCAAACATCCATCTCTGCCCTGCCTACCTTCAGAGAGGATCTCCAGCTTGTCACCTTCTTTGAAAGACAAATCCTCCTGGCCCTGAGCAGTGTAGGGGTGACACGCAATCATGTGATAGAGTGCTGGCCTGCTCGTGGTATCCCTTTGGGCCTTCAGAACACACACAAATGGACTGGATCAACACATGCACTGGAATCAGAGGGTTGGTAAGGAATCTCAAGGGTTATCTGGTCAAACCCCCTACCAATGCAGGCAATCCACTATTGCAGCACCTGTAATAGGTGGCCAGCCAGCTTCTAACAAAGGACAGCCTACCCACTTCCAAGGAATTTCGCTTCCACCATCCAACAGCTTTTACTGTCAGAATAAGGTCATAGAGGGAGCTTGAGTAAAACAATTAACTCTACCGCTTCAGGTTGGAGGATACCATTTCTGAATATTAATATTATTAATAAAAAATAATATCTCACTAAAAATTGAAAACAGCAAGGCAGGACTGGTGTGCTAGCCTCCTGTTTGCAGGGAAATTTGTTGTTGTTGTCCAGTCTTTAAGCCAGATAACCCAACACCAATCAACACGTACCTGGCACCAGATGGTCAGCTGACCACCTTCCATGCTTTGCCAGATGTTCCTCAGTTCTTCATCACTGCTAACAGGGATCAGCTCATCACTACCTGAAATCTTGTACCTGAAAAGGGTCAGTGATGCAATCATGCACAAGTACATAGGAAGCTGTTAAGGCAAGAGTGGCATGGACACACCATACATTTAAAGCTCATGGCTTTTCCCAAAGAACCCTAATACATATGCATTTTTGTAAACATTGTTGGGTTGGAGAACTGTGCCACAAAATTAGGAGAAGTGCAAATTTCAAAGGATAGCTGTGTACAGTGGTACCTCGGGTTACATACGCTTCAGGTTACATATGCTTCAGGTTACAGACTCCGCTATCCCAGAAATATTACCTTGGGTTAAGAACTTTGCTTCAGGATAAGAACAGAAATCGTGCTCCGGCAGTGCGGCAGCAGCAGGAGGCCCCATTAGCTAAAGTGGTGCTTCAGGTTAAGAACAGTTTCAAGTTAAGAACAGACCTCCAGAACGAATTAAGTACTTAACCAGAGGTACCACTGTATAGGTTTGAAGATTGTGTTGGAAAGCCACAGATCAGATAGATTCGGCTTTCATCCCTACCTGGTGCCAGTTCATGTGTATCTCAGAACCTACCTCACTGACATCCGTGTAGCCTGCTGGCAGCATTCTTCCTGTAGCAGGTTCCTAAAGTCAGCCAGGGATGGGACAGGACTCATTTTCACCTTGACAGAGTAGGAAGTGTGAATCTTCAGCAGGATGAACCCATTGGTGATGTCACTAGCCTCCCCAGAAGAGGATAAGTCCTGCTCAAGAGATGGAAAGGTATGGCTGAGCAAAGGGACCATCTGAAACAGTGTGTGTGTGTGTGTGTGTGTGTGTGTGTGTGTGTGTGTGTAGTATAAATAAAAATATAACAACTCCCCTTCCTGACACCCCAAACAGTATTTTCAGGTACAGATTGCATTTCGTGGAAGCACGATATAGTCTACAAATAGGATTAAGAAGCTTCTATTTTAACTTCAGTCTCCTGTAGCAGTGTTTTTCCCTTCACTGTGCTCATTGTTTATTTATCACCTACAATCAAAATAAATGACTCTGTTATTTAGATCCACATCTCATTTTTCTTAATTTATCTAACTTTTCTCCAGTTAATCCTATTTTCCCTTGCAAAGACAATACCATTTGAAATGTAGTTGGCAGGGGTGGCCCATCCCATTTTGCCACCTGAAGTGAAATAGGAATTGCTGCCCCACCACCACCACGTACCCCACTTCCACCGCCGCTGCACCCCAGTTTTTGCCAAACTCCTCAAAGCATTGCAATTCAGCTTCTCCGCCTTGGGGCAGTGAGGATGAGTAGCAATACTGTGCATCCAAACACGTCCCTCTTGACGATGGAAGTGGTGGGAAGAGGACCGCCTCTTGCGCTGAGGTGGGTGTTTCACCCCTCCTCATGGATGGGCCAGCTCAGTTAATTGGAACCATTCTGCCAGATTCCTGACTATTTATAAAACCAATAAACAAACACCAGTCTGCCAAAAACATGTCCGCCTTTCTTTGACTTCTCATTGCTTGGATTTTGTGAGACAATCTTTCCAGGACAGCTGGCTGGCAAACTTTACAATGCCAATATTATAGATTCATACAACCTACAATTCTTCTGAAGCAGATTTTAGGGCTGTTCATGATGCAATAGCTAAAGCCCTTTTGCAACTACATTATATTACGTTATGTCACATTATTGCCATGGCAAATACAGAGTCTCACCTCCAGGGATGTATTTTGACCCGCGATGTTCATGTCTGCCCTGTCGTCATCTTCCTTGGCTGGTGCTGCAAAACAAGCTTCACCCACTTATTAATAAAGCTGCATATGCTTTTATATTTTATTTTTATTTTAGTTAATGTTTATTTAATGTTTAGATTTTAAAATTTATACCCCGCTCTTCACCATATGGTTCTCATAAAGTAGCTTACAATAACAAAATGCACAATATGCAATTTAAAGAATCTCCCCTCAAGAAAAAAAAATTAGGAACTGTAGTTTATTACGGGTCTGGGAGCTCTAGCTCTGGGAGGTGTAAACTATAGTTCCCAGGAATCTTTGAGGAGGAGATGTGTTTCAAATTCCGGGTGTGTACGCAGCCTAATTCTATTAGTTAAACCCTGCCTTTATCATATTACTTTTATACCCCACGCCATGGTTCTTCCCCCTCCCCATTTTACCTTCACAACCCTGCTGGATAGATTGGGCTGAGAGACGGGGAGAGGAGTTACTGGCCCAAGGTCACCCGATGAACTTTGTGGCTGAGTGGGGATTTGAACCCTGAGCTCCCAAGTCCTAGTCAGACACTCTAACCAATATGCAACAATGGAGAAAGAAAGCAAACTGGTTCCTTCTCCCTCTATCTCCTTTGCTGTAGGCTCTGTAGCTCTGCGCACCCACTGGGAGAAACGGGAGGATATAAAGGGTCCCTCCAGATATGTGACAAATCCCCTTCTTGTGGCTGACCTGATTTCTGAATATTTTGCCTCTCGCAGGGCAGGGTGGGGGGTTCTTTTCCAGGTGGTGGGGGAATCCCACTGCTGCCTTTCTGCAAGAAGTGAGAAGCTTCGAGATATGCCAAATCCCTTATCTGCACACAAACAAAAGGTTGCTACTCTCTTTAGCTTGGGGTGGGAACAAAAGTAGATGATAACAAGAGGAGCAAAGCAAGGGGTGCTAACGTTCAGGAATACCTAATACAGGGTTGCCAACTTTTCCAGCCAGCCTCTGTAGCTGTGCCATTTAAGAGCAGCTTCCTTTGCATCTCTGAGGTGGTTAATATGTTGATCTACGCACTGCAATAAGTTTCAGTGGCTGATTTCTGCACATCAGCAAATATTGTATTCAACAGCGCAGGCACTGGCCACTTTCAGGTCAGCTGGCCACCTTTATGGCTGTGAGAGAGAGGCAGGCTGATGTGGCAATCAGAGAAGTATAGGTGGTTTAGGGCAGGCAGTGCTTCTAGAGAGAAGCCAGGGGAAAGAAATTGGCAGCTGCTGTCTCTGCGCCAGGAGCCCGTGAGCATCCCACATACTTCCCTTGCTTTCCCCCCTTCACCTGGGGCTGGGGATCATGAAAGCCGATGCCACAATCTTCCTCATAAGCAGAAGAGATGACCTGTGAAGGGAGGGTAGTATAAAATGAGCATTTCTTTATGATTTTCAATTTTATACATTTCACTGATTTCACTATCATTTTGACATTTCAAAACATGACTTCCTTCCCCCTCTTTCTGCTGTTCCTTAAATTTATTTTTAATATTTTCTGCATATCCAAATTAATTTAATTTGCTCATTTATTCATCTATTTTAAATATAGACTGTTATAAAACTGCAGGTTATTACAATAATCCTGCCAATGTTCTTATCTGTTTACAATTTATCTGTAAATATCCAATAAACCATTACTATTCTTTTATAAAAAGTTTGTTATCTTGATTTCTTATTTTTCCAGTAAGTTTTGCCATTTCTGCATATTCCATGAGTTTTTGTATTCATTCTTCTTTTGCTGGGTCTTCTTCTTCTTTCCATTTTGGGTCAAGTAACATTCTTGCCGCTGTAGTTGCCTGCGTGAATAAATTTCCATACAGCTTGGCTAGTTCTGACCCTAAAATGAGCATTACAAGCCAGAGGAGTGCAGTGTCAACTACCGACTGTTATTTGGGATCCTGAGAACAAATACATGTTAATGGGCCCTCTCTTGGAAGCCTCTCATTTATGGAATACTCTTGCTGAGGGAGGAGTTCCTGGCTCCAACCTTGTCATTGATTTGGCACTATTTTTGATTTCCCAGGCTTTGGGGCAATGCCTATTATTTGCTATTGTACTGTTCAATTTGTGTTTTTCAACGCTTACGTGACTTTATTGTATGTTATTGGTTGTAAAGCAAAGTATTCATTTAACAAACCTTAACAACAACAACAACAACAACAACAATTTTCTCTCTTCTGGCTTTGCTCATCCATCTATCTCTCTATCTCTGCCTGTCTATCTATCTATCTATCTATCTATCTATCTATCTATCATCAGCATAAGGGGCACCAGCTGAATGCAAGAATGGTTTGGAGTAAGGCAGACCTGGCTGTGGGTCATGAAGGCCGCTCCCTGCAAGGCCCTTTCCACCTGGCCTAGGGGGCGGGGCCCACACTCACTAGCCCTACTGAAGAGGCTCCTCATGAGGCTGGAGGAACATCACCCAGCTATTGTTTTATTGATTTAATATGCTGTAAACTGCTTTGAGATTTTTTATTAAAAATATAAAGCGGTATAGAAATTTAAAAATAAAAATAAATAAACAAATACTCTGCAGTTTGTGCAGCCATAGGTGGCTATGCCAATTCTAGCATGAGGAATGGCAGGCAGGCACAGGCAAGCTACTTAACAGAGGGGAGAGCAAGCCACTGGACGAAGTGACTACCCCCTCCCTTCTTTAAAAAGGCATAGAGCAAGAGAGGAGGGGCTTCGGACAAGGAGGATGAGCAAGGATGGGAGCCCCTAGCAAATCCCTCTACAGAAAGTGCCAAAACGATTTACAGCCAGAGTGAAAATGCAATCAAAAACATATACAAGCATGTTTTAAAAAATACTCAAAATGCAAACATCCAATAATTGATGATGGCCAAAAGTCCAAAAAAAAGAAAGGGTGCTTTTGTCTGTTGCAAAACAATGACAAAATTGGTGCCAGATGGGACAATTTTGTAAACAGAGAACCTCCCCGACAAGCTTTATTTCTACATGCAAGGTTGTTGGGGGAGGGGAGTTGTACAGGAGAACATTCCAGCATGTGAGCCCCACCCCTCTCCTTTACCAAAGTAGTTCAGCCCAGAAGCATGCTGACTCCCTTTGGGGAAAACTAGCCCCATCACAGCAGAAGAACATCACCCCTTTTATCTGCGGAGTCAGAAAGTTCTACCTTGGCTTGGCCCAGAAAGTCTTTTTCTTCTAGCTCTTCCACGTCCTTCTTTGGGGGCTTGAAGATCTCCCCCTGAGGGACACTCCGGGGTTCCAAGAAGAGATGTTCCTAGGACAGGGCAGGTTTAGGGTAGACTATTCACAACAGGGTTATCTTTTCTTGGATATACACATTTACCTGAAGATGCAGAAAGGAAGTTCATCTTGTCTAGGCTCCTGCCTTGCAGAGGAAACTCCTCTGTGTAAAGAGTTGCCAGAGGGCAGTTTTCTCTTTCATGGGTGGGGAACCTAAGGCCCAGGGGCCATATGTGGCCCTCCAAGCATCTCCACCTGGCCCTTGAAACTCCCCAAATGCCACACCCCTCGCTGGCCTCTCTTTGCACCTCCCTTGAGTGTTTTTCTTTGGCTGGAATGTGTCCTTGAACTCCAGCAGAGCCTCTTGCTTGTCTGGATGGAGAGATGTGAGTGGGCAATAAAAAGGGCATCTGGAGACGCCCTGTGTGTGTGTCGGCCTCTGCTAAGCAACCTCTTCCTTGGAAGGTGGATCTACACTACCAGGAAAAACCGACTTCCTCAGGTTAATGCAGCAAATCATACCTGCACTTGCTTCAGAGCACTATCAAGGTGGTGGATTTGACCCTTTGGGGTCTCTCCAGCAGCCTCCTTCAGTGTTTGCTGAGCATCCTGCCACTGTCCAAGACGGCAGTGAGCCGCAGCAGTGTTGTACGCCACCTGCAGACCACACAAGAAATAACATTTCTGCTGGATGCAAGCCTCAGACATTACACTGGATTCTTCAGCAGGAAGGAAAGTCCTCAATTACCAACTTTGTAAGACCTCTAAATAGTAAACTCTATCATTACACAGGTTTCATGGCATAGAATCGTAGGGTTGCATCCAGTGCTAATCTTACTCAGAGCAGACCAGTCAGATACCACTTGTTGGAAGATCACAAGAAAGATCTAGTTGCAACCACACTTTCCCTATACATGATCCCGATACAGGAGTTCCGTGGCACCCTGTCTCTGACAGTGGAAGTGGAACATAGCCATTTGTGGCTAGTAGCCACTGGTAGCCTTATCCTCTTCTTTGAATTTGTCTAATCCTCTTTTAAAGCCATCCAAGCTGGCCACCATCACTACTTCCTGTGGGAGTTCCCCCTCACAGAGTTACAATTTCCAGAATGGTTTAACAATCAATCGCTCTTCATGGGGATCTCTGAGAATTGTAGCTCTGTGTGGCGAATGTGTATGGGGGGGGGGGGGTTGTTAGAAGTCTCGGCATCCTGAACAAACTACACTTCCCAGGATCCTTTTGGCTAATCCCTGACAGTTCAAAGTGGTATGCTACTGCTTTCCAGAATGGTAAGTCCATGTCCCAGGGGATTCTGGGGGTACATGTGCATATGTTTATTTGTACCGTTCAGCTTCTGTATACACAGGTACACAGACTGTTTGGGCAAGCTGTGAAGGGAGGGGTAGAGGAAGTATGAGAGGATAGGTTATGAAAGGGGAGGTCTGAGGTGAAGGAAGTGTAAAAGGAGGGGGGGATTGGCCAGGTGTAGAGGAAGGGGGGTTGGCAAAGGGGTTGGTGAGCAGAGCAAGCAGGGGCAGCAGTCCCTAGTTACGTCTATTATGGATTGTTTTGCTGAGTCATCATCGTATGATGCTCTTAACATCACCTTACCTCCCAGGCACACAACACAAACTTCAGACCCAGCTGCTTATAATCAATGCAGGGGTTCTTCCTGAGGTGCAGCAGGGCAAGCCTGAAATCATTCAGGGCTTCTTCATATCTGGCAGGGGAAGAAAACAACAATGTCTGTGTTTAGGAAAGTAAAAATACTGAGATCAGGAAAAGAATTGCACTGTTATTGCTGTTAGATATAGCCTAGGTGTGAGGAGCCCCCGTGGGGTCTGAGGACCCTCCAGACCTCCCCGTTTGGCCAACATCCCCTTAACCATGCCCACCTACCCCACCCCTGATGACATATGTGCACAAAACAGGATTGCAGAGACAGAGCCGGATTTACAGAAGCCGTCCAGGTTTCTGATTTGATTCTGGAATGTCCCACTTTTCCTTAGGACGTCCCAACATTTCATCAGAGAAATGTTGGAGCATATGGTGTGCAAGCCTCAAGCCAAGGAGATAAGGAACTATACATCCTTTAGAAGACATCTGAAGGCAGCTCTGTACAGGGAAGTTATTTTAATGTTTTATTGTGATTTTTATATATGTTGTAAGCCGCCTAGAGTGGCTGGATGGAGCAACCCAGTCCAATGGGTGGAGCATAAATCATAAAGTTAGTAGTAGTAGTAGTAGTAGTAGTAGTAGTATGGAATCGGACATCCCTATTTTCATTGGAGAAATGCTGGAGGGCATGGGATTGAACTCCACTTTCCAGTTTACAGAATCCACAGGATCTCTGTTTCTCCTCTCTACATTTAACAAACCCCCTATTTATCAGAAATTCAACAGATGAACATTTTTCTGGCATGGAGTGAAGCTGGAGGTAGCTGAGTTCTCTCCACCATTCCACTGCTGTTAAAAGGTGGAGGGGCTCCACTTAAGAAAAAGGTGGCAACTTGGCATCAGTTTCTGCCCCACAAATGCTGCATAGCTTGGCTGGTTGTTTGCCTTCCTTTCCCCTGCTTGTGCGCTGGATTCATTCTGGCTCCTATAATATTTGTGTGAGCTCAATTATTGTACCCTTTGACAGTGAAACAGCAGACACTCACCTCTCCAGCAACAGGTAAGAATATCCTCTCTGGAAGAAACCCACAGCTAAGCAATTGTCTTTGGAAATGGATTGGTCAAATGCCTGGAGGCAGAAAAATAACGTTAAGGTTGCCAGATTTCTTTTTTTACTCCTGTGCTTTTTAACAGCAGGAGAAATTCAGCAAGAAATGCTTTTTTCCTGGCACAGAGATGAAACAATGAGAAAAGGCATCACTTGTTTGCTTATACTGGGTGTCAGGCTGTTTACAGGCAGAGAAATAGAGCCAGCCATAAAAAGTTGACAGCTTTTTCTCAGCAGGGCAAAATGCATTTTGAGCATGTTGTTTGATTTGGTTTGATATAAGGAGAATTCCCTGGATGTCTAGATCCAGATTTGGGGCAAGTACTCTCTGGTGAGAGAGCACATGCAGTGATTTAAAATCTCAAAACATGCAGCAAAGTAAAGCGTGGAAATGCAGGATGTTAGACGTTTAAAATATCCCCTTCTAAGTTGCTACAATAGGGACGCGGGTGGCGCTGTGGGTTAAACTACAGAGCCTAGGACTTGCCGATCAGAAGGTCAGGGGTCCAAATCCCCGCGACGGGTGAGCTCCCGTTGCTCGGTCCCTGCTCCTGCCAACCTAGCAATTCGAAAGCATGTCAAAGTGCAAGTAGATAAATAGGTCTGGCGGGAAGGTAAACGGCGTTTCCGTTCGCTGCTCTGGTTCGCCAGAAGCGGCTTAGTCATGCTGGCCACATGACCCAGAAGCTGTACGCCGGCTCCCTCAGCCAGTAAAGCGAGATGAGTGCCGCAACCCCAGAGTTGGCCATGACTGGACCTAATGGTCAGGGGCCCCTTTACCTTTTACCTTAAGTTGCTACAAAAGCTCCCCACATTCCTTAGCATATGCGATGTTTGGTAAGATAAATATGATTTACTTACAGAACTATTCAAAGATCAGATTCATGTGCTTTTCCATACAGCAGCAAGAAAGCCAGGCAGCAAAACTTAAGGTAAAGGTAAAGGGACCCCTGCAGCAAAACTTAGGTTAGTTCTAAAAAGGTAAATGTTTCTAAATCATTTGCATAGAAACACAGAGATGGCTTGTTAAAGCCATACTGTAGAAGCTTTGAGCATTCAGCTTAGGCACCCTTACTGGAAGAGTTAACATGGTGGGGGGAAATGGTGGAATGTAGGAAAACAAAGAGTTTGGTAGCCCTTCCTTCCAGCCTGAAGGGGTGTGACCTAGTTAAGTCAGGTAGTACTCTATGTTTTTAACTCCTTCATGCATCATGCATTAATTATAGTTAAGCATGTTGGTTATATTAGGTGAGATATTTCCCACAGAGAAAGGGACTGCAGCTCAATGACTTTGAACCCACTTGCTTTGCACATGGATGGGACGGGGTTCAAAATTGACACCTGACATCTCCAGTGAAAAAAGCGGGCGGTGAGGAGATCCTAAGTAGCAATAGCGAAGGAAAAGTCATATTTTTGACCAAGACCCCAGAAAGCTGCTGCCAATCAGAGTAGGCGACACTGGTCTAGATGGACAGATATTCTGACCTGCTGGCATAACACAGCTTCCTATGCAGGAACCAAGTATGAACTAGCTCAGCCCACCTTCCCAAGCTTGGTAATTCCGAGACAGAAATGCAATGTCTCTTCCGGAATTTGTTACCTTAAGCTATTGCTGCACTGAGAGGCTAATTCTGTTTTTGCTTGCAAAGTAGGTCAGGAATTCTTCCAGGGATAAAGCATTAAGGAAGGAACTTGCAAAGTCATTGTTTCTTCTGTAAAAAGGTACTCCACTGAGGCTTAACTAAGGTTGGACAAATCAATCAATTTCAGTTTCTAATCTTTCCAACCTTTAGTTCAGTTTGCCAAATTTCTGGATCAGTTTGCAGATTTTTTAAAAAAAATGTTCTCATGAAAATTGGGCAGCTTTGTACACATTTCTGCCAACATGCACCTCTCTTTTTTTGCAAGTGATGTCCTCTAATATTTTTGTATGTTATTTTCACTAATACTTTCATTATGTGTTCTTATGGCTGGAGAACTACATCACAAAAATTGGTGCAAATATTTGTGCATGTGAATTAGGTATCTTTGCATTAAAATGAAAACTGAACCAAATTTCTTTCCGTCCCTAGGCTTAGCCATACCAGAACACTTTTTCTGTTTTGGGCTTCTTGTATTCTGCCTCACCAGTCTTAATGGGCACTAGCTAGTTCTGGAATCTGAGGCATGTTGCTGACTCATTCGTTCTGGGAATTGCTAAATTTGTTCAACAGTTGCTTCCTGCTGTGGTAACCTGGTTCTCCAGGAAGTGCTGAATATGAATATCGTTTGTTCTCCCCACAATACTTTTTATACCTGCATTGATTTACTTTATGTGAGCGAACTTCACACGTTACATTCCTTATGTGCACAGTTTAAATACTTCTTTCCTCCCACAAGTGTATACCTATTTATTTATATTTTTTTAGTGTCATAGTGCAACCCTTATTTATTTATTTAACAACATTTGCAGCAGACCACTTATTTGATTTTTTAAAAAATCACATGCCTCTAAGCCAGGGGTTGGTAAACTAAAGTTCGCGGACTGGATCAGCTCCACCTGGGTCGTAAATCCGGCCCGTGCCCCATGCCACAAAGCCAGAACCTGCCGCGAAGCCGAGACTCCCGGTGACGGCAACGGGAAGAAGAGGCCGAGCGGCAGTGGCTCTGCCACTTAATTGCTGTGCCTGGTTTACCTCAGCGTGGCGCAGGGACGTCTCTGCCAATCAAATGCTGCGCCTAGTTTACCTCAGTGGTGTTTGATTGGCAGAGACGTCCCCACGCCGCACTGAGGTAAATCAGGCACGGTGTCTGATTGGCAGAGCTGCCGCCACTCAGCCTCTTCTTCCCATCGCAAGGAGGCAAGGCAGCACCCACCACCGGCTCCGGCTCCTTCCGCCTCGCCACCTCCAGACAGTGGACCGGCCCGCTACTAGAAAAAATTGCTGACCCCCTGCTCTAAGCGATTTACAATGGGCAATCTAAAACTGTCATTTAAAAATACCAGTTAAGAGAAGCATGGAAAACTAGTTAACATACATTTTAAAAATATAATAAAATCAGCAGCCGTAAAGCCGTTATGCATAATAAAAACACACGTAAAAATTGGTCATTAAAATGACATGCCTGCGTAGGCTTGCAGAAGTAAACAAAACAAAAAAGTACAGTGGTACCTTGGTTTACAAACTTAATCTGTTCCGGAAGTCCGTTATTAAACCAAAACTGTTCTTAAACCGAGGCGCACTTTCCCTAATGAGACCTCCCGCCGCCGGTGCCCTTCCACCATTCGGATTCCGTTCTTAGACTGAGGTAAAGTTCTCAAACCAGGACACTACTTCCGGTTTTGCGGAGTTCGTAAACTGAATCGTTCTTTAACTGGACTGTTCTTAAACCGAGGTACCACTGTATTTAACAATTGTTGAAAACAATAGTGAAGACCTAATCTACCTCACAGGGTTGTTGTAAGGATAAAATGGCAAGGGGGGCTGCCACCTTGAACTCACTGGAGGAAAGTTGGGATATGAATGTAATAAATAAGCAGATAATATATATATATATCATCAATACATATGAATATGCCATACAGGCAGGTCTGGCTCTGGGTTTGAGAGGCCCAGGAGCAAAGTGTGCTCTAGTGGGCTATACACGGATGATTTTCTTGGTGGTGTCAGTATTGGTGGCTAAAGGACTGCCATCTTCATTTCCCACAATGCTCTGGAGCGCCCAATCTACTGCCACCCCATGACGTTGTGGGAAATTAAAACAGAGGTAGACCAGCCTTTTTCAGCTTGGTGACTTCAGGATGCTTTGGACTACAACTCCAGTCAGCGCAGACAGTTCTGAGTTGTGTGTATGCTCCATGGAAAACCTGAGTTCGAACCTGTCATGTGTGAAATGGTCTTAACACCTACCTCCAGAGCTTGCTCCAGGTCTCCCCTTGAAAGATGCAGGCAGCCAATGTTGAAGCTGATCTTTGAAGGAGGGTTTTCAATGCTGCAGAAGATGTGTAAGGCAGATTCCCAGCTGCCCTTCTCTAGAGCTAAAACTCCTTTGTTCCAATGCCTGACCAGGTTACTGTAAGCCATTGTCCTTCCGGTATGAGAGGAAGCAATCTGATTTGGAAGGCCTGGCTCTTTAAAGCTTGCTCAGACTATGTGCTGTTTGGCTTTGCTTCCAGAGACAAGCAGACCAGGAAGTTGAGCATCTCTCTCTCTCTCTCTCTCTCTTTTTTGGTCCCAACTAACCTTTATTGCTCAAACAGGGAAATACAGGCAGAGGAGGAGCCACTCTGGCAGCAGGTCAGTTTACAGACAAAGTCTTTTCTGTGCAGAGTCTGGGCAAACAACAAACCCTCTGTCCCAACTTTTTTATCATTAGGTGCACTGTCTCTTTTTCCTTATCACAATGTCCAGGTCTGTAGTAAGAACTGGAATTTATGAAGTAATATTAAAGGAGAACCTTTGACCAGGTGTAAAGTGCCTTCATCTCCATGGACTACAACCTTTACTGCCCTTGAGCCATTTAGAAGAAATGCAGATTTTCTGTGTCGCTTCTCCATCCGCCCTGTCCCCATTTCCATTCCCAAATCCTGTTGAATAAATGGGATTAAGATCAGGAGTTAATTATAGACTGCTGTGAGCTATTCCGCCTACATCAATGACCAGTGAAATGTGGCTCTTGCTAGCTGCTCCACTCTATAACTAATCAACTGCATTTTGCACTAACTGGAGCTTCCATGCCATCTTCAAGGGCAGCCCCAGGTAGAGCACTTTACAGTAGTCCAGAGCATGAATTACTATGGCCAATCTAAGAATGGCCATATGTGGCAAACCAGCCCATAGCTGGTCAAAGACACTCTGCACCAGCAAAGGCCTTTGAGCCTCTGGTGACAAAGCTGTATCTAGGACATGGGTGGGGAACATTTTTCAGCCCGATGGCTGCATTCTTAATAGGGTCCTTAATGGGGTATAAACCTTGTCAGGTGTCAAATGATGCCAACCTCTAGTCCCTTCCTTCTGGTCCCTGGGGTGTCACTTGTCCCTGTTTTTGGCCTTATGGCCTTCTTAAATTTTTTTGTGAGAATCGGACACTTAGATAAAGAATGAACCTATATTCATCTTCGAAATGTTGGGAACTATAAAGAATGACTGTTTATTTACCGTATTTAATTTATATACTGCCCTTCCTCTGAAAGGGTTCCATATCTATGAAGAAAGACCCTGGTGAGACCCCAATGCACCGGTCTCAGAGGGGCTGCCTGCTGCATCTTTGCAAGATTCTCTGCTCTTCTGCCTCCTTCTGCTCAGCATCTATCAGAGACAGTCATTCTGCCTCATCTCTGCATCAAGTTGGGTGTGAATGGAGCATTCAGTCACTGCAGATACCAGGATGCAGCAGAAATTTGAGGAATGCTGGGAAAAGTTAAGGAAAGGGAATGCCTTGGCCCAGATGAGCCTCCCTGTACTCTGAGATCATCTGACAAAGGGATTTTGTTCTAATTACCTTCCTGTCTAAAAATGTACATTGTTAAGTCTCACTTTTCTCAAGGGCCTCAAAAAGGCACTTCAGCAGAATTTTTTGCAATGCAGAAACACACTAAAGTATGATCAATGAAGGCTGAAATGTGATGTACACTTCTTTGACAGTAAGCCCCACTGAACTCAAGCGGCACTTGCTTCTGAGTAAGCATGCGTAGGATTGCACTGTAAGGTCACTGGAATGAAAAGTGTTAAAGAAATTGTTCTATGGGTTTTTGGTTGGTTGATTGATTTGTATGTATGCAGTAGTTCAAATAAGAGAATACAGCTCTCCTAACAACTCTCAGTGGAAGACAGGATTGCCTAGCTTGCTCTGGTCCATGGGGTCACGAAGAGTTGGACACGACTAAACAACAGCAACAACTCTCAGCTCCCTTAACATCATCATCATCATCATCATCATCTTAACAAACTACAACTCCCTGAATTCTCTGGGGGAAGCCATGACCATTTAGAGTGGAATTGTAGTGCTTTAAATGTGGGGTAGGAATGTGACCTAAGATGGCCCTAACCACCCATTGGAACGGCGCGATGCTTATCTGTGTCGCAGCAGACATCATAGTAAAAGCTTTCCATCCTGGGTGAGAGGAAGAATGACTCTTCTATGATAGCCTCAGTCACACATTGGTACTGCACCCTGATATGGGTACATATCACAAGCAGACATCACAGGAAAAGTGTTGCCTCCTGTGTGAGAGAGAATAGGGAATGCCTTCTCTAAGATAGCGCTAGGCCACCTGTTGGCTTGGATGATGATGTGTCTATGCATCACATGAGCCCACGTGAGAGAAGAGGCAATCCCTCCTGTGTGATAAACTGGGTGATGCCTCTTCCAAGATGGCATCTACTGAGGGTAGCCAAAAGAAACAAGGGCAAAGTTAGCATAAAAAATGGCATATGCCAATTTATATAGATGTCAGTTTAGAATTATAATGAAGGGGGTTTGGCTAGATTTGCCTGAGATCCTTTCCAACAATTTCATGATTCTTGGATGCCTTCAAACAGAAGACAGACCTTTCAGGTTTTATACACAGTTGCATTAATCATACTGTTTTCTTTCTTTCTTTCTTAGCAACTTTCTAATTAGTCTGGACACAATTTTTGTCAATGAAATGTTTTAAATTCATTAATTTGACTGATTAATCAATTAAATGTTTGTGGGCTCTCTCAAAAACCAGCTCAATGCATTTGGTTTTGCAATCCCATTGGGAATCACGGGAAATTAATCTCACAAATTGCAGAAACAGGGAGAGAAAAGAAACCAACAGAATTTATTGGTCATTTGTCAATGTAAAAAAACAAAATGAAACAAACAAGACAAAAACAAGCCTCCATGGCAAAGGTGTGTGATTGCAAAGGAGATGCTGGTTAAATTCATATATATTATATTATGTACACATCTGAATGCCATTTCTAAATACAATATGTACACAGTCATACAACAGCCGAAACAAACAACATAAATCTGAGCTTGGTTAGCAAAAAATAAGGCAGCAGTGGGGAGAGAGAGAGAGGCCTTGTTTGAGGGAACTATATGTGCTCTGGGACAAAATGGCTGATATATCCACAGTTTCGAACTTCAAGTAACACGGGAAGAAGGTGTCCCAATTCAGGCTGCCCTCAAAAGATGAGGCAAAAGGTGCTCTCTCAACAAAATCCTTCATTCCTATCTTCTGTCGCTGGGTTGTGCACTAGAAAGGCCTGGCTGCACCCTGCCTTGGTCATTTGCTGGGTCATTTGCAACATTTAACCTAGCAACTGACTCCTAAAATGGCCAGAGGACCATAGGATCAAAAGCAAGAACATCCTGGCCTCTTCCTACAGCCTACAGTTGTAGAACAGATGACCTTCCAGATGTTGCACTGCAACACCCATCAGCCCTTAGACAGCACAACCAGTGGTCAGGAACAATGGATGTTGTAGTCCAGCAACACCTGGAGGACCAGACGTTCCCCATCCCTGGAGAAATCAGCCAGTTAGGCTTCCCTTACCATCTCCTATGCATGTCACAGCAGAACAAGCCGCTGTTCAAGGCAGAGGAGAAAGGGGACCCTACCTGTTTCTCACATGGCCAGGGATTTAAGATAGCCAGTGGTGATACCCCCAAAATGTATGGCAAAGTTCTCTCCAGTGCCAAAGCTCCTTTGCCATACATTTTTGGTGGAAGAGCACCTGGTTGGAGTCTCTAAGGCTTCATGTTCAATCCGTCACATCTCCAGTTCTCAGTGCTGGGAAAGATTTCCTTAACACCACTGCACAGCCACTGTAGGCATACTAGGCTAGAGCAGGGATGGGGAACCTATTGTCATCCATATGTTATTGGACTTGAACTTGCATCAGCCGGCATAGCTAAAAATGAGGGATGATGGGTGTTATAGTCCAGCAGCTTCTGGAGGGCATCCCTCCCCTGTCCCCAGGCTAGAGAGAGCCCTGTGGTCAGGCCTAGTATAAGGTAGTTCCTTTATAGCTGTTAGTTTTGTCATTTCCATGACAGCTGGGGTAAAAAAACAGGACTTCTGACCCAAACTAGTATTTTACATGGTAAAACAAGTCCAGCGGGATCCAATGACTAGAAACCAGATGGTTGTCATTCTGACTGTAGGAAAGCCATTAAAAATCCTCCCTATAAAATGGAAATTCATATGGCTACTTCATATGGCTGTTGTGACAACCGCTGTAGGGAGCGGGAAGCACAGAGGACAATAATAATACCACATTGGGAAGGGGAGTGGCACAACTAGTGAATTTTCCATGTGAACATCTCACTTAACATCAAGCGGGTGATGGCACGGGCACCCATAGCATGCCATGGAATGTTTGCTAACATTTCTAACTTCAGAGGGGAAGGCTCAGTCATGGAATGTTGAAAATCAATACACTTGCTGCTAGGAAAGTGGTTTGGAGGTTTTCTGGTGCAGAGGGGAACTTCACACCAGAGTTAGGGAGAAAAGCAGCTGTGTAGTGCTGGGGAGGAATCTAGGGAGGTGAGACGCTTGAGAACGGCTGAAAGCCCGAGTTTTAGCAGTAGGGGGAGCTAAAAGATGGGGAGGAACAACATCACACATAGGAGTGAAATGAGAAAAAATTGGCTGAAATTTCACATTCAGAATGATGAGACAAAAATATTTGGTCTCCAGTTTAACACACCAAGATAAAAAGCCAAGCCTGAGAAGCACTGAAATTGCTTCAGAGGCTCTGAGAGCCATGTCCAGAGGAGCAGATGCAAAAACAGCAAAGAATCTTGTGGCACTTTAAAGACTAACATAAGCATAAGCCTTTGTAGACTACAGACCACAAGTTCATCAGTTGCATGAAGGTGTCATCCTGAGTTTTAAGCATATTTCCCACACAGTTTGAGAGGTGTGGGGGTTGTAAAAAGTGAGGTCGGAGGGAAATGAAAAAGTACAGACAGTGATAATCATGTTCTTAACAGTAGCAATTCACTAAACAGTTCTTGACAACACAGAAATCCTGGCATTGGCAAGCACATATAATGTGCTAAAGATCCTTTTGTCCAATATTTCAAGCACTGGATGACGCGAGCTCTAGTCCACAAAAGCTTATGCCATATAAAGACTCTTTGTTGTTCTAAGATTTAGGACAGGGTGGAGCTGGAGGGTGGTGTTATAGGGCAGGAGGGGCCACCAAGAGCAATGAAGATAAGCCACTGCTGCTTAGGAAGGACAGGTTCCCATAGTCAAATCTGGTTGGCTATTGTGTGAGTTCCAGAAAGGATCACAATGGGCAAACCCATTTACTTGCATTCAATATGTGCATGACCGCACATATGTGCATCGGCCCAAACCCGGAAGTAGCCTAAGAAGTCACAAAAAGGGGCGGAATGGGGCATTTGCAGGCTTTTTCAGTGGTGTTTCAATTATAAGCGATTTCACGGATGCACACAGTGCCTCGGAACGTAACCCTCGCATAAATGGGAGGTTGCCTGTGCTTATAATATGCCATCAACAACCCAGACTGCAGTCATTTCCAAAAACCTCTTTGCTACTTAACAATGCTACAGTCAATTATATATCTGATGCTCAGGTTATCTGAATTCCAGTTATCCCCAAATTTCTGGCTCCCTGAATATACTGCTGCAGTTCATAATAATAATCTTTTCCTAGGGGGTGAGGGCTTTTCGAAAGTTGCTTCTTCAACCCCCACCCACCCCTTTCTTTTTGGATTGCAAACCATTTGGTGCCCCTAACACTCTCACCCACCCCAAAAAGTGAGAGGTTACACAACCCCCTTCCGTTGGAGATTAGTTGTCTCCCCTGCCCCCATGATTAAGCCCCAGGTTTCACTTTTAATTCCCTTTTGGTGCCTTAATAAAGTGGTATCTGGAGACAGAGGGAGGTTTATTTACAGCATACATTTAAAACACATTTAAAGCACATGACTTCCCCCCAAATAATCCTGGGAACTGCAGTTGGTCAAGGAATGGCAGCCCTGTAAGGGCTAAACTACAATTCCCAGGATTCATTCAAAGGAAGTCAAGTGATTTAAATGTGCTTCAGTTGTATGGTGTGGATGCAACCAGATATCTATGTCAGTCCATTTTGGCAACAAGTTCATTAGCACACAAGGCATCAGCATCATCATGACAGTAGTAACAGTGTCCACTATTTCCCCCTAAAAGATCCTCCACCACAAAAAAGACCTCTATTTACCAGAGAGCCCTCAGTGACCTTCCTTTGACCATTAACATTCTTTCGCCCCTTTTAAAAACAATTTTAAAAATCCAGTGTGTAAGAATTCACACACGTACACCCTCCCTGCGAACATGCAGTCACAACAACCTCCCTCAAACCCCTGAAAATGAAGCTGTGCAACTCTTTGCTATTGTTCTGGTCACAAATGGCTGCCCTCCTGTTCCTTGTAGGATTCCTTCAGGGAGAACAACACACCAACATGACTTCCAGGAAGAGTGAACACACCCCTGAAGAACTGAGCTTTCCTGACAGGTGGAATAAACCCCAACTGTGTTTTGAATATAGCAGTTGCTGGGAATCACGAGTGCAGAAAGCGCTGTTGTGCTCAGGTCCCGCTTCCACCACGCTTCCCACTGGGGCATCTGGTTGGCCGTTGTGAGGATACTGGATTAATGGGCCACTGGCCTGGCCAACCAACAGGACTCTTCTTATAGTCTTCAAAGAGAGTGTTTTTTGCCACTTTTGTGAGAAGAGGAGAATGGGCTGATACAAATACCCTCTCCAGGAAGGAAGGCCCATGAGAAGATGTTTCCTCAGCCCAGAGAGTCTCTTGGCCATGGCTGAGGGAGGCAGCAGCTGCCATGGCTGCCTCCTTGGAGCAGAGGTCCCAGGAAGTGGATTTTTACTAAGGCAGTGAAGCCCCCTCAAGTGCGACTGTATTTCTTTGGTCATGGCAAACGCCCATGCAAACTCTGTGGTACAATACGCAGCAGAAAGGGCACGTCACACCCAGTTCCAAAGGAATCCCAAGAGATAACCACCCCAGCTGTCGCCTCAGTTGTCTGTTGAAATCCACCAGGTTTCAAACAATGTGGCAAGGGAGCACAACCAAAATGCTAGGATGTTTTAGGCCAAGAAGAGGCAGGTGGGTATCTCGACTGTGTCCCTCGGGTCAAATGCTACCGTCCATTTGCTCCACCAGAAACAGGTGGATGGCCTCAAATGCTGGGCGATCTTTGATGTCACGGCTCCAGCATTTCATCATCAAGGAGAACAGAGGATTGGGGCACAGGGGCGGCTGAGTCAGATAGACCTGTGTGAGCAGGAAAAGAAGAGTGAGGGTGGCGAGGGATTTTGGAACCACAGATTTCTGGGCTGAGCTGAAGATGCTACCCATCTAGTTACTCTTTAATGGACTGTTAATGTTTTACTGGTTTAAATTTGTATATATATCTCCATCCTACATAAATAAATGTAGAACTCATAGGCTTTGGCTTGGAGCTCTTTGTCCAGTGAGCAGCAGCTGGCTGTGATTCTGAAGTAACAGGAAGAGGTAATAGTAGCCAGAACCACTCACAGCATCACACACAGGAAGAGGAAATAATGATTTCCTCGCCTCTTAAGCAACCCAACCTCTGGCTTTGGAGCCCATCCTCCAGAGTGGATCAGAAGCCAATAAAAGAAGAGAAAGAGGTGGCACACAGGAGAAGAGGAGACACTGATTTCCCCCCTCTGATCTCAGAGCCATTCCTCCAGGGAATAGCTCTTGGATGTGATTAAAAACTGAGGAAGTGAGAGAAGAAAGTACCAAGCAAGGCTCACACACCACCAGCAGCACATACAAGAGGAGAAGAAACCAGCTTCCCACCCTCTTCAGCCCAGCATGTAAAGCACCAGCATCAAAAGGATGCGCAGGTTCCCACCATGCAGAACATCTGTTTTGGGTACCTGTCGGCCTTGGTCTCGGAAGAACTCCCCCGTGTTCTCAATGACCTGCTCATCAGAGAGCCAGCTGTAAGGCTGCTCCTTGCACAGTGTGAACATCTCCCATAATGTCACACCAAAAGCCCAGACGTCGCTGGCCGTGGTGAACTTGCCCTATGAGGAAAGAGAAGAAGGCCACAGTGTCAGAAGACCATGGCAATGTGCACATCCCTCCCCACCACTAAGAATCCTGGGAACTGTAGTTTACCCCTCACAGAGCTACAGTTCTCAGCACCCTTAACAAAATATAGTTCCTAGGATTCTTCTGGAGGGAAAATGTGCTTTACATCTATGGTGTGTGCACAGCCTATATCAAGACTGAGCTACTTTTGGCCCTTGGTTGGGAGTTGTCATTGCCACAAACCCTGAACCTAGGCAACAAAGTCACACCATAAATAGCATTAGTGTGCAGATCCCCCATCAGTCACTAGCTTTCCTCAAGACCTCCCTGCTGCAGATTTGATGCATCTAATCAAGAGATTTAGATGCAGTTTAGCAGCCATTACCTCTCCCTAGGACTGCCAGGGAATTGTTGTTCGGGTGGGGCCCCCCGCTAGTGATCTCCAATAGATAATTCTCAACTACACTACAAATCCCAGGATCCTCTGAGGGAGCAAAACAGTTGCAGTCGTATATAACGAAGTTAAGTTCATAGGGCAGCAGACATGAGGCGAAAACCTTCAAAGCAGGGCTGATAAAGGGTGTGGGCAGGGGAGAATTCCAAGGGCCAGACAGAGAGGCTTGGAGGGCCATGTTCACCCCCTATGCCTGAAGCTCCTCCCCAATCCTGTCTTAAGAGAGAGAGAGATAACTCAAGTGGAAAGTGGTCACTTTCAGCTCTGGGAATTATCCTGAAGGTATCTCGGTTAACTGGCACATTATTAGATGTTAGGATATAATCTATGGTGCTAGTAAATCCTCTGGGGGAGATAAAAGTAAAATAACCCTCTTGATCCCCTTGACCATGCCCATTGCATAACAAAAGGTTATGCTTTATTATAAGTTCACAAAGATGTTTCCCAGCGCGATTAGGGGTGGTGTCCATTGCTGCCCTCTGACAGATTTCAGGTTCGTCCTCCAAGTTTAGACCAGATATTATTGTATTTTGTGGGGAAACAAGGCCGATCCGGGCATTGAAGTCACCTCCCAAGATAAACCGAGGGTTAGGTGACAGAGAGTCTATACTTTCGAGTAGTTGATCAAGTTTATCCCAATATGATCTCAGTTCCCCACAAGACTTTACTGGAGGTATATACACACATATGCAATAAGTATTTTTCAGGAGACTATCAGAAAGGGACAACACTAAAAAATTACGGGTGGACAACGAGGGACACTGTTGAATTGATACATTAAGAGAGGTTGACACCAGCACCGCCAGCCCCCCACTAGGCCTTCCATACTTTACAGTTTTAAGAGCTGGTTGAGTGTAACTTGTAAAACCCTGTAATTCAACCATAGTGCCCTCTTTTGCCCAGGTTTCTTGAAGAAAGATGATATCATGTGTTTGTAGATAAGAACAGAAATCACTGTCTTGGATCTTGTTCGTCCACCCTGTTACATTCCATGAGAGGAGTTTAACTGTTTTACAATGATTTACTCTTAGTCAATTGTTGGCCGATGTGCTCTCGGAGTTTACCAGTTTTTGAGGCAACAGGTTATTGCTAATGCTAGTGGAATAATCCAGATGTTCGATTATTTCAGTCGTCGTACATAAAGTGCTCACATTTGTAATCACTGGGCCTTTTCTTTGCAAATTGTTTGCCAATGGGGATTTCTTGGGTGTATTTCCTGACTCCTCCTCTTCTAAATATCTCATCTTTGTCCAATACTCCGGTAGTTCTATAGTTATCATTCTGTTGTGGCCATTGGATCTATTATCAATCTCTGCCTCCGGTTCTTGAATCTCTTTCAATGTCTGGCTCATAAGATCAAGCCTCTTGATAACTGTTTGTTGCTCTTCCTGAGGGAGATTCCTAAAGGAGCTGAGAAAATCCTCTTCCAAAGGATTTACAGAGTGCTCAGATTCCTCAAGATGATTGTCTAGAGGAATCGGCTGTTCCTTTTGGCTCACCTGGTTATTTTGATGTTGGGCATGATCCTGCGGATTCAACTCAGGAATGTTTGTTTCCTCCCCACCTGCCAAGTTTTTTTGTGATGTTATTACTTCCATTGGGGGTCCAGGCTTTGGTTTTGTGAGCCCCTCTGAAGCAGCAGTCCTCATCTTACATAAGGGTGCAACAATGGAATTGCAAAATACCCGGGTTGGAAAAACTCCTCTGCTTGACAATCTGAATTTCAGCTTGTGAATCAGTGAGGGCAGTCTAGTAGAGGAAAAAGTTAACATAATTTTTTGGCTTTGATTTGTGGTGCTCAAGAGTTCAGTCTTAACGAGGTCGATCTCTGTAAGTCCCATGCCAAGTAAGTCTGATAAATGTCGTTTGGAACGCTGGGCACCTTTCCAGCTAGGAGTTTGATTTGGCCTTCCACAAATTGTCATGCAGATCTTTTTTGGTTGGAAGATTAAATAAGAGTTTGTTTTAAGAGCCTCTGCACGTTCTATGTTGAGCTTAGGGGTCTGCTCTTGTTGTCGCCAATTTCCTTTGGTACGATGGTGTTCTGTTGATGCCTGCTTGTTATGAACTGATAAACTGTGGACCTCTTTGGATAACTGGGTTATTTGAGAGGCAATACCTCTAATTTGCTGGAAGATATGCTCAACCGTTCTTGCAATTAGAGTTAAGTGGGTGCTCTCCCTACTTGTTATTCCTTCCTCTCTGAGGAGCACAGGATCAGCTTGCCCCATTGCTGGATCCAGTTCCACGCTCTCACCTTGAATACTCTCCCCACACTCACAATCATCTTCAAGAGGAGAAAACCGGTTTTTTGTTGGAACTGTAAAAGCAGATTTGTTAAAAAAGTCCTCTATTTTAGATTGTTTGGGAACCGGTGAGAGAGCTACATCCTCTGGGTCCCTGTGGCGTTTACTAGCAGGCATAGCGTCACCGTGGGGAGTAAACAAAAAACAAAACAAAAACAAAAAAGAGAGAAAAGAATAGAAAGTGCTCAGTTTGTTCAATTTAAGAGCTTCTCTGTGTGGAGGCTGCCAGGAGTTTCAGGAACAAGGTATAGAAGGGAGTTGGCGGTTAATAGCTAGCAGCTGGCGGCCTGCCCAGGATGCTTCACAGAACTTGCCCAGGATGTCTCCCACAGCATAGACAAGAAGGTGCTGCCAGAATCTCAGTAAGTTAAAAAGTAGAGAAGTAAAAAAGGAAAAACTACTTCTCTGGGTGGCAGTCAACCCCGACTACAGTCCTGTTATCTGCGGAGCTCCGAAGCCTGCCTGCCAAGCCGTCGCCATCTTGGCTTCACTCCCAATCCTGTCTTAAATACATTTGCAACAACAGCAGAGAGATATTGTGCCTCTTACCAGCAGGATGCTTTCCCAGGCCATCCAGCGGATTGGCAGCACAGCCCGGCCCTGGATCCGGTAGTAGTCGCCACTGTACAGGTTCCTGCTCATGCCGAAATCGGCAATCTTAATGGTGTAATTGTTCCCAACCAAGCAGTTGCGTGTGGCCAAGTCCCGGTGCACAAAGTTCAGGGAGGCCAAGTACTTCATGCCAGAGGCAATTTGGGTAGCCATGAGCAGGAGGTGGAGGCAACTGAGAAATGAAGAGAAAGGCGAGATAATCAAGGGAAGATATTTTAGAATCCCACCAAACCTCTGCCATATCTGCAGGTCAAGAAGGGCAAATCTGTCGATTTCAGTTTCTCTCTTTTCTCATCATAAATTCAGTTCTCCACACCTACAAATATAGGTGTGGAATACTGTATATATATATTCCTTGTGAAAATTATTTGCATGATTTTATATGCATGATTTTTGGTATGCAATTTTGCCCCATACACTCTGTATTTTTGTTGAAAGCTGCCCAGAGTGGCTAGGCAAGGTATAAGAAATATATTATTATTATTATTATTATTATTATTATTATTATTATGAAATTCCATGTATGATATTTTAAGTAATACATGCATTTATCTGCACACTTGGGTAAAATGCATTTTTGTACCCATCAGTTGGCTGGGGGGTTGCACTGCAAAATCTGGAGGAACTCAAATCTCCCCAAAGTTGGCTGTGTTTCAGTTCCTGCATTGTTTTAGAGTGAGCATTTTGCAGGCTTACCTTGAAATGTGAACGGAATTGAATTTCTCTCCTATCTGTAGCCACGAGGGCTACATCCAGCCTCCACCTCCACAGTTAGCACTATGTGGTGGGGAAGGATGTGCACTTGCCACTAAATACCAGTAGCTGGGCTCCCCACAGGCATTTTGTTGGCTACAGTGGGCTTCATTCTGTCTAATGGCAGGGTTGACTCTATTGGCCATGATTGCTATATGCAGCCTCCACATCTGGAATCAGTATGCCACAAAACACCAGTAGCTATTTCCCTTATAGCTTGCTTGTGGGCTTCCCAAAGGCCAATTTGGCCACTGTGGGCAGCAGCATGGTGGCCTAGTCAGGCCATTGGTCTGGCCCAGCAGGAACAGCACAAGGGGGGGCTACCCGCTCTTCTCTCCCCCCGGCCCACTGCCCCTTCCGCTCCATCACCTAACACAGGGAATGTTGTTGGAGAGTGTGAAGGTGCTTCTGCTCTGGCGTTGCAGCAGGAACTGGTGGAGATCCCCGTTCTCCATGTACTCGGTGATCATGCACAGCGGATCGTCCCTCACGCACACACCCAGCAGGCGGATGATGTTTGGGTCCTTCAGCCGGGACATGATCTTGATCTCCTTCAGGAAATCGTTCCTTGGAACAAGGAAAGGACACGTAAAGAGAGTAAGCCAGTCACCTGATGAAAGACATCTTAAGTCAATTTATCAATGTGTTTTAGCCAATCAAGAGACTGCTCAACATACTAATTGTCACCTGTACAATTGTCTCAAGGCAATGTTTAACAAAAACTGCAAACAACAGCTAAAAATACACACAAAAGTAAGTACATTTGAAACAAAACTAAAACCACACAAAATGTAAACAGCTTTGGAATTTTTCGTAAACCACTTTGCTTTGAGCTTTTTTACATTCAAGAGGTGTATAAATTTTTATGAAACAAAAGATAGATACTAATGACAAAGACTAGTTTTTCAATCTGGGAAAGTCTGTCAGAACAAATATATCTTATTTTCGGAGGTGGGTGGTGGGTGGGAGCAGGTTGCTCAGCTGAAAGGACCACCTTTCCCCATATAAACCAACCCAGGCTCTGTGTTCATCATCTGAGGTGCTTCTTCTTGTGCATCCTCCAAAAGCAGTCCAGAGGGAGGCAATCCAAGAACGGGCCTTTTCGGCAGTGGCTCCCTATTTGTGGAATGCTCTCCCCAGGGAGGTTCATCTGGTGCCTTCATTATACATCTTTAGGCACCAGGGGTAAACATTCCTCTTTAGACCTTTGGCTGATTAATGTTCTACAGCCTTTTTAATGTGTTTGTGGGAGTTATTGTTTTTGTTGTTTTCGTTTTAACTATTTATTTGTGCTTTTACCTTGCTTTCTTATCCTGTGGACCACCCTGAAATCTTATGAAGGGCCGCATATAAGTCCAATAAATAAACAAACAAATAAAATATGAGCTTATTTGGTAACATTCATGATTATTTAATATGTTTGGTACAAATATGAACTATGGGGTCTCTTTTACACCACTCATTCTTTTTAATGCTTTCCATGATTTTTATTTTATTACCCTGTAATTTATTCTTCCTGCTTTTATGATTGCTTTTATTATTGCTTTTAGGCTTAGGGTTTTCTCTTTGTTTGAATAATTTTAAATACATATATATTCAATTGTTTCTGGAAAGTGCAGTTGGTGGGTCCCTGTTGTTTCTCAACAGGAATTACGTTCCCACAGAATAGGGGCAGCCACACTAAAACCACTGCTCAGAGTTACTGCAGAGCAGGCTTCTGAGATCTTTGGAACTTGCAGCAGCAATAACAAGTGAATGGATTTCTCCCAAACCCCCATCCCTCATGAGAGCAGACTCTCTCTGGAATTGGCACCACAGCTTGTGCTCACCTGGCTGTCTTGGTGACATTGGCTCTCAGCATCTTTACAGCTACCAGAACTGCCTGGCTGGAGGCTTCTGAGGAAGCACGACCCAAGAATTCCAGGAGACCATCAGCTTCACACAGGTGGACCTTCGTGGGAAAGGACAAAACCAATTTTAGAGTACCGTAATTGTCAAGCAGAGATGGAGAGAAGTAGACTCCTCTCAATGCCCTATCCATACCGTCCATTTTACCCACAAGCATGTTAGGTGCATATTAGAGCAGGTCGCTAATTAACTCTCTTGGAATCTACCTGAAGAATAATTCTTAGATTATTTGGAGATAATGGCAAAGGCTAAATCTAGCTAGGAGGGTCCAGGGTGCAAAAGAGTCCAGTAGTTGTTCACAGTTGTTCTGTCGGCTATTTTTCCAGACCCTGTTCCTTAATCACTACTGCTCCAATGTGTGTGCTCTACGGATATAAGGAGGCAGAGATTTCCAGAGTTTGTCGCTGTCAGCACTGTTTCTGTTCCACTACGGTTCAGCTTCTGCTAAATCCTATGTTACTTGTCATGCAATTTGCAAAGGTTAAAATGAGCGTAATTAATTTCAATGCATTTCAGTGAAAGAGGGGCATCAAAAACAATGCAGAAAGTAATGCAATTATTTCTGTAGTGTTTGTGGATTAAAAAACAACGATGATTGTGGATATTGCTTGTGTCCCCTTGAGTGATTTCTGTTCCTGACCTCAGACGAATATGTGCAATGTGGCAAATTCTATTCACCGTTATTGTTTCCAGGGGAATTCTCTGACAACCTTCATGTACTCTGCACTAATTCGGCACACATGCAACCCAAATTCTGCACCAAGAAAATCTGGACTCTGAGACATGAATAAATTATGTGAATAGAGCAGATTTGCTCCCTGCCCCACCCCCCCGGTGGTTATTCTGCTAGTGATAAGGAGTTAGGGACAGGGATCACAGCTTCACCCCAACCATTGGGCGTGAGATTCAGCTACCCTTCTGTCTGGCTGCGAGGATTTCTCTCTCACCCTTTTGATGACTAGAAAGCTGCCTTCTTTCAAGAAGAGCTGGCATTTGCAAGAATAATGATCTCTGAGCAGGCTATAATCCTCAGGGTTCTTTTTCTGCTCTTTGGGGAAATGCAGCTTGCACAGCCTTGTCAACTGGCAACCCTCAAGCCAAATGGTGCCAGCTTTTCTCATACCTGGTTTGAAGTATATCTGGAAAAAGGAATAAACACACACCTCCCCAAACTGCCCTTCTCCCAGCTTTTCCTTGAGCCGCAGCTGCTGCCTTGGGAACTCAGCCACCGTGATGTCCTTCTTGGTCAACGAGTCCACTGTGATGGCTGGCACGGCGTATGTGTTGTTTCCCGTGACGCCCTGCAGGCTAACAATGTCTGTCTCTGCATAGTGGGGGACGTTGTTCTGGAATCCCTGGTGAGGGGTGCACTTGGTGATGTCTGGCTCGGCATAGTCACCGCTACATGCTAGAACAACAAAAAGGGGGGTTGGCAGATGAAGACGTTGGACTTTTTGGAGCTGGCCGACCTTACTGGAAGAATCCGCGATCAGAAAGAGGAACATCAAGAAGACTGGAAGAAATTTAAGGAATATTTAGCTAGATATCATAATATAACATAAGTTGAAATACTTGCAAGTACTAAATTGGCCTAGGATTAAAGCATGTTGAATTGTGTAATACTATGGATTGAGAATATTATGAAAAGGAAGGAAGACAGCAATTTGAACAAGTTAATTTTATTAGAAAGTGGATATTGGAAAACTGCTATAATGAGATTTATTGAAATTCAGTTGGGGGGATTTGAGGAAGTCACTTAACAATGGAAATAAAATTGTATTTCTAAAAGTTAAGTGTTTTGCATGTTTGTTTGTTCTTTTCAATATTGTAATGTTTTTTTCTTTTCTGTGTGTTATATCTGTTATAAACTTGGAAAACCAATAAAAAAATTTGGGGAAAAAAGAACAAAAAAAGGGGGGGAGAGTTCCCTTGACCAAAAAACCCCCACCACCACATCATGTTTGGTAGTCTGTTTTGTTAAATTCATTTGCGGGTATTTCCATCTCACTTTTCAGCTAGTAAAGCTCTCCGCCTTTGGACAGTGATGCTGCAGACAGTTTAGGGCAAGGTTTCCCAAATTTCAGCTGTTTTTTGACTACAATCCCCATCATCTCTGACCATTGCTCCCGGTAGCTAGGGATGATGGGAGTTGTAGTCCAAAAGCAACTGGATACCCTGGTCTATGGTCTCTGCTACATCGCTCACGGCCTGCAGGAGCAAGTCTAACTGGGACAATGTATTGTCCACGTACAGGAAGAAATCAATTGCCCTCTTCCTTAGATGGGCCACTACAGTTATCAGTGCCTTCAAGAACTTTCCTGGGCTTTAGGGCCAATCCCTGATCCAAAACACAGAATCTGTGATGGCTGGGTGGACTAGTATGCGAGGGTAGGCCTCGGTCCGGTACAGGGAAGCAATGAGGTCCCTAGGCTTGAGACCCTTTGGACTGGTCTTCAAGGTCTCCACCCTGAATTTATTTTGGGTCGGATACCCTCTTGAGCATGGGGAGGCAAACTAAGGCCCGGGGGCTAGATCCTGCCCAATCGCCTTCTAAATCCAGCATGTGCCCTTTAATCAAAAAAGGCATCTCTGGGTTATTTGTGTGGCCTGCCTGGTGTTTTTACATGAGTAGAATGTGTGCTTTTATTTAAAATGCATCTCTGGGTTATTTGTGGGGCATAGGAATTCGTTCATTTCCCCCCCCCCAAAAAAAAATGCTCCAGCCCCCCACAAGGTCTGTCGGGCAGTGGACCGGCCCCCTGCTGAAAAAGTTTGCTGACCCCTGCTCTTGAGGTCCAGGTTGGCCCTCCATACGCCTGATTTCTTTCAGACCATAAGGAGAATAGGGTAGTGGCCAGATCCCCGCTGATCTCCAGCAAATGCTGGATTGCCTGAAGCATCAAGAAATGCAGGGATGCTCTGCTCCTGAAAAAAGCCCTTTCCACCTTCTTCAAGCCCTTTTCCAAGGCTCCTGCCACCACCACCACAGAACATCCAAGGCTGTAGGCCCGAAAAAGGCTGACAAAATGGAAACCAGGAGGAAGGAAAATTGAGATCTATGAAGCTGGGAGAGAGTGAAAACTCAGTAGGAGTAGCATAAGGGAGCAGAAAGAGGAGCTAGGAACAAATGAAGGAAGGAAGAACAAAGAACAAAATCCTTTCCAAGATGGCGTTCCCGCCTCTTTTCTTTAGTCTTGCTTAGAGCACCCGGCAGTCGACCTGCCGTGGAGATGTCAGGAAATGAAACTGGAGATGGGGTTGTCTCTAAAAGATTTTGCTTCCAGCCAATGGAGAGATGGGCAGAGACAACCCTCCCCATACAGGAGGAGGTATCTTTGTCTGCCAGAGGCAGAGCACATAAGTATATGCTTCACCCTACCTATTGCTAGAGCCAGCCATAGTTCAGAGTCCACACAGCCCAATCTGTCTGCTCTGAAATGCATTGCTGCCACTGCAGGTGGTCCTACCTGAGTCCTCAGCACTTTGGGAGAGCTCAGGCAGTTTCTGAAGGAGAGTGATGGGCTGGTGATATTCCAGGTCCAGTGGGAAGACCCTCTCATAGGTGGGGTTAGTCTGGTGGATCTGTGTCTGGCCATTGACAATTCTGGAGCTGTAGAAGGACAGCCGAACGGTGGCATCTTCTTCCAGGATCCGCCGGGGAGCCTAAGGGCAGAGAGGAGAAAGCTGGTGAACCCTCTACATCAGGCATGTCCAACTCCCAGGAGACTGCGATCTACTCCCACTATAAAAAACTGGCAGTGATCTACCCATTGGATTGACCAAAGTTGTTGAGTTTTTTGGAGGGGAGGATTGATCAGAGCTGTTGAGCTTTTTTGGGAGAGGAACCCTCATGACTGCATGATCATCCTTGAAAGTGTACAGTCAATACCTGATGATATTTCAGAAGCAAAGGGGCATGTATCCTTGTACTCTTTTGTTTGCTACCTTATCCTTGTACTTAAGGAGTGTGTGAGCCTATCAGCCAAAAGTCTGCCTTTCTGAATAGTCTATTTGGTCAACTGGTTAATAATAATAATAATAATAATAATAATAATAATAATAATAATTTATTCGTATCCCGCCCTCCCCAGCCAAGGCCGGGCTCACAGCAGCTATCATCACAAAAATGCTCTTTGATGGCTCAGGACTGACTGGTATTCTCTTGGTTGTGAAGAGAACATAAGAAGAGCCCTAAAGAATCAGACTAAGACCCATCCTGGTGTCCTGTTTCCCACTGTGGCAAATCAAACACCACTGGTAAACCCACAAAAGCAGAGCTTGAATGCAATAGCCCTTTCCCATTGTTGCTCACTAGTGGATGATGTTCACTGGTTGACTTCCTCATGCTCAAAACTAGAGACCTCCTTGCCTCCTCCATAATTGTATCTAACACCCTTTGAAAGCCATCCAGATGCTCACACTGCATCTCTACGACAGTGAATCCTGCACAGAATCATAGAATTGGAAGGGACCCCAAGGGTCATCTAGCCCAACCCTCTGCAATGCAGGATTCTCAACTAGACCATACATGACAGATGGCCATCCAAGCTCTGCTTAAAAGCCTCCAAAGAAGGAAACAGAAGTCATTCCTTTCATCTGTCCTGAACTGCCCCTACATGGTGATCCAGTTCCCCACCCCGATCCAAGTTCTAGAACACTCAGTGTGGGAGATGCTCATGTGATTCCTCAGTTCCCCAAGCATGAAGGGTCACAGCTATTTGAATGAAAAAGGTCCCAGGTTCAATCCCTGGGATCTCCAGGTAGGTCTGGGATAGGGTCCTTGTCTGAAATCCTGGAGAACTGCTGACAGTTAGTCTAGGCAGGCACCTTTCAGGTGGGTACCATTACGTTATAAGAGAACAAGGAGGTGTTCATGATGAGTTCCAAAACTTCTTTTTCTAGAAAAATAGCACTGAGTGTAGGCATTATTGAGCTAGATGGACCAATAGTCTGGACTCAGCATAAGGTATCTTCCTACGTTCCTATGAATACCTATGCAGTCAATCTTTGGGGTTGGCTCCTCTCCTTCCTGGAGGATGAGCTTGGGTTGCTAGGACAGCCTTGGATTTAAGCACTAGCCTGGTTACCACTGGTGAGAACAAATTCTACACTGGTGAGTGTGCTGGCTGGCGAAGGAGAAACAGAGCCCTCTGTCCCCCATTCTGATAGTTGAGGAAGCTTGTTTTCTGGCTGGTAACATTTGTGGGCTTATTTACAAGGCTGTGCTAGGAAGTTTTCCCGCAGCCAGACAATCTACCATAGGACACAAGATACCGTCTCCAGCCGCATCTGGACGTGCTGCCTCCACAGGATAGCAACAATGACGAAAAGCAGCAGCAAGATAATGGCCACAAGGCAGCTGACCAGACTGGAGGTGTTGGAGTCCTCTGCCTTCGGAGCCACCCAGGGACTCGTTGCAGCAGGTGGCGAGGTGGTCCCTGCAATGGCAAGGAGGTGGTCAATCAATCAGTCAGTCAGTCCACTAATCAAATAATTGTACTTGTGGCAGATTCCACAGTGGTCCTTGAAAGGGCAGGCAGTAGCAGTAGATATAAGAATAATTAAATAGGCTGAATGCTAGTCTTACTCAGAGCAGACCCAACGAAATTAAGGGATCTAGGTTTTTATGTTTTAATTCGAATTGCTTTTAGAATGTTTTCAGCTGTAACTGCTTTCTGTTATTTTTGTTTGCAAGTTTTTCCAGAATATTTTAATCAGTTTTAGAAGGACTTTGCTTTTTTTTTTTTAACCAAGAGCTGTTTAGGGGGAAGAGGGTATAATGCAATAAATTAGCCACGACCATTATTTTCAATTGGTATACTCTGGATTAGGGCTAACTTTGAATAGCTCTATGCAAGACAAATGCTTTGCTGGAACATATGCATGAGAAGATGGACTTGATGAATGAGAAAATGGATTTGACTGTTGTGGTTGATAACTGTGGACAAACAGGGAACATTGATACAGAAATCAGTCAGGAACCAACCTATGAATTTGTACTGACTGGGCAAGTGCAGATGACAATGGAGGAGGATGCGGCTGCACCTCAAATAGTACAAATGGAGAGACCCGAGGCCCTACAGGAGCATAAGCCGCTGTTATTGAAGATTGAAATTGGAGTGGGCCAAGGGGAGTCTGGAGACGAGGAGATTCCTAGCTTTGGAGAGATCTTGAAATTTGATTTTAAATACATTTTAGATTATATCGAGGACTGTGGGGAGTGGGACTGTGGGGAATGGGCAAGCTGGATGAAGGGTGATGGAGATAATTTTGGGTTGGAATCCCCCAGAGAACTACTCCTCAATGAGAAAGGAAAGAAACTAAGACAGAGACCAACAAAAGACAAGGAAAAGGGCAAGCACAAACAAGATGAAGAAGAATTGCAGAAGGGACATGGAAGAGACTTAAGGGCCTCGGACATAAGGCTTCCAGGTTGATGGACTAGATGGAATGGACAGTAAGGACTGACACGACCCGAGACCAGGAAGAAGAGACGCTGGATGATGATTGAAAGAGAATTTATAATGGAAATTTTGTATTTTAGAATCAGCTTAATGAATATTAGGAAAATGTGGGAATGAAACTATACGACTCTAGCAGAAATGTTATCAGGAGCTATGTATATTTGAAAACTAAGATTTAAGTCTTAAGGTACATAGGGGTAAGATAAGGTTAAATAAATTAAGATAATTTGAATAACAGAATATGGGGAAAGATGGAAAGGATTTGTTGAGTTAATTATTAGGTTAAATTGTTAAGATAAATTTATAACAAAAATTGAGAAAGATGGAAAGAATTTGCTGAAATAATTATCAAACTAGAATACAAAAAGGGAGGTGTGAGGAGGTCAATGAAACAAGCAAATGGAAATTATGGATATGCAATTTGGGATTTGTGTTTTTTTTCTCCTTTTTTTTTTCCTTCTTTATTTTCTTTTGCTGTATTGTCGTATATTTTGTGCTTTTCTCTTTATTTATTTATTTTTCTTTTCTTTTTTTTGTATTGTAGTGTTGTTGTTTTTTGTTTTTTATTTTTCTTGTAATCCTGAAATTATCAATAAATATTACTCAAAAAAAACCCAAAAAACTTTGAATAGTTATTTATTTATGTGACTTGCATTTTGATGCTTAGGATGCCTCAAGTCTGCTGCAGCCATACTGGACCATCAACACATCATTCCTCTTTATTAGTTGTTCCCAAATGCTTCCCCAATGTTATTAAATTATTGGTGTCTGGAGGGGCTCTCTTGAGCTATAACACAATAGACGTGGGGGGAATTACAGGATTTCAGCAGGAAGTTACAGGACATGTGCTGATTGAAAATGAAGCTGGATGTCTGCCCCAGGGAATGGTAATGAAATCAGTACAATGTATAAGTGTTCCAATATAAAGAATGCACAGATAATCATGAACGCAGAATAAAAAAGGACACCTCGAATCTCTAAGTGGATCGCACAAAATGCTATCATAAAAGCACATGCCAGAATGCAAATGGTTAAAAAAAAATCAATAGAATGTTAAGCAAAATATTGCAACAAAAATGCTGAGCAGTGTGATCAGAAAAGTAATAATAAATTTTTATTTATACCCCGCCCTCCCCAGCCAAGACTGGGCTCAGGGCAGCTGAGTAAAAGTAAAGTAAGAGCCAGTGAAAGCAGTAGTTGTAGAACAAGCAACAATCTCGCCTACATAGCTTTTATTCCTTTAAATTGAAAAAGTCCCAGACGCTTTCAACTGGGGAAATGACCTTTGCCAACCTAGTTGCTGACGTTCCTAAATCCTTGGCAGGGACACCAACTCCTTGGGGTCCGAGCCCTTTTCAGCACCCTTATGGAGGTAGAGGCCACCCCCTCCCCAATATCCCACAAGCGCAGAGCACAGAGTGGTGCAATGCAGCTCAAGCAGCTGGCTCCTCCTCCTCCTCCTCTTGCCGCAGAGGGGAAGGAGGGTTGATGCAGCCTCCTGCCAGTGGAGCTGTCAGGAGGAGGCAAAGGAGGAGCCACCGGCCATTGAAACCGTGCAGCCAAAGTGTTCAGCTCTGCCCCTGGCTCCACCGAACGTCCTCTGGCGCCTCTGATCCATGGACATGGCAATCGGCCTCATACTTACACCAAGTCCCTTCTGTTGCGTTGAGTTCCTCTGACGGGAGTATCTCTGAGGTTGTGCTTGAGGCCAGAGTGACCATAATGGGGTCACTGGCATCCATATCTGCTGGAGAAGCAATGACAACAGGGTGTGGGCAAGAAACACATTAGTCTGTCGCTCAGAGCCTGGCCATTTCACATTGCGGAGCCAGGTAGAGAGAACCTGGCCATCCAGACACTCAGCTGGAGAACAGCAAGATCTCATTTTCTGTGGGGTTTATCCACAGGGGGGCCTTCCAGCTGTTATTGGACTCCAATTCCCAGCAGCCCCAGCAGCCTGCACAGCCAACAGTCAGGGATGAATGGAGCTGTAGTCCAACAAAATCTGAACAACTACAGGTCTCCTCTCCCTAGTGCCTCAGACTGGTCATACTGGCTAATGGCACTCCAGATCAGGCCATCTTCTGTAGCCCTCTCCCTTTTTTTGGTCATGCATATTTTCAACCATAAGGGCTAGATACTTCTTTAAATGAAAGTTTACATTATAAGAAAACTGAATTCTTCACACACCACCTATACCAGTGTGGTATAGAGGACAGCATATTAGAATAGGCCCAGGGAGACAAAAGTTCATAACCTCCACTTAGCAATGAAGCTTTATGACATATAAGACAGCAGGTCTCTAGCCTGGGAAGTTTCCGGTGCATAGTTTGGCACAAAGAGAAGGAAAGATGAGGGAGGAGAGGGGTGGGAAGGCAGGGATTGACAGAGGAAGAATGGGGTTATTTCAATTACACCTATTTAAAACTTTGTTCTCTTGAGCCTGTCACTCTTATATCCCGCAGTCCAACCAACCTCACAGGGTTATTGCAAAGATAAAGTGGGAGCGGGGGTGGTACAAAAACCCAATAAATAATAAAATAGGGGCGCGGGTGTCTTGGGCTTGCCAATCAGAAGGTCAGTGGTTCGAATCCCTGCGACAGAGTGAGCTCCCGTTGCTCTGTCCCAGCTCCTACCAACCTAGCAGTTTGAAAGCATGCCAGTGCAAGTAGATAAATAGGTACTGCTGCGGCAGGAAGGTAAATGGCGTTTCTGTCATGGTGTTCCATTGAGCCAGAAACAGTTTAGTCATGCTGGCCACATGACCCAGAAAGCTGTCTGTGGACAAACGCCAGCTCTCTCCGCCTGAAGCGAGATGAGCGCCACAACGCCATAATTGCCTTTGACTGGACTTAACCATCAAGGGGTCCTTTATCTTTTCTTTTACCCAATAAATAATATAATCATTAATAATTTGATGCTGTTGAGGCGCATCTGGAAGAAACACAGTATATACCAGGCAAAATATTATTCTGCACTTGCAAATGAAGCTATTCCCAAGGCTGCTCACCTGATTGGAAGGAAATTTCACTGATCATCATCCAAGTGTCAGCAAAGTAGAAGTGGCAAAGTATGGCTTTCCCCACACGCTGACTGAGGGGGACGGTCACAAATCGTGCGCTGGGGTTCTTGTCGTCCAAGACGGTGTCCACGCCCACGGGGTCTGGCTCCCACTCAGCGATCAGCCGTGGCTTGAAGAAGCACTCCACCCTCTCAAAGATCTTCACTCCCTTGGAAAACATGTTGTTGCAATGGACCTAGAGTTGGAAACAGCAGTGGCCACGTTCAAGCACTCTTTTCTCCCTCAGTGGACCGGGAGGGTTATAAAATGGCTACCAATACAGGATGCAAGCAACATGGCTGCCAAGGGCCCTACCTTCATGGAGGTTTGTTTTTTAAAACATAGTTATTAATTTTTCTGACGCAAAGTGAGTTATAACAGGCTTAAGACATAACATAACATAAGACATAACATAACATAACAACATAACAGAACAGAACAGAACAGAACAGAACAGGCTTAAGACAGTTCAATAACTATACATACGGGTAACCTTATTTATTTATTATTTATCTTAATTCTTTCTTTTTTCATATATATACAGTATATGGGCTACAGGGTTCTGAGGTGAAAATATAATCAAAAGGTCCACTAGTGTTAGGGTACATTGGAGGCAGAGAGCAGGCATTTTTCTTATTTCTATGTTTTCTCAAATGAGTTCTTTATCTTTTGTCCCCTGGTTGCCTTTAGTTTTTGTGTTAATTTCTCTAAAATAGCACATTGCCAAGCCTTTCGGTACCGCTGATACGAACTTTCTGGAGTGTCCATCAGTTCTGAGCTCTGGCAGCCAACAGCAAACGACTCAGCAGCACTTTATGGTTGAGATCTAAACTTCTGTCTGGAAACATATTTAACAACACCAACGTCAAAGATGGATGTATCCACTGACCAGTAATCTCAGTGATCTCCAGACATACCTTCATGGATGTGAAGTTCCTTTGCCGATCGAACTGGAACTCCATCTCAACGGCACCGCTGCTGAAGCTGTCGTTCTTCCAGCCAACGTAGTCGTAGCCTGGCCACACGCGGTACTGGTGGCTCTTGGTGAAATCGTCCAAGCCTAGAACGCCATCTGTCAGCTGGCCCAACCCACCATGCAGGAGCCTGGCAAGAGAGCATTTGCGGTTACATGCCAGCAAGGAGCATCCCTAGACTGAGAGGTGCCGTCTTCAAGGACATGCCAGGCCTTTCCACCGAATGATCAGCTTTCGTTAAAGGGAGGGGAGATGAAAGGGTTAAGAAGGCGGACAAAATACACTTAAGAGGCAGTGCTTTTTCCCAGGGGGTACTCAAAGGTATGCAGTACCAGCACCTCTTTTGTTAAAAAGTGTAGCACTTACTGTAACAACTTCATGGTGAGTACCGGTACCTATTTTTCTAGGGGGAAAAGCACTGCTTAGAGGGAAGCGGCTACATAAGGGCAAAACTAAATGGGTTGTCAAATTGCATGCACAGACAATGAATGTGCGTTATCTTTTTTGCTATGCAAATAGAAGCTGGTGGGAAAAGAGGCATTTAACTCATTGGGCCTGCCAAGAACTCCTTATTTAGTGTACATTCATGATGACTGATGCTCTCGATGGGCCTGTGAATGTTTCTTCATTTCCAACTGCTGCATGTCCTGCTACTTCCTGCTGAAATCCTGCCACTTTGCATACCACAAAAGTTCAGGGTGGGGTCCCGCTTTTGTTGTGTCATAGCACAAGAGTGCCCCACCGGATGGCAATAATGCAGCAATGCTGGGGAAGCATCATGGAACAACTCAAACAGCAGAATGATATGTGGACAGTCCCGTATAAATCCAGCACAAATACTCTATTAAACTATCAATGGCACACTGCAGAATACACCCACATTTAAGAATGAAAAACACCACTCTGGAGGTGCCCTTTCTCTCCCTGTCATGCCCCTGACCAAAAGATCCCCTATCAGAAGCTCTGTTGGTGCAAACCAAGCGGAATGTCTCTTGAAATGAAAAGCAGATTCAGAGAGAAGAGATTTCTGTTGAGACTGCCTGAGGCAGTGAGAGAAAGAGCTAACCTCTCCCCCACCACCACCACCTCCCCGCTCACTCCCATTAGTCCTGGGGCTGCTTAAGATTTCCCTTGGGTGCCATTTACAGGACAACAAAATGTACTTTTTAACTGCATTCCCACCATTAACAGCACACCCAGTTTAGCCCTAAGATTTCCAGTGGCTGGACAGTGTGGCTGCAGCCTGACTCATTTGCTCTCCCCTGTGACTAATAGAGGTCAAATAAGTTATGCAAAACATATATGCACATTTTCTTGATCTGTTATGCAGATTGCGAAATGCAGCTTCGTTGGGTCACACAATTTATGTTGTCATAGTTTGAGTGCAGTCCACCCGCTGTCCAGCTATTTAATGCCTGTTCTGAGCACCCCAAAAATCCCAGGCACTGATCTCCTTCCACCGCCCAGTTTGGAAGGTGGCCTTCAGGCTGAACAAGGTTCCCCATCCCTGTTTTAGAGTACTGAGGGAGAAAGGGATGTTTCACCCACCCATGCAGGGCGTTTCTTACCTGCGCTCCTGATAACCATCATAGGTTGAGTCGTTCAGGTAAACGATGGGGTGGCCAGGAGCTGCAATCATCTCCCCCTCAGGCATGCTATAGGATTCCAAACCATCTAGGAAAGGAGACAACTAGGGGTCAGTTGGAGGCTTTTGAGCCCTCTGCCTGTACATCCTACCTGAGCAAGAGGAGCAAGGGTCTTCTTCCCATCTCTTCTTGGCCACAGGTGGCCAAGGCAGAAAACAAGCAGGCTTTCAAGCCAGGCAGCAAGAATGAGCCTTCTGGTGGCAGCTCAATCGATACCTGAGCAATGATTTGCTCAGTGTTGTGGATCTAGACCAGAGTCAGCAGCTATATAGTTCGAGCTGGGACTCTGACCAGTGGTGCTGCTGAAGAAAAGCAGATAAGAACCCAGCAAGCATCTCCACCTCAACGTACCATATGGAGCTGCCTTCTTCAAGATGGTGCCCTCCAGATGTTTTGGACAATCACCCCCATCATCCCTGACTGTTGGGGCTATTCTGGCCAGGGCTAATAGGAGTTAATAGTCCAAAATATCTGGAGGACATTGGGAGGAGGACAGCTGATACAGAGAGTTACAAACACCAGGGTCCCATGACCAGAATTCCCTGCAGCCTTATCGGGGACTTGCTGAAGTTCAAGTCCTTACCAGACCAAACACAACCATAGAGTTCCACCCGCATGCAGACAGTCATGGGCTGCTCAGTCACTGGGATCACTCGGATGTAGCGGGCAATTACAGGCGGGCGAAGGTCTTTCAGGACAACGTCATACGTGTCAGTGTTGCCTTGAATCACCTGGATTGGAAAGAGGTCATGATAAGGCTATTGTGCAATCAGCATCTGATAAGCAGCAAACACTAGAGCACTGATGAAGAATCACAGGCCAAGGGGTTAAATGTGGCCCTCTGGGCCCCTCTATCTGGCCCTAAGGACTCCAACCATGCCACACCCCTCACCAGCCCTACTTTGTTACCACACAGCCTGTTTATCAAGCATTCCCCAATTGGTTTGCAAGGGGATTAGATGACGTTGGCTATTTAACGAACATTCCACCTGATTTGTATGCGGGGAGGTTAGATGATGGTTGCATCAAAACAAGGGTTATCACCCACCCCACTCACACATGAAAACAAAGACCACCACAGCCAACCACAAATGAGTAACCACACCCTAGGCCAACCCCAACCTCTCTCACCACCAAAGGAAGACAAGTGAACAGCAAAGAACCTGCACTAGCAACACTGACACCAAACCCTACATATAGTAAGTAAAATAGAAACATCGCCACCCGACCCCCCCATCTTCCCTCCACCTCTTTCCCCCTTTTCTTCCTGATGTCTCAATAAATGAAACTGATCTGTAAAAATGTTACATGGGGGGAAAAATACAAGAGACATTGCGCGCGCGCACACACACAAAATAGGCCAGTGCTCTCAGTATAAAGCAGTTTCCTGTGCTTCAAAGTAAATACCTTGGCACCTGCTGATAAATTTTCAACCAGAAACAGATCCAGAGAATGGTCTGAACTGAGCGCAACAAGGAGTTCAAGGGCTGAAGTTAAAGAATTTTGGAGAGAGTTTGGAGGTCACCTGGATAGGTGACCTAATAATTATTTTTAATGAGGTTTAGTAACTTTTGCAGATTTTCAAGGGCTCGTCACTTTCTTCAGAGATGTCCTGACCACATCTCACCCACCTGCTTGTTCTGACGATCTTTCCAAGAGAGCCATCGCTCCCCGTTGCGGCTATAGTCGATCCGGTAGGCACGGGCAAACTCTTTCCCAGTTGCCCGGGCATGCCGACCTTGCGTCCCCACCAGTGTGATGAAGAAGAGTTTATGCAGGTCTATCTGGAGAAACTGCACATCTTCAGGTTGCAGGAGACCCGCTGGACACCATGCCCCATCACCCTCTTCTCTCAGCAACCTGAGAGATAGAGAGAGAAAAATAATGTCACAGCTCAAAGATCAGGTATGAAAGTGGGAAGAACATGCAAGGCCAGCCTGAGCACAAAATTCATGTGTTCTATGTGTGGCTGCTGTTGAGATTGGTCTGGAAGCTGCAGCCAGTGCAACATGCCGTGGCTTGAGTGCTCACTGGGGCAGGATATCACCACCATGCTCTAGTGCTGCTGGGGGGAGGGGAATGCACTGGCTGTCAATTAGCTACCAAGTTATGTTCAAGATGTTGGTTCTGGTGTATAAAGCCCCATACAGCTTGGGACCAGAATATCTGAAAGATTGGTTCATCCATTATATACGTGATTGATCACTGTGCTCTGCAGGAGAGAGATGCCTATGGATACCACCTTTCCAGGAGATTGTTATGCGCAATATAGGAACCTTTGGTATAACACCAACCTTTTGGAATTCCCTCCTGTTAAATATTATGACAGGTATAATCTCTGTTGTCTTTCTGGCAGCTGCCAAATAGCTCCCTCTTTCAACAACAAGAGGTATTTCCCAGACTGTACTGGATTTTTTCTTTTAGTTCTGCTTTGTTTTATAGCTTGCCCTGAAGCTAAGCCCCACAGGTCACCCTGCTCACCGTGCATACTGAGGCCCCGTGGAGTCATACCACTGGCTGGAAGCAGTGATGTCCTCATCTCGGATGGTCCCTTCGTGCATCCCCAGAGGGTATCGGCATATCGCTGAGGGAAGAAGAAGAGTTTGGATTTGATATCCCGCTTTATCACTACCCTAGGGAGTCTCAAAGCAGATAACATTCTCCTTTCCCTTCCTCCCCCACAACAAACACTCTGTGAGGTGAGTGAGGCTGAGAGACTTCAGAGAAGTGTGACTAGCCCAGGGTCACCCAGCAGCTGCATGTGGAGGAATGGGGAAGCGAACCCAGTTCACCAGATTACGAGTCTACCACTCTTAACCACTACACCACACTGGCTCTCAGGGAGGGAGGGGACGGGAGGCAAAATGGTCACATTAGCATAAAGGCAGAGAACTTTTAAGAAAGCAGAAATATGCCCGGTTATCACTCTACAGGATCCACTTTCATTTTATCACTGCTCAGGATTGATTCATTGTGGGGGGGGATGGGCTCATGTTAACAACACTGGGAGTAGCACTGCTTTAACTGACCGCTTGCCACTGCCCTGGGCTCATTCTCCACATAACACCTTCTGAAGTTGCAGAGTCGCCAATAAATGCCTCCTTGGGTACTGTGAAGTTACGAGAGCACACAAATTGCCCTGCTAAATTGCCTTGTCAGAGGGGCTGCAGTTCGGGGTGGGGAATCTTTTTTAGACCAAGGGTCACATTCCCTCATGTGACACCTGAGGGCTATGTGCCAGTGGATGGAGCAACAGGTGTGGCTCCTAACTCTTTACAGTAAAAGCCAGAGGTTTCTACATGCAGCCAACCCTGCACGCATCTCACAGATTGCTATCCATGCAAGCAAGAGGCATAACTGCAGTTCAAAAGCAGGCAAAAGCTCTTTGAGCAGAGAGCAGAGCAGGGCCTTCGAGGAATGGGGGCAGGAGCTTGGGAAGAGCCCCAAAAAGGGCCACTTTTGGGGCCCAAACCTGAGGTTCCCCGCTCCCCTTGTGGCTGCATGATTCCTGCCTTGATCAGGGGTCAGGCTACATGGCCTCTGAGTTCCCTTCTAACTCTTATAATTATAACTCTTATAATTCCTTCAAACCAAGCATTTGAAAGCCAGTCACCAGAACTCCCTCCACCAAACAAGATGGAAAGGGTGCCAATCCTATGAAGGCCACATTTGTCAGGCTCCCATCCCAAATCACGACCATAGCAGCTTTTTCTTGAGAGCAAGGAACAGATCCTCCTCTCAAATGAAGAAGAGTTTGGATTTGATATCCCACTTTATCACTACCGGAAGGAGCCTCAAAGCGGCTAACAATCTCCTTTCCCTTCCTCCCCCACAACAAACGCTTTTTGAGGCGAGTGGGCTGAGAGACTTCAGAGAAGCGTGTCTAGCCCAAGGTCACCCAGCAGCTGCATGTGGAGGAGCAGAGACGCGAACCCGGATCACCAGATTATGAGTCCACCACTCTTAACCACTACACCACACTGGCTCTCAGACAGGCGGAGAAGAGAGCCACCAGTTCTGCTTCTCCCTCTTTGACATCTAGAGGCACAAGGCAAGGTCCTCCCTCCTGCCTCAATCCCTGGGGACCAGCCTTCCAGCCCTCCATCTGCTGCTCCTCCTTTGTCTTCTTCCGTCTGGGGCTGCCAAACCATGCCAGATTCTGACGGAGCTGAGGAGCCAGTGAAAACTCAATACGTGGCCTGATATTCTTCACCTGTAGATAGTCCCTGGGTAACATCAATATATCCTTATGGCTTCCAGCGCCACTAATAGGCTGGTAACTCCCACCCAGCCCTACACTGCCACCCCAGAACTTCCTCTCACTCTCCTGTCCTGCATTGCCAAGCCTGTCCATTTCTGGCACCACATTTTAAGAAGGATGCAAGAAAACAGGGTTCAGAGCTTTACCCCACAGTCAAATCTGGCCTGTGAAGCTAGATCCTGATAAGCATCTGCCCCATGGAGCCAAAAATGTTTCCCCACCCTTGTTGTCAACCAACCCTCTCATCTTTCCTGCCAAACCCTGCCCTCCTTGTTCATTCTCCTGCGTTTACTTTATTTATTTGATTCCATTTATGAACTGCTTCCCATAAAATATCCCGAGGCAATGTCACCATAAAAACACCACTAAAAACAATTTGAAATAATCCCATATGGAAAAATAATTATATATGTGCAAACATTAAAAGTAATATATATATATAAATGCAATTAAAAACTACAGTGGTACCTCTGGTTAAGCACTTAATTCATTCCGGAGGTCCAGTTCTTAACCTGAAACTGTTCTTAACCTGAGGTACCACTTTAGCTAATGGAGCCTCCCACTGCCGGCGCACGATTTCTGTTCTCATCCTGAGGTAAAGTTCTTAACCCAAGGTACTATTTCTGGGTTAGCAGAGTCTGTAACCTGAAGCATCTGTAACCCGAGGTACCACTGTATTCTGAATATAAATGCAGTTAAAAACAATTAATTAATGCAATATATTGATGCAATTTTAAAAACTTACATACAGTCATACCTCGGGTTGAATGTGCTTCAGGTTGAGCGTGTTCGGGTTGCACTCCGCAGCAACCCAGAAGTAACGGAGCGTGTTACTTCTGGGTTTCACCGCTCGCGCATGCGCAGATGCTCAAAATGATGTCATGCGCATGCGTGGAAGTGGCAAAACGCGAACGGCACACATGCAGACGCGCCGTTGCGTCTTACGTTCCATTCAGAATGTGAATGGGGCTCCGGAATGGATCCCGTTCGCATCCCGAGGTACCACTGTATGTAGTTGCAAATTTCAAAGTTAAACGCATAGAACAGGCATATTAGCCTTGCCTTTATCTTAACTCCTCTTCTCCTTTTGTTACCTATATTCTGTCCACTGTCAAGGCAGGTCAGGTCGGGTCAGGTCACCTTTTACAAGAAACATAGCCAAACACAGTGCCTTTCAGAGGCTGTGGACTACAACTCCCAACAGGCTTGGCCCTCGCCCTTGCTGGCTGCTGGAGTCCCAACGTCACCTGGAGAGAATCGTGCTGGCTACCACTCTTTTACAACATTGCAAAAATACAGCCCTTCCTCTCTGTCCCCTTGGCAGAAACCAAAACAAGCTTGTCTACACTTTGTCACCTCTTACTTAGGCCAGTCTTCCCCAGCCTTGTATCCTACAAAGGTTTGGACTCAAGCTCCCATTAGCCCTAGCTAGCATAGCCGATGGTCAGGGATGATGGGAGCTGCAGCCTGCCTGTTCCAGTGCCTGAACCGCCAATTGCCCCATGACCTGGCATGAGTCCGGCACTTCTGATCCCAGCTGCTGCCTAAGAAGGTAAGGAGAGTCTGCTGGATCAGGTGAACAGAACAGAACAGCCCATCTAGTCCAGCACCCAGCACTCACAGTGGCCAACCAGATTCCCCAGTGGGAAGCCTGCAAGAAGGACCTGAGCACAAAAGCGCTCTCCCTTCTTGTGGTTTCTAGTCACTGGTATTCATTGATAGCTACAGGTGAAACTCGAAAAATTAGAATATCGTAGAAAAGTTCCTTTATTTCAGTAATTCAACTTCAAAGGTAAAACTAATATATGAGATCGACTCATGACATGCAAAGCGAGATCTGCTTCTACTTCTCAGAGGTCCAATCTTGCTCGATTTGCAATCCTTGTTTTGCTGATTTCCTTGAATATTCTAATTTTCTGAGATGGTTAATTTGGGGTTTTCATCAGCTGTACGCCGTGATCATCGCAATGATAACAAATCAAGGCTTGACATATCTCGCTTTGCATGTCACAAGTCTATCTCATATATTAGTTTCACCTTTGAAGTTGAATTAGTGAAAGAAAGGAACTTTTCCACAATATTCTAATTTTTCAAGTTTCACCTGAATTTGTCCAATCCTATTTGAAAGCCATCAAAATTGGGGGCCATCACAGCCTCCTGTGGGAGTGAGCCCCATGAAGTTAACTATGGTCTGTATGAATTTATTTCTTTTATCTATCCTGAATCTTCCAGCATTCAGCTTCGCTGAATGTCCACACATTGCAGTGTTTTGAGAGAGGGAGAAAAACTTTCCTCTATCCACTTTCTCCATGCCATGCATCATTTTATAAACTTCTATCAGGTCACCTCTTATTCATTTCCCACCTCTAAATTAAAGTCCCAAATGCCGCAGTATCACCCCAATTTATGTCTCCTCCAAGCTGTGCTAAGGCCTCACATTTTGTTATAAAACACAGCAGCTAGCACTGAGGGTAGGATGGGGGAAGAAATTAAGTTTGCACCGAGAGGCATAGCAACATACTGTAATCTGTATTTTCCAAAAGAAGATGGCAACTAAAACACAGCCATCCTTCAAAATTTGCACTCTTCTGAATTTTGCAGTGCAGTTCTCAAGTCAAATAATGTGTGCAAAAAAATCAGACACCAGCGTGTCAGTGTGCATAGAAATGCATTCGATCCTGAAAATAGCACAAAATTGAGGGAAACTTCTTTGCATATGTTTTCTAGGCCAAATTGCAATTTTAAAAATGGAAGAATTTGCACTAAGATGCTAATGAATTTTACTGAGGGCTTTTAAAAAACAGCAACCACAGACTGATGTGGAGAGCTGAAAATTATAATGGATACTGAAATTGACAGACTGTTTTTCCCTGAGAGTCTCATGCAGGAACCCAGAAGTCCCTGGCTGTTGGGGTACAGAGATTGGGATGGCTCACCCAACAATTTAACAACACACCAAGGGCTTCCTACCAGGGTTGACTTCAGAGCTGGAGCAACAAGAGAGGCTGGCAAGCAGGAGGAGTGGCAAGCAGAGCATCCTTGGAGATGTGGGAGACGATGCCCACAGCCCGCGGGGTCAGTCGGGCGGTCCTCCCTGGCCGCCAGTCACTGCCATTCAGATCTCTGAGAAAAGGAAGAAAGACATGATTGGCTTGCAGCTAGATTTTCAGGCGATGTGTACCTATGGTGATATAAAAGCGGTGTCTAACCGTTTTTTGTTTTTTGTTTTTTGTTTTGGTTCAAGATCTGCATTCACCCCTGGCCAACTCTTTAAGTAAATAGAGATTTATGGACCCAGGGCATGCAAGTTTACTATCTTATATGATAGGGATAATCATGCATGTAAACTGTATGCAAATTATCCAGGGCTGCAAAGGCAAGAAAACATCATAGGGGTGGCCTAGCAAGCTATCATAGGTGCTGACCCTTGAGTGTTTCATTGGGCATGTTCGGACTTGCTATTTTGGGGTAGGATTCAGTCACATACTGGGAAATTCAGCTTATCCAATTATAATTGATTGGGAGGTCACTCCCCCCCCCCCCGCAAAAAAAAACTTGACTTTTTGAGATAAGGAAATGTACTGGAATGGAAGGGAGACACTTTGCTTTCACATGCCATCAGCTAACCTTCCTTCAAGCAAAGCAGAATAAATGCTTATTAAATAGCCAGCTTAATCTAATCTGTCCAGAAATAGATCCGGTTGATCAATAAAATAGGTGTCAGGAAGCACACATTCATAGAATACCTCCAGGGTGAATTTTTATTTAAAAATATTTCCAGGTTATAAGAACATAGGGAGCTACCTTATACTGTACCATGTCAGACCATTCATCCGTTTAGCTCTATATTGTCTACACTGACTTGTAGCAGCCCTCCAGGGTAGGGTTTACTTATTTACTTATGTAGCTGAAGCCAAGATACATAAAACAAAACAAAATACATGACAGGCAATATAATTATTAAAACTGTGCATTCCGCCAAATAAAAATCTGCTGCACTGAAGAAGTTAACATGATTTCCACAAATACTTCTCTGAAAGATTTAAATCTTTGAACAAGGCTGTTCTTAAGTCCTCATAAACATGTACAGACTCTCTCTTTCGGAGGAATACAGGAAGCTGCCTCATATTGAGGCAGGCCATTGATCCCCTTAGACAACAAGGCTCCAGAAGATTCCTACCCCGGTCTGTGCTGATTGCAAAAGTTGTGCTAGGGGGTGGGGGCTGGGTTTAGCAGCCCTAACTCCTTTCCACCCTTTTGTGTAATGGGATTCCTTTGCATCCCTCCCATCGGTAATACACATTTGTCCCAAACCTCCTCATTTATGCCCAAGCACAGATAGAAAGGTGAAACCAGAAGCAGTCCAAATTGTCCAGACGGAGAGCTCATGAAAGTGTTAAGATCTCCTCGCCGGGGGCCCGGGGTGGATCTAGTTGCTAATTGCTAACAGCTGGCAAAATGTACATTAAAAAAAAAAATCCACCACAGCCATTGGATGAACAGAAACATTGGGAGCCCATCACAGAAAGAAAGAGGCGGGCTAGGAGAAGAGGAGACAGAACAGCTGCTTGAACCTTGCGTTGGCGGGAGGGGTGGGGGCAAAGGCACCCATTCCATGCTGGAGAGAAGCCACTCAATTATTCTTGTCTCATCTCTCATTCTGTTGCATACGTGTGCACTGCCTCTTGTGTGCCCTTGCACAGTTGCACATGCAAGGCTCCTGGTGCTCATGCTCCTGCACACTCAAAACATTGCTACATGCGCACCACTCTTGATAGCACACAACACACCCTTCCTCCAAGTCCTCTGCAGGGAGCTGTTTCGAGGAGGAAGTGGGCCCCTCAGCATCTGCCCACCTCCTGCTCCTCTCTCAAAACCTTTGTGGAGTGACTAGATCCACACAAGCTCCTGCCCACTTCCCACAGCCTGGTGCGCCCTCCACAGACGAAAGGATGCTTGTTATTTGTTCTGCCTCATTCCACCCCTTTGCCCACATCTCTACATTTCTCCCCAGTTTGGAATCGGCTGACTTGGGCCCACACATTTCAGCTGCCAAGAGAGTGCTGGCTTTTTCAACCAGAGGGCCACAATGCCTTCTGGATGACCACCCAGGGCTGTAAGCCAGTGGTGGGCAGGGCCAGAAACAAAAGTGGTTGGAGCAATACATGTAATGTACAACACGAGTTGGGCAGCTCCAAGTAGTGGCACCACCATGTGGGAAGTCAAGCACAGATGCGATACACCAGACAGGCCATTTCCGGGATTAAGGGAGGTCAAAGTGGAGGCAAGTATTTTCAGCTAGGTTAAAGGGACTCTATCATGGCAGAAGCTCCATGTTTGCCAGTTAAGAAATGGAGCAGAGGTAGCTTTTCAACTTGTAAGCCAGGGGTGAAGAAACTTCTTCAAGACAAATGGGGCATGGCGTTCCCTTCTGCACAACTTTTCAGGGGTTTCATGCCACTGGTGGGTAGGGCCAGAGGCAAAAAGCAGGGGCAATTAATGCAAAAAAAAAAATCCCTTTGTACAGTAGACACGCCTCTCCAAAACCTCAATCCAGGCAAGCAAGAAGCATTATCAGAGCTCAAGCACATATTCCAGCTAGTCAAGAACACTTGGCCTGGAGATAGTTCCTAGGGCCAGATAGAAAGACCTGGAGGGCCACAAGAGGGCCCCAGCCCTCAGATTCCCCACCAATGTAGGCATGTGGGAGGAGGGACATAAATGTGGATTAGAAATTAATTGGGCAAGCAGAAAAGATGGATTTATGACAGCATAGCCACCCATGTGTCATCCAGACCGTTTCAAAAAGCAAGAAAGTGGATCATGCTCATCACTATCATCATGGCATGCACATGCTGCATATTGATTCCCCAAACGTCACCAATGCTTCTGCGTGTCTTATGTTCTAAGGCCAAGGCCTGCTTTCGTTGCAAGAAAACATGGTACACTTTCACTAAGTAACACATTGCACATCGGCTCTCCTCACGTGAGAAGAGAACGTCATGCATTTCCTGCTCTTGTTTGACCGAGAGAACGCTGCGCATCTCCTGCACACTCGAAGCACACCAGTTCTTGCCCTTCCGAAAATAAAAGAGCCTGATCCATCTTCCCCACACACAAAGCGAGGAGGCTGACACCCCTTTCCCTCCTCCCAGGGGAAAGGCGAAGCATCCTTGCGCCCCTCCTGGCCTCTGCGTTGCCCACTCCTGCCTGCTGTGGCCAGGGCACCCAGCTGAGTCCCTTCCCTCCACAGCCAGGAAGCACAAGAGGGCACAGCTGGGCCTCAGTGGCTCCAGGAAAAGAGGGCAAGCAGCCAACATTGTCTTGAGCCCGAACAAAAGAGAAAGCATGCAGGAGAATTTGCAAAGGGGGCTGACCAGAGTTGCGGAGAAGGGCCCTACCTGACAGGCCTAGCCTTTGTGCAGCTGCCGCAGCTGCCTCCACCGCCATAGCAATCCCAGCCTTCCTACTGCCATGGATTCTGCTGCGCTGGGCTTCCCAGCATCTCTCCCAACACCACCTCGCTTCGCAAGCAACTTTTCCAGCAGTTTGGAGATCCGCTCAAACTTGTGGCTCAGACTCCTCCTTCTCTCTCCCTCCAGTCCTTCCACACACAGGCCCAGGAGACTTCCTTGCCTTTGTCACTACGGTTTCTATGGCAACACCCTGACGGAGGCCATGGAAAAGAGATTTCTGTATACAGTATGTGTGTGTTAAAAGAGGGAGAGAGGCGGGAAAGAAAAAGCTGCTGTCTCCTTTAGCCTCTGTCCCTCCTTCCTTCTCTCTCTCTCCCTCTCCCCACCTCCCACCCCCTTTCTCTTTTCCTCCAGCCCCCTTGGCTGGGAGCAGCCTCCATTGGTGGCGGGGCCAGGCTTCAGCTTGGAGTCAGGCCAAGCATTGCATGCACATGAAAAACCCACAACATTAAGGAAGGGTTTTCTCCCCCCCCCCCCCACAGTAAAACAGGGGCTGTGTGGTGTGCACATGTTGGTGTGCTTCAAGGCTTTCTTCTCTCTCCCCACCCCCCTTTGACTTCCCTCACCCTCAATTTATTTCCATATCCCTACAAAAAACTGGGAAGTCCCACACCAAGGCTGGAACCGGCCCAGAGCTGCTGCCGCTGCTCCTCCTCCAGGATCAAATCTCAGCTCGACAATGCCGAACTTTTGCCCTTTGCAAATGTTGTGGTTCGTCAAGAGGGTTTTGGCCTGAGGGTGTCCGAGGCATGCACAAGCAAAACAAGTATATCATGTAGGGCATCTTGGGGAAACGGCCACTGTCAGAGGGAAGGACGCTGGGCTGTGCAATGTCAGGATTAAAGGCAATATGTGGTTGTTCCCTTCCTCAATTAATCCCCGCAACAACCCTGTGCGGTAAGTTAGGCTGAGAGGCGGCGACTGTCATCCAGTGAACTTAATGGCTGAATGGTGGTTCAAACCCTGGCCTCCCATGTCCTAGTCTGACACTCTAACCACTACACCACACTGGCTCTCATATGATGCCCACTCTTTACTGAGCATCTATTCTGATTTGTTTGCAAGGATGTTGATGCGTTACGTTACGTTACATTACGTTATTGATCTCCCACCTTTTTCTCCAAGAAGCTCAAACTAGTGTGCAGGGTCCCCCCCCCCCGCCTCCAGCCGCATTTAATCCCCACCACAACCCTGTGAGGGAGGTCAGACTGAGAGGCAGTGACTGGCCCAAGGCTGTCCAAGTGGGGGTTTGAATCCTGGTCTCCTGGGTCCTAGTCCAACACTAACCATTTTACGCACTGGCTCATTGTTATAGGGCAATGGGTGTTCATCCTGATTTTGATCCCATTGCCCTATACCTATAAAGCAGTATCGTGCTACTTTCATGATCATGGCTCCCCCTCTTGCCACCAAAGAATCCTGGGAAGTGTAGTTTGTTATGGGCTCTGCGAGTTGTTCTGAGACCCTTATTCCTCTTCCTAGAGCAGGGGTAGGCAACCTAAGGCCCGTGGGCTGGATGTGGCCCAATTGCCTTCTCAATCCGGCCTGCGGACGGTCTGGAAATCAGCATGTTTTTACATGAGTAGAAATACATCTCTAGAAAATGCATCTCTGAATTATTTGTGGGATCTGCCTGGTGTTTTTACATGAGTAGAATGTGTACTTTTATTTAAAATGCATCTCTGGGTTATTTGTGGGGCATAGGAATTTGTTCATTTCCCTCCCCCAAAAAATATAGTCCGGCCCACTGCATAGTCTGAGGGACGGTGGACCAGCCCACAGCTGAAAACGGTTGCTGACCCTTGTCCTAGAGCTACAACTTCAGAGTTCTTTAACAACCAAACCTCCTTCACAGGGAACTATGGGAATTATAGCTCTGTGAGGGGAATAGGGGGTTGCCTAGCAATTCAGTGCTTTGGGGGGGGGGGTACTAAAGGGTATGCAGCACCAGTACCTTTTTCACCCAAATGTTGAAAGTGTGGTACTTACTGTAACAACCTCATGGTGCGTACTGACACCTCTTTCTCTCTCTCTCTCTCTCCACTGCTCAGTACTACAAATTCCCAAGGTTTTATGGGGAAACCATGACTGTTTAAAGTGCTATGATACTGTATGGTGCAGATGGGGCCTAAATCTCAAAGCGGGAAAGTGGATATGTATTTCACATTAAAGGCACACAAAGGTAAATAATGTGTGTATGTGAACATGAAGCACAGTCCGCCGTTTCACATACCCTGCAGCTGCCGAGGTGTGTTTTGAACTGTAGATAACAACATTGTCAGGCAATGCTGGCTCCGCCCGCCCGCCCACCCAAAATTAAAAACCAAGGAGTCATCATCCTGTTCATCTTTAACTTGGTTGGGGGACATAATAAACCAGACTTCATAAACTTGATAGCCTCCAAATGTTTTGGACTACAAGTCCCATCGGCGCCAACCAGCAAAACCATACTAGGGGGCAGCTATCCCCCACTCTGGGTTGCCTGTTTCCTTCCTAATTGTCTCCGTCTGTGACAATGGAGTCTTTTTGCACAGGATACTGCTGTCTTTTTGTAGACTAGCAGCATGAAGGGCTTCTTTTTTCTTTGACACGTTCTTCAGAGAACAAGCAACCACCACTCCAAAACGTAACAACATAGGAAGAGTCCTCATGCGGGATCAGGCCAAAGCGGGCCCACCACATTCACAGCTGTACAAAATCATTTTGGCAAAGTGGCAGTGTAAAGTCGTGAGCCTTTGATATAATGTCTTAACGCCCATCATGCATCTGGTTTTACATGTCTGTGCAATGGGAACAAGAAGCATCCATTCCTCTACCACTGCCACCACTGCCCAAGATTTAACTTTTAGGAAGAACCCGAGGCACCAAAACTGCTTGCAAGTCATCACACTAACAGCATTTTAACAAGGCAAGCCCCAAACAGGGTGGGGGGGAGGGTTATGGAGAACAATTTGCCAGTTATGTACACTCTGTGGGGCAACTTAAGTAATTTTAGACCTTGAACGTTTACTATTCTATTCAGGGAAGGGGAGGCCTTTACAGTCATGGTACTACTTCAGCAATGAAGTGGACAATTAGCATTTCTTTTCTCCCTACAAGCCCCTGTCCTGCTCCAGTACCGCTGACCGCCATACCACACTTGATAGCTGCTTCTACATTCTTGATATGTTAGAGTAGGGTTGGGAAGCTTCAGGCCTGACAGACAGAATACAGTACAGGCCTCCAGACCTCTCTATCTGGCCCACAGAACTCTCCCCAAGATGTACACACACTTCACCAGTCCATACCCCTCTCCCCAGGTCACACCTCCTCCATCCAGACCACACACCCTCTCTCCAAGACACACCTCTTCCCCAAAGGAAATACAGTGGTACCTCGGGTTACAGACGCTTCAGGTTACAGACTCCGCTAACCCATAAATAGTACCTCGGGTTAAGAACTTTGCTTCAGGATGAGAACAGAAATCGTGCAGCGGTGCAGCAGCAGCAGGAGGCCCCATTAGCTAAAGTGGTACCTCACGTTAAGAACAGTTTCAGGTTAAGACGGACCTCCAGAACGAATTAAGTTCTTAACCAGAGGTACCACGGTACCCTCAGGATGTACTCCCTCTCCCCAGGCCACATGCCCACTCTACAAAATCTAGAGTCTCCTTAGTTCACACACACCTGCCCCCAATACAAACCCTCTCTCCTCAGGACATACCCCTCACTGGCCCTGCTTTGCATCCTGCATACTTTCCCCCGGCTGGGATGCATCATTGAGCTCTGATCATGCCTTTTTCTCGACTGGATGAAGGATAGAGAGGGGCGGGCAAGAATGTGTGTAGAAACTAGTGTGACCATGGCACAATCTAGATGTTTCACTTTGGGAATGTTGCTGCAGAAGACAAATCCCCAAAGGCCTTGGAGGCAGCAATCTGATTACATCAACTGACTGTGTTTGTGTGTGTGTGTAATACACAAACTGGCCAGCAGCAACAGTTCTTACATAAGAAAAATGGGTGGGGTGGAGAGTTAGGGACGGCGGGGTGGGGGGGAGAAATTCAATTCAGTTCACAGTTAAAGCCGAACCACCACCCCCAATTTCCAAAACAATATGAGAAGTGAAGCCCAGTGACCCTTCAAAAATTGCAGTTCTCTGAATTTTGCAAGGGTAGGCACCCCGTGCATTGAACTTGGGACCTTCTGCATCTGAAGCAGATGCTCAGCCACTGAACTACTGTCTCGTATAAAAGCGAGACTCCAGTCCTCATAACTGTGAACAGGAACTTGTGCCAAGTCAGACCTTTGGTCTTTTGGAGTCAGCATCGCCATCACTGACAGGCAGTGGCTCTCCAGGACTTCAGGCAGGAGTGTCTCCCAGTTGTCCCCAGATATATGATGGACATTGAACCTAGGGCCTTCTGAACCTGGGACCTTCTGCATGCAAAGCAAGTGTTCTGCCCCCCTTCATATCTTTTCCCCACCCCAGCTTCTCCTGCTTTCTCAAGTTAGCTTCTGGAAAGGCAGCCTTGCTGCGTGTCCTCCCCAAGCAAATAGGATTAACCAGGAGGGACAGCCAAGCAGCCTTCAGCCTTGCTGGGAACAGCATGTGCAACAGTGTGAAACCTCACACCCCTCAGGGCTTGAGGCCTCTGAGCTGCAAAGCAAATGCAGAGAGGAGGAGCACTGGGGTGGGGCGTGGGGGACTTGCAGGCCAGGCACTCTCCACACAGATCAGGAGACAATGAAACCTCCATGGTCAGGGGCAGTCTGCCTCTGAATGCCAGTTGCTGGGAATCACAAATGGGGAGAGAGCAGCTGCAGTCAGGTGTCAGGTCCTGCTTGCAGGGTTCCCAGGGGTCTCTTGTTGGCCACTGTGCTGTATGCTGGACTGGATGGGCCTTTTTCCTGACCCAGCAAGGCCCTTCTTACGTTCATAAGAGGGTTAAGGGAAGGGCCATAGCTAAGTGGTAGAGTATCTGCTTTGCATGCATAAGTCCCAGGTTCATTTCTGGATATTGTGATAGGAATTTTGAGGTCTTAAAGGTAAAGGTAAATAGACCCCGACCATTAGGTTCAGTTGTGGCCGACTCTGGGGTTGCGGCGCTCATCTTGCTTTACTGGCCAAGGGAGCCGGTGTATAGCTTCCGGGTCATGTGGCCAGCATGACTAAGCTGCTTCTGGCAAACCAGAGCAGCGCATGGAAATGCCGTTTACCTTTCCGCCGGAGTGGTACCTATTAATCTACTTGCACTTTGACGTGCTTTCAAACTGCTAGGTGGGCAGGAGCTGGGACCGAGCAACGGGAGCTCACCCCGTGGCAGGGATTCGAACCGCCGACCTTCTGATCGGCAAGCCCTAGGCTCTTGTGGTTTAACCCACAGCACCACCCGCGTCCCTATAGGGTAATGTTCATAAGTGTACCAACCAAGCACGTACATAGATCAGCACAGGAAGAACAACCTGAAAACATTTTGATTCCCAAACTGACCAAATGTTTTCCCCGCAAGGGGTGGTGGTGGTCAGGGAACCTTCCCATTGTCTCAGGAATTGAGTAATCAGCATTTTAATGGGTGACAGACTATCAGGAAAGGCAATCAGATAACCTGGCAAACAGGAAAAACAACATTCAATTTTCTGTTTTAGACCGCCTTTTCTGTGATGTAGGTATGATGTATCTGAGGGGTGGTCTGGATCTACAGGGTGGCAATTTCAAAAGTCTTTATAAGGCCTTGCGTGCCATTGTTCTGAGTTCCTCCTCTCTCCTGCGGGTGAGGGGAGCACCCTGTTGCAACAGATCAATAAAGATCAAGCTTACTAGTTGCTTTGCTTCTCAATATTCTCTGGTTGGCCTCTGTTATTTTCTCCTACCAATAGGGAACCTATGTAAGGACTCTATATGGGCTCTTGGGTACCCCATAAGGGAAAAAAGGGCAGATTTTGTTTACAACAGTAGCGCTAGGACTCTCTCTCTCCAAAATCCCAGAGAGCTGTCCCAGCCACTGCAGGCAGTACTGAGCTAGATGGGCCAGCTCTGTATAAAGCGGCTTTCTCTATTCCTCTGCCTAAGGGAAGAGCTGTAGCTCAGTGTTAAGAGCATCTGTTTTGCCAAGTTCAATCTAGCCGTCCCATCAGATTGCAGCCAGCAAGGCCAGTGTTTAGGGATGATGGAATTGTTTGGAGGATACTGCATAGACGACCCCAGGTGTAGCTAAGGTCCACTGAGCTAGGTGGACCAATGGCCTGACTCAGTATAAGCATAGCTTCTTGGGCTAGTTGAAAATGCTGGAAAACAGGTAAAAAGAAGCTGAACAGAGGTGGAACTGTACCGGTGCAGGGCAGCACCCCAAAGCTCTCATTCCTTCCTTCTGCGCAGTCCCTCCATAGCGACACATCCATGACTATACAAAGAAAAGAAGGGGCATTCTCTAACCAGGAAGCTGGCAGCCTTTGGTGCATCATTACCTGGGTAGCTCCTGTCTCTAGGCCTCAAATTAGGCTCATTAGGTGGCTAATTTGGGGAGGCAGAAATAGCTCTTGCTAAAGAGCTCATTGGAGGAAACACCTGGAGACAGAGTCCGTGCGTGCAAAGAAAGTTCCTCTCCCACGCAGGCACGGGCAAAGCCTTCCACCCTGGCGGGACAGGGACTTTATGAGAAGTTGCTCAAGCTCTGATTGGCCAGCACTTGGCACACAGCCACAGATGAAGGGCGGGGGGCTGCTCATAACATTCCCAATTACAGGGAACATAGGGAGCTGCTCTCTTCTTCCAAGTCAGACTACTGGATCCATCAAGTTCATTGTTGTCTACTCCAGGGACTGAGCAGAAAGTAGATCTGGATTTACTGGAAGACAAGAGCAGAGGGAGGTGATTTATACTGAAACAGACCATTGGTCCATCTGGCTCAATATTACCTACTCTGACTGTCAGCGTCTTTCCGAGACTTTCTCAGCCCTACCTGTAGGTGTTGGAGATTGAATCTAGGACTGAGCTATAGCCCTTCAGAATATTTCAGATTAGCTACTTTGAGCTGCACCGGGGGGACACATCATATATTCACACACAAAATATTTAGAAGGTGTGTGTTCTTTTTAAAGTTTTGCTTACAAAATCTAAGACAAACAAGCCTAAACCAGATACAAACTGATTTAGAGCATCAGATCTCCACACTACCCAAAATGTGTTTTGATGAAAGATTTCCAGAAGAGCTACATCACTGGCTGTTGACCCATAGAAAGGTTACACAGAGTTCCAGACCATTGCTCAGAAGTACGTTGCCCTCAGAGCACTGTGTACCTACTGGGCAACTGCTTAGGCCTGATGGCCCAGCAAAAGCCATCCAGCAGGAGGTTGCTTTAGCAAGTACAGATTCACACTGCATCTATGGAGTTTCAAGCAGTGCTGGATATAATCTCTGGCATTTTTGAAAGACCCACCCCCAAAATTGAGATTATCCAACTGGTCTTAATATTTAACCAATTTAAGGCTCCTGGGGCATTCACCAATGGAACACAGTGTCCTCTGTTCATTAAATGTAAAGGGACCCCTGACCATTAGGTCCACTCGTGGCCTACTCTGAGGTTGCGGCGCTCATCTCACTTTATTGGCCGAGGGAGCCGGCATACAGCTTCCGGGTCATGTGGCCAGCATGACTAAGCCGCTTCTGGCGAACCAGAGCAGCGCACGGAAACGCCGTTTACCCTCCCGCTGGAGCGATACCTATTTATCTACTTGCACTTTGACGTGCTTTCGAACTGCTAGGTGGGCAGGAGCAGGGACCGAGCAACGGGAGCTCACCCCATCACAGGGATTCGAACCACCAACCTTCTGATCGGCAAGCCCTAGGCTCTGTGGTTTAGACCACAGTGCCACCCGTGTCCCCCTCTGTTCATTAGGGATGGGCAAATCTGTCATTTTCTCAGCCGTCACATTTCCACAGTAGTTCACAATTTTTTTGCTTTACTAAAGAAATTAACCAGCATTTTAAGTGCACATTACATGCTTTTCGGTAGGCATTTTTGCCTAACATGCATATTTTCACAAACATATTTTCTTTAATGTAATTGGGTTTTTTATGTATTGTTTTAACAAATGCATGCATTTTTATGCACACTTTATTGTGGCACATGTTCACTTGGTTGGAGAGCTGTAAAGGAAAACCCAGAGAAGCATGGATTTCAAAGGATAGCGTCATTTCATTTTGGGAGCTGTTTTGAGATGTGCAAATTAGGTAGGATCAGGGCTTTTTTTATATAGGAAAGGAGGTGTCAGAGGTTGTTGAGCTATTGAGCTTTTTTTAAGGGAACACCCACCTTCTCTTCTTTGCACCAGCACCACTTTTGGCACTAATCATTGCACCTACATGCTTGCTGCATGATCACTGAAGAGGTGCCAGAATTCAGAACAAATTCATCCCCCAGCCCTACTGTCCGTTGACATGTCTGCTGCTGCTGATGCCCACTGGGTGTGGAACCTGCATGCACCACAAAGGATCTGGGTCACGTTTCAGACCCAGTTCCATAGGACTGGGAGGTTGTCAAAGACTGCATTCCCTCAGAGCCAATCTGTATGGAGCTACATGCCAGCAGTGGATGGGGCAAGGTCTAAAAGGGTTGGGGTGCCCTCTTTTCTTTTTCTCTTTTGGTGCCCCATTTTTCCCCCTCTGCTGCCCCCTTTATCTCTCTCTCTCCACCCCATTTTATATTTTTCTCCTTTGACACTCCCTTACCTTCTCTCTCTCTCTGCAGGGCCAACCACTTTTGTACCCATTTTTTCCATCCTTAAGGGGCACAGGTGGCGCTGTGGTCTAAACCACTGATTCAGGGCTTGCTGATCGGAAGTCCGGCGGTTCAAAATCCTCGCCACAGGGTGAGCTCTTGTTGCTCTGTCCCAGCTTCTGCCAACCTAACAGTTCAAAAGCATACCAGTGCAAGTAGATAAATAGGTACCACTGTGGCAGGAAGGTAAACGGCATTCCCATGTGCTCTGGCTTCCATCACAGTGTTCCATTGCACCAAAAGTGGTTTATTCATGCTGGCCACATGACCCGGAAAGCTATCTGTGGATGAACACCAGCTCCTCAGCCTGAAAGTGAGATGAGCACCACACCCCATAGTCACCTTTGACTGAATTTAACCATCCAGGGGTCCTTTACCTTTATACCTGTACCATCCTTACCACCCATCCAGACCCACATATAGCAACAGGGCTGCATGTTGCCTACTCATGGCACAGGTCATTAGCAGTGGCGAGAAAACAATGATGTGTGGTGGACTGGTGTGAGATTTTGAAGTGTTGCAAACATACCTCTACAAACTTTAGGATTATCCCTCTAAAACTGAACTGCAATGTCAGAAACTGCCTAGGAATCCAATGGCCGTATTCAGTGCTTTTTTCCTTTAAAAATGTTTAGGGCTACTCTCATTTTGACTCAAGAAAATCACCATTTTATAGTTCGAATCGGGGGGAAATAAAAACAGTAAAAGGACAAAAGTATAAAGATTCACAAAATGTTTAGGGGTATGCGTACCCCCAGAAAAAAAGCACTGGCTGTATTTATATGTTGTGTTTTCTGTCCTCCAAATCCTCCTACTACTCCCTTGTCCCCCACTTCTTATTTATTTATATTTATAAAAGTATTTCTACACCGCTTTAATGTCAAATATCAGGGTGGTGTACAGCCTAATTCTGCACTCAGCTTGATGGGATTGTTCTGGTTTGATCAGACCATAGTTTGCTGTTACGTCCAAACTGGCAAACTGTGTGATTTGAGTGAACCCCTCTAACCACAACTGCTAACAAGGACTGCAAACTATACTTTTTTTAAAAATGTCAAGAGCATCCAGTAGTATTTGTTAGGATTTATTAAGCACCTAAACTACTCAGTACTGCGCTGCCAATCAACAACTTCAGACTTCCCCAGCCTGGTGCCCTCAAGAAGTTTTGGGTCACAACTCGCAGGAATCCCAGCCAGCATTGTCCAAAACATCTGGAGGGCACCAGGTTGGGAAAAGCTGAAATACAATAATGCATAACCTTGGCTACTGCATTACAATTGGAAGGAGAATCCAGGAAAAAACGAGACTTCCAAAGTTGCTCAGGTAATACCAAAGTATTTATTTATTTTTAAAAAATTAACATTCTGTTCATAAAAGATATCCAAGACTCTTCACAGAAGCAAATAAAAAGGGTTTTCTTTTTTTAAATCAGTGCAGAATTTTTGTGAAAGTATATTCTAACTATGGATAGGTGTGTGTGTGTAGAAGAGAGGCTGTCCCTTGAATCACAGGCAATACAGATGGTGGTAGAAGATGCCACAGTTCACGCAGCTTGGCACCATCATTGCAGGACTTTGAGCAGATGCGGAGAGTCCATTCAGCAGAATGAGCAGGAGGGTCTCCAAAAAAACAGCAGAGCTGACTTATCACATTTTGAAGTGAAACCATGTGTATAACCATCTAAAGAGGAGGATATAAGTGTTTGGAATGGCTAGGGGATGGATGACTGTCGATTTCACTTTTTCACATTTCCAATCTTAGCTTAGTTCAGTTTGCAACATTTCTGCACAGTTTGCTTTTTTTTTTTTTTTAAGTCATTGTGAAAATTCATCATATTATTTTAAAGCAAATTTCTTCCAGTATACACATTTTGGTAGGCAATTTCCCCTGATATACACATTTTTGCAAAGCATTTTTTTCCTAATAGAATGCATTTTTGTATGTTATTTTCGTGAGTATAAGCATCTTAATGCACACTTTCCCCCCAATATACACATTTTGCAGATGTGACGTGGTCTATAAACTGCATTGCAAAATCCGGAGAAATGTGCATGTCAAAGGATAGACACATTTTGGTTTGCACATTATTCTGGGAACTGTCAATTAGAGAGTTTCTCTTTAAACTGTGAAACAAACTGAATTTTTCTCCCATCCCAAGATTGCACCACTGCAGCCCCAAAACAAGTATAGATTCCATCCTGACGTATTTAAAAGCTGGAGTAACAACACTGGTCTATCCAGCTCAGTACTGCCTGCACTGACTGGGAGCAGCTCCCTAGGAAATTAGACAGGGTCTTTCCCAGCCCTACCTGAAGATTTTGGGGACTGAACCAGAGATCTTAAGAATCAAAGAACTGTAGAGTTAGAAGGAACCACAAAGATCATCTAGCCAAACCCCTGCAATTCAGGAATCTTTTTTGCCCAATGTGGGATTCGAACCCACAAGCCTGAGACTAAGAGTCTCGTGCTCTACCAACTGAACTATCCCTCCTGCGTGCAAAGCAGTGCTCTACTACTGAGCTACGGTAGGTAGAATTGGTTGGTACTATTCCACCGGAGCTCTTTTGTTTCAGCTCAGGAGAAACCCATTATGAGTTAGTGATCCAATAAAAAAAGCACGGGACTGAGTGTTTTTCCCCTTGCCTCATTTCTTCCCAAAGGAAAACCAGCTCTTTAGCAATAGAGCAGAACAAATAGCAATCCTAGAAGACCCAATTTGCCATTTGCTCTGACTGAGCACTAAAGAGCAGCTTTCCCTGGGGGAAGGCACTGGGACAAGAGGGATTGTGGATACATCCCAAGACACACAGTGCTCCCCTTGGGCATTTGCTAGGCTTTCTCCACATAACACCGGGTACAGAACCGTGAGCATAGGCATCTAGTTGTGTGGTGGTGAATTCTGAAGTGCAGGAGCTCCTCATGGCAATCCCTATAACCCTGCCCCTCAGGAGAATCAAAAAAATGCAACAAGAGCTATTGATTCTATATTGTAGATCATTACAGACACACATATACAAAGAGCAAACCATACAGCATAGTGCCCAACTTACAAGTATCAGCCAGTCTGCAATCCTACACATACTTTTCTAGGAGTAAGCTCCATTAAAAGCAGTACTGACTTCATAAGTTCAGCTTGCAAAGAACTCTAACCAAAGATCTTCAGCCTTTTAATTAGAGGTGCAGTGGGTTCCTATTTAAACTGCTAGTGAGAAGAACTCTATCTGAGAAAAGGGAAAAAAGTGTCCAAGCCTCTGCCTGAATGTAGGCTTCATTTGCTGACTTCCTCAGATTTGTCACAAACTTGAAAGACTCGTTATCACCTTCATTCACCTGCCAGAGCAAGAAGAGCTCATCAGTTCCCCTGGTGCACCAACAGATGGTTTCATCACTCTTGCTCTGGGGGGGGAGGGGAGTCCTGAAGCTGAGCTCGCACTGTGTCCCCTGTTCACTACACCATTGTCAACATCTCTTCTTGTTTCCTGGATTGCTGCCAGGCCAGCTCTGTGAGCATGAATGACCTAGGACCCTCTTTCCCTCCAGAGTCCGGGAGCCATCCAGCACATTTGCTGGCATGGCACTGTCCTGTCTCTCAAGCTGGGCTCTCTCTTGAGGTCTGGTGCAAAGGCCACTGGGGCTGTCCCTCTCTGCACACCTTCATCTCCTGAGGAATTTGACAGACTCTTGAAGTGATGGGTGCCTGAAGACGCACCAAGCAGCAAGTCCTCAGTGAGGCCCTCCCTCTCGTGAGCAGGCTCCTCCATCAGAACTTGCAGGAGAACAACTCCAACAAAAAACAGAAGCCACCTTTTGGCAGGGTCCGTCTTCTCCCGCAGGCTGCGTCTTCTCACAAGAGGTGGGTACAGTATTCGGCTAGGCTTTCTTCCCCTCCTGGATGGGTGGCCAGGAGACCTCTCTGATGATAATGCTGGAGAGCTCACCAAAGTACCAACTGCTGAAAGCTCTCCAGCAACAGGTGCACCTGTAGCAATGGGCATTGTCTGGCTGGCCAACATGGTTCCTGTAAAAAGAAAAGCCCCAGGAACAGCACAGATATGGCCGCACCTGCTCTCACTTCAAAAGGGTGATGTTTAGGGTAGTAAATCCCTATCCGAAGTCTCCGTTCCTGGCTTGTCAAGGCACAAACTGCAGAGATGGGTGGAGTGAGGCTCTTGCTGTGATTTTTAGCCTCTCCAAGGCCTCCTTATCTGCTTTTTATTTGCCCTTTTTGCCAACCCTTCTTAGGCTATAAATACTTTATTTGCCAGGGAGGAGCCACTCTGACTCATAGGTGACTCTGCCCCAAACCACACCCATAGGTGGGGATGGCTAGTGAGGCCAAGGGGTTCCTGCCTCCAGCTTTATGCAAAATGCTCAACCGCAACCTCAGAGAGCTCTGTTGGAGATGATGGGTGGACTTGGTACCAAGCTGGAAAAACAACAGAAGCTCTTACCTAGGGACAGCCAAATCAGTCAGTTTTAGTTTCTCTCATTTTCTCATTTTGCCAGTCTTAAATTCAGTTATACATGTCAGCTTGCATTTTAAAAAAAAAATCCTTGTGAAAATTCACCAAGTTTCTCTTAATGCAAATAATTTTGCAAAGCAATTTCCCCTAATATAATTCATATCTGTACATAATTTCCACTAATATACATGCATTTCAATGTACACCTACTCTAGTATTTTTAATACATTTACTAGGCTGAAGACCTGTAAATGAATCTAGAGAAGAATGAATTTCTGAAGGATAGCTGTGTTTCACTTCGCATGTTCTTTCAGAAAGCAAAAATTTGTAGATTCATCTTTAAATGCAAGTTAAATTGCATCCCCCATCGGCAATCCTACCCATATATATCCTGCATCATCTTATTGCAAGGGCAGCGGCAGCACTGCTGCTGTTCTCCCTTGGAAACTGATACCTGGGGTATTACAAGGTTCCTTTGTGGCCCCAGTTCTCTTTAACATGTATATATCTTCTCTGAGGAGGCTGCCTGTTTCCATCAGTGTGTGGCACCACCAAACCGTGATCCTATCATTCAGTAGTGGTAAAATCTGAATAATTTAAACATACCAGCATGGTACACAATTTGGATGTTAGCAGTAACAAAGAAAACTACACATGAAATCTGGGATACGCAAAAAAACAAAACAAAACAACAACCTGTACTGTAATCATTTTACACCACCTGGCAGAATTTGATCACATATAATTCCAGCAAAGACTTACACAAACACACAGCAATGGACATTTGGCAACTTTAACAGATGCAACAAGAACTCTGGAACCTTTTATTCCTTGAGGAGTGGTAACCCTTCAAGTATTTGAAGGCCACTACTATCATGTCAGGGTGGCGCTGTGGTGTAAACTACTGAGCCTTGGGCTTGCCGATCAGAAGGTCAGCAGTTCGAATCCTCATGACGGGGTGAGCTCCCATTGCTCTGTCCCAGCTCCTGCCAACCTAGCGGTTCAAAAGCACGTCAAAGTGCAAGTAGATAAATACCACTCTGGCGGGAAGGTAAATGGCGTTTCCATGCACTGATCTGGTTTTGCCAGAAGCGGCTTAGTCATGCTGGCCACATGACCCAGAAAAATTGTCTGCGGACAAACGTCAGCTCCCTCAGTCAGTAAAGCGAGATGAGCACCGCAACCCCAGAGTCATCCGCGACTGGACTTAACGGTCAGCGGTCCCTTTACTTTTACTATCATGTCATTTGAGTCTTCCAAAGCTAGGCACATGGAACCCTTTCATGCATTCCTCACAGAACTTGTGGTGGTGTATAAAGCAGCTTCATGTGTTCATGAGCAGCATCCATTGCTCAATGAAAGAGCACATGTTTTGCATGCAAAAATGTCCCAGGGCCAGTCTTCAGCATCTCCAGGTAAAACCTTAGCTGATAGGGAAACATTATTTCCTGTCTAAGATCCTAGAGAACTGCTGTGATGCAGTGGCAACTGGTGCCCACTTGGACTGGTAGGATGGAAGGCAGGGAGACCAAGAGTAGGTGGCGCCAGAGAGACAACAACAGGCGGGTCCAGAGCCAATGACATGCGGGGTCAACTTATTCTAGTTTTGTCCCCATCCTCCCCGCCCCACCCCCCTGCTGTGTTCTACAAAGGCAGCACTGAGGCTAAGAAGGAGGAAGCTGACAGTCGGTGCCACCCACTGGACTGTTGTAATTAAGAAGACAGGCAGGTGGGGGCTGTCTAGGGGCAGACTGGGGTTGGTGGAGCAGCGCCCCATTTGCCAGCCTCCAGTGCCTGTGCTTTTATATATGCTGCTTTTCATTTATCTAAATAACATTCTGTGTTTTCTTAACATAATGTGAATTGTTGAATTTTTTAAGATGCGTATCGTTGTGCTCCTTGCGAGGATTTGCAGAAAAGTTGCTGGATTGCACATCTCTCAAACAAGCCAGCAAGTCAATAAATAAACAACCAGACCTTTGGTTCAAAAAAACCAACCACCCCACGCTGTCAAAAGGCGCAGGAGCCCTGATGGAGAAAAGGATTTGGCAGCCTTAATCTTACAACAGTGCTCCAGCATTCCCACAGGCTCCTCTTTATTATCCAATTACTCTTCGAGGTGCTAGTTATGCCTATATATGTATATTCTAACAGGGACTTGGTTTTGTTGGGTATCTATGTTTTTTCCTGTTTTGTCTTGTTATCATTTTTGCTGAGCCTCAGGGGCGGGGGTGGGTTTTCAGTTCTGGAATAAATAAGAGCAACAGCTATCTCTCAGGCCTGCGGCCAAGGTGGGGGCGCGGTGGAGCAGATGTGAAGGACTCAGATGTTGTTGCTAACAACGCTTGTGTGTTAACAACGCTAGTGTGGGTCGCCGGAGGAGGGAGAGCATGTTCGGCCTGCTATGACCTGCTGAGGCCTCAGGGCGTTTTGAGGCACTCCACCCGTCCCATTCCAAGCTCCAGCAAGGTCTCAGTGGTGAAATTTAATTTAGCAGAACACCTCTGAGCCATTAAACCATTAAACTGATCTCTTTCTTCTCTTTTGTCTGATGCCAGCTATTATCAAACAGGGGCAGACCGGGTGATTCCCCAGCTGTGACTGATACCAACAGGTGCCTGGCTTTTGTTGACAACCCTTCATTGCAGCCGCTCACTTGGGTTCCCCTTCCTCTCAGCCCAATCCCAAACAAGAATAGGGGAGAAATCTGATTCACTGCATAATCTAAAGAAGATTCTACCAAAATGACTGGGGGATAGAGCAACTCCCTTATGGAGAAAGTTTGCAACATTTTCAGTTTAGAGAGGTGATTCAGTAAAAGTTTATAAAATTATGAAAGTGGATAGAAAAAAGTTTCTCTCCCCTTAACACCATTAACACTAGAACTTTGGGGCATCCAACGCTGGAAGGCTCAGAACAGACAAAAGATACTTGCATGCATCTGTGAAAACAACATACATAAATGCTCTATATTAGGAGAAATTGCTTTGCAAAAATGTGCGCGTTAGACAAAACTGCTTGCAATAATGTGTATATTAGGAGAAAAGTGCCCAAAAATGTTCATGAATTTTAGGACTCTATCTATCTATCTATCTATCTGTCTATCTATCTATCTATCTATCATCTATCTATCAAAGGCAAAGTGATTTGGGACTGAATTCAAGATCAGTAGGGGGTGGATCCAAAACCCATTTAAAGAGAATAAAATTACATTGTTATCTAGTAATACAGGGAGTCAGATCATTGTTCCATCAAGCTCAGTATTTCAGACAAGCAAGTTTCCCAGTCCTACCTGGAGAAGCTGCTAGAGATTGAACCTGAGACCTGCAGGCAAGGCAGATGCTGTCGACTGAGTTATGGCATGCACCTTAAGACACAGGAAGTTGATTTATAGTCAGACCATTGGTCCATCTAACTCAGTGACTTCAATGCTGGCTCTGCAGTGTTTTAGACAAGGGTCTCTTCCAGTCCTGCCTGAAGATGTTGCCAGGGATTAAACCTGGGACATTCTACAGGCAAGACCAGGGGTCGGCAAGGCTTAGTGGGCATGGGCTGGATCACTCCCACGGAGATTCTCTGTGGGCCAAACCGGCCCAGCACGACACTGGAAATTGCGTCTGCACATGTCCGTGGTGCCAGAAATCGCTTCTGCACATGCCCAGATGCCGAAAATCACACCTGCGCAGAAGCGATCTTCAGCGCCTAGGCATGAGTAGAAGCATTTTCCGGCACCGTGGACATGCACAGAAGCGATTTCCGGAGCTGTGGAAAAGAGTCCCTGTGCTGCGCTGTGCTGGTTTAGTGCAGCACGCAGGGACTCGTCGAGCAGGCGGCTCAGTTTGGGGGCGGCTCATGGGCCGCTTCCGGCCCATGGGCCTTAGGTTGCTGACCTCTGGGCAAGACAGATGCTCTACCAGTGAGCTACAGCCCTATCCTATGAAGACCACCACCACCCTGCATAAGACCAGAATATAAGATTACTTACCTGTACCACAGTTTCCTGTTTTAAAAGGAAGGTGGGAGGAGTATTTACTCCAGCCAATCATAGGCCTCCCACTGCTGATGGGCAGAGTGTGCTGTGACCAACCTGGCAGCTATCAGGTGACACTGTGGGCCAAATCAGGTTCTGCCTTATTGATGGCCTGGCTTTTTCCTCTAAGTGACAAACCTGAGCTGATCCAACCCCATCGCCTTACCTCCAAGCCATCCGCCAAGGCTGCTAGATTGCATGAGGTCTCAAACATTTTTTCCTTGCCGTGAAGCTGGAAATTATTTGCAAGGTGAGTTAACAGTAAGAAAAATCAACACACACACACAATCTGCTTGGCAAAATCCCTTTGCCTCTTCTGACTCATTTGTTTGATAATTATTGCCGTTAATTGCAAAAGATGGATGCCCTCTCATAGGATATAAACTGTTGTGCTTGACCAGACAAATACCTTGTGCGTGTTCTTAAAACACATGCATTGCTATTTTTAGGGAGAAGTTATTAATAGACCACTGCTGGTTGAGCAGAAAACTCCGCACATAAAAAAAAGAAAAAGAATAAATGAGTCAACAACACACCTGCTCTATCATGCCAACTGTCCCAGTGCCCAAGATTATTTTTGTAAGTAGGTGTAGGTTGGAAATAAGGTATTTGAGTGAAGGGGGGGAGAGTAGGCTGTATGTGAGATCTTTCTAACCCCTGGATCCAGCAACTGTTAAAATAAAAGGCAGGCTAGCTTCCTGTGTAAAGGTGATTGCCTGTGTGATGGGCCATTAAGAGAACAAAGGAAAGGGGCTCTCTTAGAGATGGCACATGGGTGAGGCTCCCCCAGCTCATGGTTAGAAGGAAAAGGCAGAGTTGAGTAAGAGTGATGTGACCTAGAGGTAAAGCAGCAAGCTGGAGAGACTCAGAACAATGTTTGAGAGCAATGTTTGATTTCTGTTTGAATCCAAGGCAAAAGCTATGAGAAAAACAAGACCCTTTTGGGGTATTGATGCTGCGAACCCTTCCATCGTAGGCTCAGGTTGTATATGTGTGTAAATATCATAAAGACACTACAGTCTCCGCTGTGGCTCATTCCAAAAGGAAAAATGGACTTTGGGTAAGCGCCTGGAATCCCTGGAATATTGGACTGCCCAGAGATTGGGGTGGCGGGAAACATTTATTTAGAATTGCAATGCTATGGGGCAAAGCCTGAAGCTGCTTCCTAATTCGGGGCAAAGGGGCAGAAATAGAAAAAGCTGACAATGTGAGATCTTGAAAACACCTGGAGAGCTGGTGGGGATGTCTTTACCCAATGCCCATTACCTGTTTTGTTCCCAGGACTGAATTCCCATCCAGTGAAGTGGTGTGTTGTTATCTGCACATGTGTAGCAGCTGTCTGAAATGAGCACACCTCAGCTTAACCATGGCTTTTATGGGCCCTGGGTTTCAGACAGCGTTCTCTCCCTGCCCTGCTTGAAGATAATGGGGATTGAACCTAGGACCATCTGCATGCAAAGCAGAAGCTTTATTACTGAGCTATGGCACTTCCCCTAGAAATAAAGTACGATTCTAGTCCTTGTGGCTCTGAATGAACAGCCAACATACACAGGAAGCTGCCTTATACTAAGTCAGACTATTGGTCTACCTAGCTCAGTTTTGTCATCACTGTAAGCAGTAATGTGTACACTACCTTAGGGCTCATCCCACTTGTCCCATACCTAGAAAGCATGGGTCCAAGCAGTTTTCCAATTAACATTTACTCTGGTTCAGTGGTAAAGAGTGGGTTTTCCCAGGGAAAGTGCTGGGACAAGCGGAAGTGTTAACGAGTCACATTCATGCATTTCAATGTGTCTGCTCCGAATAGCATTGGCTACACCCCATTTTTGCTGCTCCTTTATCAAAGAATACTAATAAACCAAAATCAATACAGTGCTGATAATATGATTAGCTTGACATTTTTTCCAACTTTTTAATTTAATTTTTGACTGTGTTTTCGAGAAAACGTTGCTGCTTTTTAAACTGACAATGTTACGGAACAGCAAAGAACTTGGGGGCTTCCAGATAGGATCGGTGCTCCTCATCCATTCAGGCTTTATGTTGCATCCACATGACAACATCCGCATCAAAATGCCAGCCTGTATCCTGCCATCCCATTTAATCCAGATTTAGAGGCTACAAATCCAGTCAGTCTTTTTTTATATATATAAAAAATTGCCAACAACTCATTTGCAATATCTGAATGACCTGTTTACAATATTAAGCCTCCATCTGGAGGCAACTTTTATTTAAAACCATCAGGATTAAATGCAGTTACCGTATATTCTAATCTTTGCTTCTCCTTGTAATTGTGTAAGATTTTCTCTTTCTTCTGTTTCAACCCTTGGGAGCCACCAGTTCAAGATTGGAAACTTGCTGGTGCCCCTTCAAAGGAAAAAGCCCGATTCAAAAGCATTTATAGCTGGTATGGTGAACCTCAGGGCCTGAGGACCAAATGTGGCCCTCATGTCCTCTCTATCTGGCCCTCAGAACTCTCCCCTGGCCACACCTCTCACAGGCCTTGTTTCACATCAATACCCTGAGAGTTATGCCTTTCCTTCAACTCCAGTAATGCCTCGGGCTCCATCCACACTATACACTTCAAGCAGTATCATATCACTTTAAACAGTCATGGCTTCCCCCAAAGAATCCTGAGAGTGTCGTTTGATAAGACTGCTGAGAGTTGCTAGACAACCCCCTATTCCCCTTCCAGAGCTACAGTTTACAGAGTGGTTGAAAAATCATTCCTCTCCCCAAAGGCATATTTATTTATTCAGGGCATTCACACCCCACCTTTTAGCCAAAGAAAGAAAGAAAAAGGTCTCAGAGCAGCTCGCAATAATCAGTACTAAGGCAGTCCTTTGCCGTCAGGCTCACAATCTAAAAAGACATGAAACGTGAGGTAAAAAAGAAATGGGAGGGAAAAGGAAAAAAGCAATCTCAAGTGTAAGTCCTTCGCTTCCTATATTCCTAGCTGTACATTCTGGCGACCAAAAGCCACGTTGCTCTCATCCCTATTCATTTGCAAATAAGTCTAGGCATTGGTCAACCCAGTACATGTGAGGGATAATGAAGCCTAGAAGGCCGCATTTGGCCCATGGGCTGAAAGTTCTCGACCCCTGCAGTTCACCCTTCCATAATGAAAAGAGGGGGAAGGCAGCCCTTTTGTCAGAAGTTCCCACTTGTCCTTTACAGTAGATTCACCTTGGCTATAACTTGCTTACAACCGGTGATGGCATACTGTTGGCCTCCTTGACTGTAATAGTTGATCTGGCTGGCTAAGCTCTCCACGTGGCTCGGATCGGGATAAAGGCCTTCGCTCATCATCTCCTCATAGAAGCAGCTCAGGATGTGGCTCTTCTCCAGCAAGACGAAGGGAACGATCTCCGCCAACATCCAAAGAGGGTGGACTTGGTCAAGGACAGGACGGAGAGCAGCCTGCAGCAACTCCACCTTCTTCTGGGGCTGCAGTAAGTCGCCAGAGGCATTCTGAAGGAGAACATTGGCGACCTCGTTGCCCCCCAGGTTGCTTATCAGGATGTACACGGCATTGAGGAACTCGTTGGTTTGGTTCGTCTGGAAGAACCCACCCAGTGTTTCCAGCAAGGCTGTAGACATGAACTCCACCTCGTCCAGGATAAACACGGGGATCTTCTCTTCAATTTCGGCTTGGGTGACCATCTCGCTGATCGTCTTAGATAAATCTTGCTGGCAGGCTGATGTGGAAGCGCTGTCCGGGCAGTGGTGCATGGCGAAGTAATGGAGCACAGAGTTGTGCCCCATGACTGACCTGAAATGTTTGGCTAGCAGCCAACCGACGTGGCTCTTCCCAACCCCACTTGGGCCGTTGAAGGAGATGACCAGGGGTTTGTTGTGTATGTGGGTTGCCAGGTAGTCCTTGAGCAATGCCACAATGCTCTCGACTGCTAAGGCCTGCCCAAAAACCTCTCGGTGCATTGTCTTCTCCAGACCATCCAGATCATATTTCAGGAGGTTATCGTCCAGATTCTCGATGGCGTTCAGGATCTGGAAGCAGACAATTCCTACAAGCAACAGGAGGCACCTCTTGGCTTTGCTCTTGTGCTCGGCAGGGAGGTATTTCCTGGAGTTTCCTGGGTACAATACCCTGGGGTTCTTGGACCTCTTCCTCCGCTTGCTGGATCTGGTTGAGGGCTCCTGCACCGAGGTATCAAAAGTGAAGTACTGAGAACTCTCAAAGCTCGCTTGGCTCAAGAGGGAGGTGGAGGCACTGCCCAGTCTGGCCTTCCCCAAGGAGATCTGCCTCTGGAGAAGCTTTGCTTTGGAGTCCCCAGGCAGGAAGTTCTTCTTAAAGGCATGAGCTGTCCTCCGCAGGCGAATGGCAGCCCGCACTGGGGACGAGAGCAGAGAGAGCTTCTGGGGGCTTTTCAAGGCCTGCTTCCGGCCCTCCATTGTAAGCTCTTGCCGTGGGTCTCGCTTTCCTGCCTTCTCTACAGGAGAAGAAAAAGAAGCATAAGAACACAGCAGGAAAGGCAGCATGATACAATGGTTTACTTCCCGTATCAAAATGCCACAGGGTTGTTGTGAGAGGAGAGGGAGGTGAGTGGGACACGTTTGTGGAAGAGAGATCTCCTATCAACAGAAATCTCATTTATTTCATTAGATTTCTTACTTGACCTGTACCATAAGGTCCGAGGGCACATTGTAACATCAGAATATACAATTATAAAGCAAATACAGCCATAAGACAAGAAAACAGCTCCATGAATAAATCCAGTAAAAACAATTCCATATTTAAAAACAACTTATGTTCCCGCAAACACATAGAAACAATTCTATATATATAAATATAAGTTAACTATGCTAGCAGGCCTGGTGCCAGCCATTGGTTTAGTTGGGCACTAGTCAAGGGCTCCAAAGGAATGCTGGTGGCGCTGTGGGTTAAACCACTGAGCCTAGGACTTGCCGATCAGAAGGTTGGCGGTTCGAATCCCCGCGACGGGGTGAGCTCCCGTTGCTCGGTCCCAGCTCCTGCCAACCTAGTAGTTTGAAAGCATGTCAAAGTGCAAGTAGATAGATAGGTACCACTCTGGCGGGAAGGCAAACGGTGTTTCCGTGTGCTGCTCTGGTTCGCCAGAAGCGGCTTAGTCATGCTGGCCACGATCCGGAAGCTGTACGCTGGCTCCCTCGGCCAATAAAGCGAGATGAGAGCCGCAACCCCAGAGTCAGCCATGACTGGACCTTTACCTTTACTAGTTAGTCAAGGGCTCCAGGGGCTTGGAAAAGCTCCTAACCAGCCCAATCTAGCTGCATCACCATTCACTGGGCCCCGAATTATTTTCATTAGTGGGCAAAGAAGAAGGCATGTGGTGACCCTCTTAAGCAGCACTGTGTCCTGTCTGTGGGTGGGTGCAGGTGGCACTGTGCCAAACCCCCTTTCCCAAAAGAGTCTGGCACTGATCCTGCATGACAGTAATTGGAACCTTCAGGTTCAGGGACAGGCTACTTCATGGGTAGGCAAACTAAGGCCCGGGGGCCAGATCCGGCCCAATCGCCTTCTAAATCCGGCCTGCAGACGGTCCGGGAATCAGTGTGTTTTTTACATGAGTAGAATGTGTCCTTTTATTTAAAATGCATTTCTGGGATTGTGGGGCATAGGAATTCATTCATCCCCCCCCAAAAAAAATAGTCCAGCCCCTGACACAGTCTGAGGGACAGTGAACCAGCCCCCCCCCCCCCCGCTGAAAAAGTTTGCTGACCCCTGGTCTACTTCCAAATGTCAGGTGGGGGAGGGGCACTGCTTGTTGGTTTACCAGAGGAATCTGGGGAAATGCACGGAAGAGGTAACCAACAGAAGAGTTAGTTACCATCAGCACCACACTTTGTGTGTCTCTTAACCCCCTTTTAAAAGTACGCAGTCTCCACATAAGTATCAGTTTCACAAAACCAGACCAGAAAAACCAGCATGTAAGTTTTCTGGGTTGTTGTTTTTTTAAGTCAAAAGCAATCCCCTTTTCTTGGAGAGCAGTGCCATCTAGAGGCTACTGCCTTTCAAAACTCATACTCCTGTCTGCTTTTAACAGCCGACTGCAAAATAGGATTTGTTTATTTTTAATAAAAATAATAATATTGCAATGTAAAAGCATGGATTCGCTGAACCACAAAACCTTTCACATTCAGCCTGACTCTGAAGCATTAGCATGTAGCGGACGGGAAGATAACGGGCATTCAGTAGATGGCCCGACTCACTGTTTTTAAATGACTAACAAATAACAATTCCGAAATATATTTAAAAAATTGTCCAGTAGCACCTTAGAGACCAACTAAGTTTGTTCTTGGTATAAGCTTTCATGTGCATGCACACTTCTTCAGATAGCAAATAACAATGCCATTAATTTTAACAACTTCATGAAGTTCAGTGATGAATCCCTTCAATAACCATTGGTTTGTTGATGGGTAGAGCAATCCAAACTAAAGGAAGCCAACGTAATCTATTTTGGGGTAAATCATGCCAGGGTAACTAACCCTGATTCAAAACTCCATTAAGAAGCAGGGCTGGTGACACCTGAACCCTCCAGGGGAGGAGGGAAAGTCTTTAAAACACACTTTGACTTAGACCACCTTTGTACTAGGGAACTCCCACTGGGTTACCAGGTCACATGACCAATCTGAACAGAATTTAGAACAGGGCTATGTCTCTTTAGGACTGGAATTAAAAAGGAGGGTAAGAAATTGCTGGGTTTACAAACTGAATTGGAATACAAAAGAGGGAGGTATGAGGAAGTCCGGGAAACAAGTAAATTTAAAAGAGGTTATGAAAGGACGGAACTATTTTTAACTGTTTTTTCTTTTCTTTCTTTTTTCTTTTTTTACTTTTTTCTATTCTGTACTTTGTATTTTGTATGGGGTATTTTTCTCTGTTTTTGTTAAAATTTTTGTGTTTAATGTGATTTTATTCTTTCTGAAATTTTAATAAATATTAATTAAAAAAAAAAAAGAACAGGGCTATGTCTCCTCCTGCACCAACCTACAACACACCTCATCACACCTGTAGAACACCCCTGTTTCGGGACTTATCCTGGCCTCAGCTCAGTTGGCTGACCTGGGATGGGCGACGTCATCCAGCTAAGGCCAGGATCAGCTGGCTCAGAAACCTGCCACCTATTCAAAATGCCACTCATCCCCCAAGTTATTAGGTTTGGTTTGTCCCCTATTTATTTATCTACCCCCACTTCTTTCTCTTTATTAGATCCAGTAGGGTAAATAAAGACAACTATGGACATAAGAGTAGGGATTGTATCTTGTGCAATTTCAACTATATAGGCTGGCTGGTCAAAACCCTGCCATTTTATAGGGGGGGGGAGTAAAGAAATCCTGCATGTTGAATGCAGATCTGGTCCATGAAGACTTTGTGGAGCGGGGCGGGGGGGGGGGGGAAATAGTACTAATGATAATAAGAATAAACTGGTTAGATGGACGAATGTCCTGACTATGCATAACACAGCCTTCATTCCTAGTTTTAGAACTGTGTGCATATATATAATGGACAGTTTGGATTGTGGAATGTTATAAATTCCACTGGCACTTTTGAACTCGAGAAGCAGGATGGGAATATGAAAACAAGCCTCTATAGACAATAGGGAGAAGCTCTGCCAGACCCAGGGAGAAGCTATCAGGAGGGCAGCAGACAGGCCCATCCCACCACCAGGCTGCATTCATTCACTCATCAGCACTGATTTCAGTGCCAAGAGGCCAATTGTTCTTTGGGTTAAACTTCTACTAGAAAAATATGTTTGACCCAGTGAGAGCAGGATGCAAAACAGCAGGATGGGCGCTGCCTAGATCAAGCATGCAACAAAAAGAAGGCATGCATTTTCAATCTCAGTAATTAACTTCTAGAGATCAGCAAGTCACCGAGGTGGAAGGGACCTTAGAAATCATCCGATCCAACCAGCAACTCAGTACAAGATCTGAAATGCAGGAGGCGACTGCAGGATCCCTGACAGGTGAGCCGTCCAAGCAGCTGTTTCAAACACCTACAGCAAAGGGAAAACCACCACCTCCTGAGGGAGGCTGTTCTATCGTCAAACAGCTCTTACCGTCAGGACAGTTCTCTTAACGTTCACCTGAGCTCTGCTTCCCTGCCATTTCCAGTCACATGCAATCTCCAGAGGAAAGAGCAGTGGTGGCTGGTACACATTGGGGCTGGTAGGGCAGGAGGCAGGGGAGGGGGAAACAGTAGGTGGAGCCCAGAGCCCATGATAGGTGGAGGCAGAGCCAATGACAGGCAGAGCCAAGCCATTTTATCTTAGGCCCCGTCCTCTTCCTCTCTGCTGAGTTCTGCAAGGGGAATGCTGACAGTAAGGAAGAGGAAGGTGACACGCAGGACAACCCTCTGGACTGGCTGTAAGAAGGCTGGCGAGTGAGTGCTGACCGAGGTTGGCACCCTAACAGACCAGCCTCCGCTGTAGGGCAGGAGGCAGGGAGATGAACATTAGGTGGAGAAAGAGCCAGTGACAAGCGGAACCACCACCTGATTTATAAGAAAGAAGGCAAGAAGGTGGGCCAGTCTTATATATAGGTAACATAGAAAGCTGTCTTTGCCAAGTCAGACCATCGCTCTACCTAGCTCAGCATTGTCTACGGTGAATGGCAATGGCTCTCCAGAATTTTAAGACACACGGTCTTTTCCTGTTACCTGAAAATTTCAGGAACTGAACCTGGGATCTTTTGTACAAACTCATTACGGGCCACATTGAAGCTAATGGACAAAGGGCTTACTCCGAATATAACTCAGTCCATGAGTAGGAAACTTTTGGCCCACCAGATGTTGCTGAACTACAACTCTCATAAGCCCCATCAAACATGGCCAGTAGCAAAGGATGGTGGGAGTTGTAGTTCCCCACAGCTTGAAGCATAAGAACATAAGCAGAGCTGTATAAAAACATTAAGATGATAATAATAATAATAATAATTCCATTGTCATGTTGGCCAACCAGATGTCCCAGTGTATCAGGAACCAGAGTCAAGTGTAGGTCAGATGGTATCAGTAAAGTTAACTCTTTATTCAAAGCAACCAAAACAGTGCAGGCCAGTAATCCTACCAACTCTTCCCGGTATGTGTTGCCCCAATGAGGCAGCTGCAAGGACTGAAGGTCCCCGCCTTCCCACAGCTGCCTAAGTTCCATCCTCTCAAGCGTTTCCCCCCAAGCAATCAGAGACTGCCTCTGAGCACAACCAATCTCTCTGCGTGTTATGGGAGACCGGGTCGGTTCGGGGGAGCTGGTTGCAGCAGGAGGGGGAGACTCCCTGGATTCTTCAGAGGTCTTCCTCATTGCTGCCTCTTGGTCCCCCCCCCCCTTGTACTGCCTCCTTTTCTGCCTCTGAGCCTGGACTGCTCTCTGTCCCTGGCTTTTTCTGCTCACTAAACCCTGTTGCCTCTTCAGCTTCCAGCACCTCCTCCCCCCAATCTGTTCCCTCTTCTCCTTCTGACCACACATCACTGTCCCACCACCAATCCCCTGGCTCTGACCCTTCTTCCCCGGGGGTTCCCTTGGAGGTACCCCTTGCTGATGCCTCCCACCACTCATTCACATCCAGCCAGTTCATGACACAACGGGAATCCTGCAAGCAGGACAACACTCTCCCCTCCTGCGGCTTCAAACAACTGGTATTTAGTAGCATTACTACTTCTGATTATGGAGACAGAACACAGCCATCATTGACTAATAGCAACTGATAGTCCTATGCTCCATGATTTTGCCTTATCCTCTTTTAAAACCTTCCAAGTTAGTGGCTGCCAGTGACTCCTTTGGGAGGGAGTTCCAGAGTTTAACAATGCACTGCAATGTGAAACAACAACAGTGCATTGGTAGAGGGTTTATACTGGACGGGTCATCATTCTATTTTATTTCTTGTTCTGTGATATGCCCCCTAAATGGTACCACATTATTGCTCCTGGGGGGTGGGCACTCTACAGGGGGAACAGAAGCAGGACACTCATAAAATTAAACCAGAACAATTGTGGTATGAAAAGTTACAGAATTTCAGCAGAACGCTATGGAACTTACAGGAAACGAAGCAGGATATCTGCCCCAAAACTTTTGCAGGCTCAAACAGGATCAAAAGCAGGGTGGCTGATAACAACATGAGCCCAAATCATTATAAATATACAATACAGAGGATGCTGGGAGGGGACCTGGGTAATAACAATCGGGGACCATTTCTCTTACCATGCCAGGCTTGTGGAAACAGGATACTTTTACTCAATGGACCTTTCGGTTCAGTGCTACAGAGTTCTTCCTCTGTTCTTAAAGGTTTAACCCCCTTTAGTCGTTTTCTTCCTGCTACACACTGCACAGGAAGCAACAAAAGGGGCTTCTAGTGTTCTTGGTAGTTATATTTTGAGGAAGCCAGTGAATCCATGCAAGGGCTCTGTTCTTACCACATAAACCCAAACCATGAGTCAGACGCTACAGAATCAGCAATGCACTTTCTGTACATTTGGTCCGTCATGGCAGCCAGGAGGAGGAGTTCCAGCCAGCGGCAAACAGAGGAAATAAACCAGTTTTCTCTCAGATTACTAGAAAGCCCCGGCTGTGGTGGCTGCTGCCCATTGGCAGAAGTCAGGGAGCCCAGAAATAGGTGGCACCAGAGCCAATGACAGGCACAGCCATCTAAATCTAGTTTTGTCCCCATCCGGCTGAGTTTTACATGAGCTCAGGTATGGGTGAACCTGTCAGTTCTGATTTCTCTCAGGTAGGATTCACACCATGCATTTAAAGCACTCTTATACTACATTAACAGCAGTTGCCTGATGGCAAATTCAGAAGCAAAGGGTCCCTTCATGATAGTTACATCACGCCCCCACTCCTCCTAAGATTGTACAATAAAAATGACCTTTCAGGTCTCTTTGTTCTGCTGAGGATGACAGTGTGGTCACATTCTTAAAAGGTAAAGGGACACCTGACCATTAGGTCCAGTTGTGGCCGACTCTGGGGTTGCGGCGCTCATCTCGCTTTATTGGCCGAGGGAGCCGGCATACAGCTTCCGGGTCATGTGGCCAGCATGACTAAGTCGCTTCTGGCAGGCCACAGCAGCGCACGGAAATGCCGTTTACCTTCCTGCCGGAGCGGTACCTATTTATCTACTTGCACTTTGACGTGCTTTCAAACTGCTAGGTTGGCAGGAGTTGGGACTGAGCAATGGGAGCTCACCCCATCGCGGGGATTTGAACTGCCAACCTTCTGATCGGCAAGTCCTAGGCTCTGTGGTTTAGACCACAGAGCCACCCGCATCCAGGTCACATTCTTACCATACTTTTAATAAACTATGATACCACTTTAAACAGCTATGGCTTCCCTGAAGAATTCTGGGAAATGTAGTGTGCTAAGACTGGTGTTAGAAGACCCCCTAGTCCCCTCATGGAACTACAGTTCACAGAGTGGTTCTACGGTCAATCCCTTTTCACAGGGAACTCTGGGAATCGTAAGTCTCTGAGGGGAATTAGGGTCTTCTAACAACTCTTAGCAACTTTTTTTTAAAAAAAACAACCCACAGCTCCCATAATTCTTTGTGGGAAGCCATCACTGCTTAATGTGGTACGATGCTGCTTTAAATGCATAGTGTGGATGTGGCCTATGTCCTTTTGAGATCCAGCAAGAAGAAGACGATGATAGAGAGAGCAAATGGTTGTTTTTTTCACAGAGTAAATTACAGCTCACAGAGAGCAAATCAGGCACACACTTAGAAAATGGGTTTCTTTTTGTTTTTTTCAGAGCAAAGTGAAACAGCTTTCAAAAGTTTCAATAATGCAGCCCACAGGATGTATTATTGCTTTTTTTAAAAAAATAATAATTATAGTGTAGAGACATAAATGCACAGAAATGAAAAGCCCCCAGTTTCAAAATGCCTGGTCCCTTACCAAAGTAACAGCAATTTGCCTTCAAATGAAACCCATTTCATGCACTTCTCTGAAGAATGGAGCAGGGCGGGTGGGTGGGAAGAAGAAGAAGAAAGCAGAGACCTCAGGTATCCCATAACATCCTTGGCAATGCCCCTTGAAATGGACGTTCTGGCACAAAACTGCCTAAGCAAAAAATATTTAGTACTGCAAATAGTGGGCTCATTCATTAGCTGCTTAGAGCCAATTAACACCAGAACTTTGCAGCATCAAGGCATAAGCCAATGCAAATCAGTCTGCAGGAGCTTGGGTGTGTAGGATGTTGACAAAGGAACCCTGCTCCCCAAAAAAGGAAAGGTTCTACAATCCCCCGTGACCCTGTACAACCCCCATTCACCCCGTCATCAGAATTGTAGTCTGTTAAGGGTGCTGAAAGTTCTTAGGAGACCTTCAACAAACTGCAATTTCTAGGACACTTTGTGGGAAGCCATGTGTCTTAAAGTGGAATAAGAGTGCTTTAAATGTATGGTTTTGGTGTGACTCTCATTTTCTACATCAGTTTGCAACCCTTGAAAAGAAAAAAGAAAAGAAAAGAGAACACATTTTTGGAAATCAACTTCCCATAATACAATGCCTTTCATATGTTATTTTCACTAATATATGCATACTTTACCCTAGTATATGCATTCTTATACACATTACTTGGTCAGAAAATTGCACTGCAAAATTCAGAGAAGTTCAAATTTCGAAGGAGGGCTGCGAGAAAGAGCACTAAGATGCAGAGCTTTAAAGCACAGATCTGTGCCTTGAAAGAGCAGGCAAAAAGGTAAGCGTGGATAAGCCACTATTTTATCTGTGTCGTCTTGAACAGCAGCCACTATGCAATTCACTGCTAGCAATAAGGGCTAACAGTGGCTCTTTTATGTTCAAGGTAGCATATGGCGGATTATTGGCTAGATCTAGACCTTTTCTGGCTCCCCAGGAGGTCAGCTTCCCAGAAACATCATGCTGGCCCACCATTCCTATGGTTTAGCAACAGATGCACAGCGATTTTTTCTCAGCATCCCAAGCTCACCTCCTTCTGATAAGTAGAGCTCAGCTATCCAAGGGTTTTGAAAGCATTGCTCTGAAACTTACCCAAGCTCTCTGGGACACACAACCCCAGTGAGGAAAGGTTTCAGCAATTGGGGCTTTCTTTGTTGGGGGGGGAAGGACACTCAGAGGAGACATTATTATAGAAATGTTTAAAATTATGCATGACACAGAGAAAGTGGATAGATAGAAGTGCTCCTCCCTTTCTCATAACCCTAGAAGTCATGGGCACCCGATGAGGTTGAACGCTGGAGGATTTAAGACGTGCAAAAGGAAGACCTTCTTTACACAGCAAGTTAAACTATAATAATAATAATAATAATAATAATAATAATAATAATTGGTGAAGAATCGCAACGATTAAAATGAATGTGCTACCGAAGATGTTATTTTTATTTCAAACAGTTCCAGTGATCAAAGGGGCAGCAATTTTTAAAAATTGGCAAAGAGAAATTTCAAGGTATATCTGGCAGGGTAAGAAGCCGAGGATAAAATTTAAGATATTGACAGATGTGAAAGCAAGAGGAGGCTTCGCCCTGCCAGACTTGAAATTGTACTATGAAGCATCTTGCCTCTGTTGGTTGAAGGAATGGGTGAAATTAGAAGATACTGATTTGTTAGATTTGGAAGGTTTTGACAATAGATTTGGGTGGCATGCGTATTTGTGGTATGATAAGAAACGTGTACACAAAGGTTTTGAAAATCACATCAAAAGAAGGTCCCTGATTGAAGTGTGGGAAAGATATAAAAATCTGTTGGAACAAAAAACTCCATATTGGTTTTCGCCGTTGGAGGCGATGAGCGTGAAGAAAGTCAATATGACTGGGGGATGGGTGACATATGAGAAGTTAATAAGTAAAAGAGATGGAAAATGAGACCATTTGAAGAAGTTAAGGAATATGTTAATGACTGGTTGCATTTTTTTCAAATTAATGAAATGTTTAGAAAAGATTTAAATCAAAGGGGTTTTGCTGATAAAGAATCAAAATTTCAGACAGAAATATTGAATAATGATTTTAAAATTTTAGCCAAAATGTATAACATATTACTAGAATGGTGCACGAAGGATGAATGCTCCAAAGTAAGAGCATTTGGGTCAAAATTAAGGGAGAGAAGAATAACAGTGACCTCACTGTGGGAGTTTACCATAGATCCCCAAGCCAAACGGAGGACATAGATGATGCCTTCCTGGAACAGATGGCCAAGCATGCAAAAGGAAGGGAGATAGTAGTAATGGGGGACTTCAATTACCTGGATATTTGTTGGATGTCAAACTCAGCCAAGAGCATAAGGTCAAACAGATTCCTCACTGGCCTTGCAGACAACTTCATTGTCCAGAAAGTGGGAGAAGCAACAAGAGGAACAGCCATTTTAGATCTGGTCCTAACCAATGTTGATGACCTGGTTAGTGGGGTAGAAGTAGGCGCGAGTGATCATGCTCTTCTGAAGTTTACTATACAGCGGAAAGGAGCAGCCAAGCATACTAGGACTCAATTTCTTGACTTTAAGAAAGCCGACTTCATAAAACTTAGGGAAGTGCTGGGTGAGATCCCATGGACAGTAATACTAAAAGGAAAGGGAGTTCATGATGGCTGGGAGTTTGTTAAGAGGGAGATAGTAAAAGCACAACGTCAGGCAATACCAATGAGACGGAAACATGGAAGGTGCCTAAAGAAGCCAGGGTGGCTATCTAAAGAACTTTTAACTGAGTTAAGATTAAAAAGGATGTGTACAAAAATGGAAAAGGGGGAAACCACCAAAGAGGAATTCAAACAAATAGCCAGCACGTGTAGACACAAAGTCAGAAAAGCTAAAGCACAGAATGAACTCAGGCTTGCTAGAGAGGTTAAAAGCAACAAAAAAGGCATGTTCGTATGGGTATGTTCGTAGCAAAAGGAAGAACAAAGAAACAGTGGGGTCACTCAGAGGAGAAGATGGTGAAATGCAAACAGGGGACACAGAAAGGGCTGAACTCCTCAATGCCTTCTTTGCCTCAGTCTTCTCCGATAAAGAAAACAATGCCCGACCTGAAGAATTTGAAGCAAATGATTCAGCAAAGGAAACATAGCCCAGAATAACTAAGGAGATAGTACAAGAATACTTGGCTAGTTTAGATGTATTCAAGTCTCCAGGGCCAGATGAACTACATCCAAGAGTATTAAAAGAACTGGCAGATGTGATCTCAGAACCACTGGCAGTCATCTTTGAGAATTCCTGGAGAACAGGCGAAGTCCCGGCAGACTGGAGGAGGGCAAATGTTGTCCCTATTTTCAAAAAGGGGAAAAGAAAGGACCCAAATAATTACCGCCCAGTCAGTCTGACATCAATACCAGGGAAGATTCTGGAGCAGATAATTAAGCAAACAGTCTGTGAGCACCTAGAAAGGAATGCTGTGATCACCAATAGTCAGCATGGATTTCTGAAAAATAAGTCATGTCAGACTAACCTGATCTTGTTTCTTGACAGAATTACAAGCCTGGTAGATGAAGGGAACGCAGTGGATGTAGCCTACCTTGATTTCAGCAAGGCATTTGACAAGGTGCCCCATGATATTCTTGTAAAGAAGCTGGTAAAATGCGGTCTTGACTATGCTACCACTCAGTGGATTTGTAACTGGCTGACTGACCGAACCCAAAGGGTGCTCATCAATGGTTCCTCTTCATCCTGGAGAAGAGTGACTAGTGGGGTGCCACAGGGTTCTGTCTTGGGCCCGGTCTTATTCAACATCTTTATCAACGACTTGGATGATGGACTCAAGGGCATCCTGATCAAATTTGCAGATGACACCAAACTGGGAGGGGTGACTAACACCCCAGAGGACAGGATCACACTTCAAAACGACCTTGACAGATTAGAGAACTGGGCCAAAACAAACAAGATGAATTTTAACAGGGAGAAATGTAAAGTATTGCACTTGGGCAAAAAAATGAGAGGCACAAATACAAGATGGGTGACACCTGGCTTGAGAGCAGTACATGTGGAAAGGATCTAGGAGTCTTGGTCGACCACAAACTTGACATGAGCCAACAGTGTGACGCGGCAGCTAAAAATGCCAATGCAATTCTGGGCTGCATCAATAGGAGTATAGCATCTAGATCAAGGGAAGTAATAGTGCCACTGTATTCTGCTCTGGTCAGACCTCACCTGGAGTACTGTGTCCAGTTCTGGGCACCACAGTTCAAGAGGGACACTGAGAAACTGGAACGTGTCCAGAGGAGGGCAACCAAAATGGTCAAAGGCCTGGAAACGATGCCTTATGAGGAACGGCTAAGGGAGCTGGGCATGTTTAGCCTGGAGAAGAGGTTAAGGGGTGATATGATAGCCATGTTCAAATATATAAAAGGATGTCACATAGAGGAGGGAGAAAGGTTGTTTTCTGCTGCTCCAGAGAAGCGGACACGGAGCAATGGATCCAAACTACAAGAAAGAAGATTCCACCTAAACATTAGGAAGAACTTCCTGACAGTAAGAGCTGTTCGACAGTGGAATTTGCTGCCAAGGAGTGTGGTGGAGTCTCCTTCTTTGGAGGTCTTTAAGCAGAGGCTTGACAACCATATGTCAGGAGTGCTCTGATGGTGTTTCCTGCTTGGCAGGGGGTTGGACTCGATGGCCCTTGTGGTCTCTTCCAACTCTATGATTCTATAATTCTATGATTCCATGATTCTATGAAGAGGTAAAATCAGTTATGATTGATTGGGCCAAAGATTTAGGACATAATATACAAATGGAGGATTGGGAAAAATTATGGAAAGAAGGTCTAAGATTCACAGCATGTACAACTATAAAAGAAAATGTGATGAAAATGATGTATCGATGGTATGTAACACCGGTGAAATTAGCAAAAATGTATAAGACAAGTAACAAATGTTGGAAATGTAAAGAAAAAGAAGGTACATTTTATCATATGTGGTGGGAATGCAAGAAAGTTAAAAGCTTTTGGGAAATAGTATATAATGAATTGAAGAAAATGTTGAAATATACATTTGTTAAGAAACCAGAAGCATTTTTATTAGGCATTACAGGTAATGAGATAAATAAGAAAGAAAAGAAGTTATTTTTATATGCAGTGACAGCGGCAAGAATACTGATGGCCCAGAAATGGAAACAGGAGGAGCTACCTACGATAGAAGAATGGAGAACAAAAATGATGGACTATGCAGAACTGGACAGAATGACAGGAAGGATCCGAAATCGACGAGATCAAAGATTTACAGAAGATTGGGAAAAATTTATTGAATATTTGCAAAAATTAAGTGATAATCAGATTACGTTTGTAAGTTTTAATGAAGCGCTGTGATAGGAGAATGTTAATAATAAGTATTAAAAATGGGATGAAGTTTACAGTAATAATATAAATAATAAATAGAAATGTGCAAAAAGTTAAAATATGAAGGATTGCAGACAAATTGAGGGAAGTCAAAAAAGAGAAATAAGATGTAATTAAGATGTATGGAGTGTATAATTCTGTTTTGTATTTGAAAACTAATAAAAATATATAATAATAATAATAATAATAATAATAATAATAATAATAATAATTTATTATTTATACCCTGCCCATCTGGCCACTCTGGGCGGCTTCCAACACAATATTAAAATACAGTAATGCATCAAATATTAAAAGCTTCTCTAAACAGGGCTGCCTTCAGATGTCATCTAAATGTCTGGTAGTTGTTGTTCTCTTTGACATCTGATGGGAGGGCGTTCCACAGGGCGGGTGCCACTACCGAGAAGGTCCTCTGCCTGGTTCCCTGTAACTTGGCTTCTCGCAGTGAGGGAACTGCCAGAAGGCCCTCGGCGCTGGACCTCAGTGTCCGGGTAGAACAATGGGGGTGGAGACGCTCCTTCTGATATACTGGACCAAGGCCAGTATATGGAACTACCTCTCACAGGAGGCAGTGATGACCAGCGGCAGAGCAAGCTGATTGGGCGCCTGGGGCAGTGTGTGTGTCCTGCGCCCAGGGGCGGGGCCAGCCACCCGCGGGGCAGGGTGAGCTGGGGCAGGACACTCCACAGGGCCTCCAAAATGTCTGCCTACCTCCTCCCACTCAGCCACCCTACAGCTGGGGTGGGGGGGAGGCAGCGGGCGGACCGTTTGGGGCCCCACGGTGAGTGGTGCCCAGCATTTTGTCACCCCCCTCACTGGTGACACCCAGGCAGCCTGCCCCCACCACACACACCCTGCCTCTGCCCCTGGTGAAGACCTTCAGCTTGGATTACTTTAAAAGAGGATTCATGGAGGAGAAGGCTATCTATGGCTACTAGCCATGGTGGCTATGTTCTGCTTCCATTGTCGAAGGCAGTGTGTTTCTGAATGCCAGTGGCTGAAAACCGCAGGAGGAGAGAGGGCTCTTGCGCTTGGGACCTGCTTGCAGGCTTCCCATGGGGCATCTAGTTGGCCACTGTGAGAACAGAATTCTGGACTAGATGGGCTATTGGTCTGATCCAACAGGTCTCCTCCAACAGGTCTCACTTAGCTCAAAGGTATACTCCATGTGCCAGAACCCTTGAAAGTCACTTCCAGTCAGGGCATGCAGCACTGAGCTAGATGGACCAATAGTTTGACTCCCTCATAAAAGGCAGCTTCCTAAGTTTAAAGGGAAAGACCATAGCTCAGTGGTGGAGCATCTGCTTTGCTCACAGAAGGTCCCAGGCAGAGCAGGGAAGGATCCTGTGTCTGAAAACATGGAGAGCTGCTGCCAGTCAGCATGGACAGTACTAAGCTAGATAGACCAATGGTCTGAATGGCATGAGATGAGGAGGGGGCTTAATCCCTGTAACTGAAGCTTTATGGTTTTAACTTTATTGGTATCCACCATCACCCTAAGCCCTCAGCGTGGGGATTGGAAGAGATGAAACAAATAGGTCAGGAAATGGGTTTAAAAGTAAAGGATAAAGGGACCCCTGACCATTAGGTCCAGTCGCAGACGACTCTGGGGTTGCGGCGCTCATCTCGCTTTATTGACCGAGGGAGCTGGCGTACAGCTTCCGGGTCATGTGGCCAGCATGACTAAGCCGCTTCTGGCGAACCAGAGCAGCGCACGGAAACGCCGTTTACCTTTCTGCCAGAGCGGTACCTATTTATCTACTTGCACTTTGACGTGCTTTCAAACTGCTAGGTGGGCAGGAGCAGGGACCGAGCAACAGGAGCTCACCCCGTCACAGGGATTCGAACCACCAACCTTCTGATCAGCAAGTCCTAGGCTCTGTGGTTTAGACCACAGCGCCACCCTAAGCCCTCGGCGTGGGGATTGGAGGGGATGGAACACATAGCTCAGGAAATGGGTTTAGCAGCTCTCAAGTAGCTGCTTATGAACACTGGCATTCCAAGGACCCAGGAAGAGCAGGCAAAACTTGTTGGGCCTCATTCTTGAGCAGAAACACTTTACGCCCCTACTGATGGAAGGTGCTCACCCACCCAGCTGTTTGCTGCTGTAAATCTCCAGCAGGGCTGGCAACAGGAAGGGAGCAAAAGTATTTGCAGGCTCCTGGTTAATGTTTTCTGGGACTAGTAGGGCAGAATGCTTCAAAATTTCCACATGTAAGGATCACAAGCTTTTTCAGGATGTGGAAACATCTGGTCTTTGCAATCAACTTGCAACCACACTAGTCAGGGAATGCTTTGCAGAACATTATCTCACCACCATTTTCTCCACTGATATATGGGCAAACAGCTACCAGCAGTCTGCATATGGTTTGTGGATGTCGGATGTGCTGAGTCACCTCATCTGACACACACAAACTCTGGAAGCAAGGCTACCAACTTGTTTTACTGATGGGCTTTTAACTGCAGCAACCACAGGGGAACCTTTTCAACCGAAGGGCCACATTCCCTCTAAACAACCTTCTGAGGGCCACATACCAGTTGGTAGGCAGGGCCAGGAGCAAAGGTGGGTGGAGCAATGGATTTTACCTTTGTACTGTCAGCTAATTCACACACACACCCCCCCCCTCTATCTTCCATCCTGGACAAGCAAGAGGCATTATCAGAGTTTAAGGGTACTGGCCACCCAGGCAAAAACACTAAAGGTGTGAAGCAGGGTCAATGCAAAGCGTTACCTAGGGAGAGGGGGTGTGGTCTTGGAAGAGTTTTGAGGGCCACATAGAGAGGCCTGGAGGCCCCACTCCTGCTTTGTAGGCACAAATTGAGCAACTGAAGCTTTTCCTAGCATGGAGCTGAAGCAATTGGGAAAACCTCAGCTGCTCAATTTATCCCATTGCAGGCAGCTGTTAAAAGCATAGGAATAGGCAGAAAGGTGGCAACACTAGCCGGAAGCCCTCTAAGTGGAGAAATGGTTCATCAGATGGGTGACCAGTTGATGGCCAACGTGGTCATGCTGTGTGCACTGCCAGAGAATTTTCAATAATCTGTTTTGACATGTGCATTTCCCTTGAAGTTCCAAAGCAGGAAGTGCATCTTTTTATGTTTGAGCACTGCGCGACGTGCGTCTCATTCCTAGTTAGAGAACTCATTTCCAGAGATTCATGACTTGCCATTGAAGTTGCAAACTACTTCCAAAGAAAGATGTCCTGATAAGCCACAATATTACTCCCAGGTACAGTACATGCAAGGGAAAGTCTGCGCACATGCACTTTCCACACCAGGAAAAAGTTTCACTTATAGCTTTCCTGCTTTTCCTATGGCTAAAGTGCAGGAGCCCAACTAGAAAACAAAACTAATGACAGCCTTAGAGTTGCCACCTTTTAAGCTAACCCTGCTCATCTGCCTTTAGCTGCACCTCAACTGGCATACATTAGCAGATGGCAAAGCTGTTTTGAAAGGCTTTGCCAGCAGACAGATCAAGTGACTTGTGAAATGCAGGCCAGGTCCGTTTTTTTCTGGTCAGCTGGCAAACCCAGTCCCACATCCATCACTCTTTCCCTGACCATTACAGAAGAAAAAGATGATGCCAACCCGAAGCAGCCTCATACAACCCCTAAGAGCTGAAAGGATTTTTCAGCTGCAGCAATTCAGCAGGGGCCATTTCACTGCCATCCTTTTCAGCTCTGTACCAGTAAAAACTTAATTCTCTTAAACCAACTGCATGCCAGCCAGTTACTCACAGCATAGAAGTTTGCTCGGGGCACTGATTTCTCTGCATGGTTGCAAATTCACACAGTAGACTTTTGCTCCTCTGCAACTTGATCTGAAGACCACTACCAGGTGATTATAACCCCCCCCTCCCAACACTGCAAAGACAAGTTGTTGCTGCTGCTGCAAATTAAGATACTCTTAAAAGACAATGACACAGAAGGTTGTTTTCTTCCTTCTGGAGCAGCCAGCAACTTTACAACCCTGTACTGACCCCATCAAAAAAATAATAAATACTGGACTCTCCGCTCCACCCATCCAACCCAGCCCCACCACAGACAGACAGAGAGCATTACCAAGCATTGGGCCTTCTTCGGAGCTGCACCAGCAGGGAACTTGCTTCCCTCCTCTGAAGGAGCCGGGCCAGTCCCAAGGAGCCGGCGTTAGCCATGTGGCATTTTTTTGGAAGTCGAGTCAGCAGGGTTGAGAGTGCAACCACTTGTGCAAAGCTGATGTGGCCTTTCCTCTGTGTGTGTGTGTGTGTGTGTGTGTGTGTGTGTGTGTGTCAGAGAGAGCGAGAGAAAAGAGCAAGAGATGGGAGCAGGGCCCTCCTCCCTCCTGAGCTTCCTCCTCACACCCTCATGAGGCCTTATCGCTAAAGCACTGTGCAGCTGTGTTTGGCTGCTGGCCTGTCTGTGTTGCAAGAGTTCAGACACACACACACACAGAAACATAAACACCACATACACACACGGAGAGAGGCAAAAAGCCCATTCATTGGCTGCGTCTGGGTTGCGACAGGAAACCTGACGCTGGTTATGTGAGGCAGATCAGGCCACTGTCGCCACCCATTCCGCTATGGGTCTCTCGAGTCAAAGAGAGGTGAAGGGGCGATAGGCCAGCCAGCCTGCACCACAGGATAGTCTGAAGCTTCTCACTTGGCCCCCAATTAAGGTGGATGACTTCAGACAGGCTGCTGTGCTCCACTTGGGCCACGTGCTCCAGCTGCACAGTCTGAGGCCTTCATTACATGAGCCACATGACCAACTTTTACTGAGGACAATCCTCTGTTTGAAGGGATTTGGACTATCCCTGTCTAAGGCCACATTCACAGCATAAAAAGCACCATGATACCACTGTGGACAGTCAATGGTTTTAGTTTACAGGAACTTAAGAGTTGTTAGGAGACCTCTCTTGAACCTACAGCTCTCAAGAGGGGTGTAACGGTTGATCCCTTTTCTCAGGGAACTCTGGGAATTGTAGCTCTGGGAGGGGAATGAGATCTCCCAACAACTCTCAGCACCCAGAGCAAATGACAGTTCCCAGGATTCTTTGGGCAAAGCCATAACCTGTTATCAGAGTGCTTTAAATGTGTGGTATGAATGTGGCCTGCCCCTGGTCTAACCACCACACCAAACATCCAAGCCCTGGAACATAGGTTGTTGCTGGCACTGGTCTGCCTTGAGAGACAATGGAAGAGGATGCCTTAGGGGGTAAAGTCAAGCGGTTGGAGAGTTACAGCACCTGCTACGGCCTCCCACCTTTCCGCCAAAAGGCTCAAGGTGGTTGTACAGTGTTCTCTCTCTTTGCCCAATTTTATCCTCACAGCAACCCTGTGAGGTAAGAAAGGCTGAGAGACAGCAACTGGCCCAAGGTCACCCAAGTGAGCTTCATGGCAACTGGTGGTGTAGTTGTTAGAATGTCTGTCGGCCAAGGACCTGGGAGGCCAGGGTTCAAGTCCCCACTCGGCCATGAAGCTCACTTTGTAACCTTGGGGTTGGCAAAAGACTTGGCAGATAAGCAGAGGATATGAATATAATAAAATAAAAAATAAGCCACAGACCTTCCCCATCCCAGCTTTTTGTCTGCTGAAGCAGCCACCCAGCACAACAACAAAATCAAACCAGGCAAATAATTACAGGGTTGCCAGTTTGTTTGTTTTTGTTTCTTTTAAAGGCTGCTGTAGGTATGCCTTGAATAGCTCTTCTCCCCTCATTTACAGTTCCTAAGGCCAGTCACTCACCACTGGAAGGGTCTCTTGCTGCATCAGCTGAAAAAAGTCCCATGTCATTGCCCCTTTTCAGGCACTGGCTTCCTCAACCAAACTTCCCAATGTTCAATGAACGGTTTTGTTTTTCTCTTCTGACTTTCTGCAGGGAAATGAGCCCTAGAGTTAGGAGTATGCAAATCCCTTTGAAAGACGCAACAATGGGCAGGTGTATTCTGTAATTTGCATAATTGTCATACAGACCAGTGTGTGTGTGTGTGTGTGTGCCCGTGCGCACAGTTGTAAAACAATGCTAAATAAAATTTGTGCAAACCAATACAAAACGGCCAAAGATGTGCTACATGTGTACATGCATCCTGCTAGGGCTCACTCCACTTGCCAGCCCTGCCTATCTGCCGGGTCCTTTGCCCATCACATTTCCCCCACACCTGACTGACTTCTAATTCCTTTACACCTGACTAAAAAAACACACCATCTCTTTACACCTCAGCCCACCCCCTTACAGCTCAGGCTAATCACCAGCTGCAACATGGTGACAGCCATGGGCTGAGACAGGATTTATGTTAGTGCTGAGCTATCTGTGACGCGATTGCTCAGTTAGTTAAGTATTAATTATTTATTTACTTGATTTTTTTAAAATGCATATTAAGAAGATACTACACTTTGATGCTAATAGCAAGCTCTGTAAGCATGGGTCCTGATGTGATCAAAAGTGTGATCAAAAGTGTGCAGACAAATAGTTGAACTGTAAGCTTGTACAATTACTCACCTGTAACATTCCATGAGAATGCAGTCTGTGTACTGGTGTGGAATGACTTGGATGTGTGTAGGCTAAGCTTGTACCGGTGTTCAGCCATGCACGAAGGAGGAACTGGCAGGCTTTGGGGAACTCCCAAGTTTGCAGAAGTACAAATAACATTAGCGGATGGGATGCTAAGGGGAGAAATCTTCTAAACTGCCCAGTGAGGACTAACCCTGCTCATTGGCCCAGAATGGGATTGACTGTTAGAAAGCAGAGAATAAAATACAGGGGAAGGAGATGTAATGGTGTACCCTGGAAAAGGGCATAGCTCAGCTGGCTGGCTGTCACCTTGAAGGAGAGCACGCCTCCTTAAATGTAACTTTGTCACATTTAAAAATCTCATTTAAAATATTAAATTTGAATTGCTGTTCTAAAAATTAAATATCCCTGAAAACCCAGTGAAAAGTAAGGTATATGCAGGCCCTCTTTAAAGAGGGGGTGGTATGGGGGTTTCACACACTGAGGTGTTTCACACACTGAGGCACTTGCTATATCTATCTATCTATCTATCTATCTATCCATCCATCCATTTGGAAACTGCCTTAGACTCCGGCTCTGGAAGAAAGGCAACATACAGTAATCTCCAAAACAATACCTGGAGGGCATGTCCCCCACACCTGCTCTCCAGTCTGGAGCATGCCATATTGCATATTGCAGCATCTTCAGCTAAACAAACCCGGGGGAGAAATCTCTGGCACAAAGTACAAGGAAAGAGGTGCTTTCCCCAAGCTATGTGCTAACATAAGCTTTGCATGTTTTCCCTATTGCCTGCTGGGTGGGGCCAACCGTCAGATGCTGAACAAGATAGAATTGCACCCAAGAGCAAAAAGATGCTTGAGCTGTCCAGCTGGATCCGACATTGAGTTCAGTGGTGTAAAGGGAAGGGGAGGGGAATGGCATGGGACAACACAGGGGAATTATAGATTTTCCTTGTTCCAGCAACCAAATTAGGTAATAATGTGGCTTTCAAGTTTGTTGGTGGCTGATTAGCATAGAGAATGTCAAAGAACCAAGCAGAGGCTGGATACTTTTTTCCTTTGACAGGGTTCCTACTACTGTACAGGCTAGCAGATGAAACAGTAATGCTTCTTTGCAATGTGGTCCACATTTCTAAATAATAGCTGGAAGTTGCATTTTGGCTAGCTAAAGATAATATTGTTAAAGCCCCTAAATAGGGGGTGGAGAACCTTGGGCCTGAATGTTAAATGCAGCCCTCCAAGGTTCTCCCGCAGGGTTTTCCCCACACTGCCTCCCACTGGCGCTTGCAGACATCTTGGGTGCTTTTACCTGACTATCGTGTGTCCTTGAACTTTGATAATGTATTTTGCATGCCTGGATGGAGGATGGAGAGGGGTGTGTGGATGAATGTGCAGAAACTAGCTTATTTTACAAAGCGTAAAATTTGCATTCATTGCTCTGCCCACTTTCACCTCTGGCTCTTTCAACCACCGGGCTACCGTCTGAGGTTGCCCAGAATGGAATATAGCCCTCAAGGCTGAAAGGTGCCCCCTGCCTGCCCTAGACAGCCTAGGAATGAGGCAGCATCTGAAGAACCTCTAAGTCCCATTCACATCTGTCTGATCATTGAGATAATCATTGGAGTCCCCAGTCTGAATCCCTCCACCTTCAGAGGTGAGGTGGATGGGTAGCAGCAACAGGGTCTTTGGGTGCTCCCCTTGGGCCATGTACTCCAGCTGCGACGTCTGGACTCATTTCTGCTACCAAGGCAGATAGTCAGGGTGCAGAAGGGGGTGAAGTGAGAGGATGTGGAGCTGAGGAACTGAACAAAGACAGACCCTCCAAAATGAATACAAACAGAAGGAAGCAACTGAATTTTTGCCTTTCCACCTGTACTGCTTAAAATTTTAACTAGCTGCTTTCAAGCCAGAATTGTTTGGTCTGCAATGGCAGCGGGCAGCTTACAGCATATATAAAAATTTTTAGCACATCAGACATTAAAAATTTCCTGATACAGGGCTGCCTTCCAATGTCTTCTTTTATAGTCAAGATAGTTGTTTATTTCCTGGAGATTTGATGTTAGGGCTTTCCACAGTTTCATATTAACCTGCTGCAGATTCTTCTTTTATAACAGAGTTGGGGGGGACCTTTATTCAGGCTGGGGGCCACACTCCCCTGTGGGGAGCTTCTTGGGGTCTGCAAGGCAGTGGTGAGCAGGGCTGTAGCAAAAACAGACAATCACTGTGACTTTTGTACAGTAGGTTTCTAACACATACCTCTTTCTGCCTCCTTCCACTCAAGAGGCACCATCAGAGCAGTAAGGAATGTGGCCTAGGGAGGGGGCGTGGCTTATGGAGGTCCCAAGGGCTGGAAAGATGTCTCGAAGGTGTAATTTCACCCATGGGCCAGAAGTTCCATAGCCCAGTATGCAGGTACGTCAACTCCTGGGGGCCTGCGGACCCCCTCAGTATCTCTTGCAGGGAGCCAGTCTCCCCGCCTCAATGTTGAGGAGGCTGAGTGTGGAGCGAAGCATGGAGCAGAGTGCAGCATGCCTCCAGCGGCCAGCTCCTTCTCCATCTCTTTCTGCTGTGGAGGGGAAAGAGGGTGGAAGCAGCCTCTCGCTGGTGGCAGCACCAGGAGGCAGAGGAGGAGGCACTGGCAATTAAAGCCACATGGCCACACACGGCTGCTCCCAGCATCCTGGGGAGGGTTGTAAGTGAACACTTGAGCATGAAAATCTCAGGACGCTGAATTCCACACCTGCTGTTGGTTTCTGTGTTTTGCATCATGAAGTAATGGACGAGACATGATGGCTAACCATCTCCCAGGCCATATCTCCTGTTGTTTCACTCCAGTCTGTGCTCCAAACACTACTGTTTCTGGAGTCAGTGCTGCTGAGTTCTGTGTAAAGCCTTTCCCATACTCCTAGCGCTTGAGCAGTTTCTCTCCAGAGTGGCCCCAGTGGCGCCTGTACAGATCCAAGCACAGGCTGAAGGTCTTCCCACACTCCTGGCAATGGTACAGCTTCTCCCCTGTGCAAACCCTCTGGTGTTTGGTGAGGACCTGGCTCTGCCGGAAGCACATCTCGCACTCAGTGCACTGGTACCGTTTGCGGACACAGGTGCTAAACCCTGTCTGTGGTGCCTTACCCCTTCCCCCCAAAGAATGAGACAAGAGACCAGAGTATGGGTTCAAATTGGCCACAACTTTATTGAGCTTCAGAAGTGGGAAACTTGACACAAGCCTTCGCAGGTAACCCTCTCAGCCCGTCTGGCTGAGGATATGCAGGCTGATGAGGTGTAGTGAGAGGGGACTGCAAAGCACAAACTTACACAGCATGCCCTTCCACTAACCTCGTCCTGGGAGTTTGACCTACATGCCGCTGCTCTAGGGCCAGGGACTCCCGGTATTTGCCCTTTAACGGGCCCTGCAAGCGCCGCCGCATGGGGAGGGAGCATGAATGCGTCCCCCCCAACTTGATGTTAGACTAAAGGCTACCTTGCCAAGACCTAGAACCACTAAAGTTGTGACAAAATCGCTACGGGGAAGGCAAAACCTGCCAATGCAGGGAAAATTCCTTCCCGGTTCTGAATACAGCAACCATCTTACGACCACAGCAGCACCCGCTGACCTGGAACTCAAAATATTAGTCTGTAAGGAACAAGTATTGTTAACTTGATGACCGCTGACCTAGGATGAAATTATTTGGAGGCAAGAAATTATTAATTTGAGGTAGGGTGGGTGGGTGGGTGATCCTGGAAGAAAACCAAGTGAGGCTTGGTCAAAAGGGTCAGCCTCTTTTCTTTGGCCTTAGCCCCACTCCCAGCTGGCCGTCCATTGTCCTCCCTGGCCAAGGGCAGGTCAAAGGCCAACCCAAGCAGGTGGGAGGCACCCGTCCAGGTGAGCCCCGAGTCCCACAACCGAGGACCAATCCCCCATCCTCTGCTATCAAACCCTGTTGTAACCCGAGGTACTACTGTAAAGTTTTAATGGCAAGGCCCTTGCGCTTTAGGAGACCAGGAATTGAAGCACCTCCTCCTCGGAAGCGTGCCGTGCTATGGAGCCACGAAAATGCCCGAAGGTGTCCCAGGCCCTGGAATAAGAACGTCTAGTGGAGGGTGCTAATACTGACAATTCTCCCTGGTTTACTTCTCTCTTCCAATCTCCCACAGATCATCTGGGAAGGTGTCCGGGATCTGGGCTGCATCTGGTGCCAGCTCGTGGAAGCGTTCCACCTGGAAACGAGATAATGCATCAGCAATGTTATTGTTAAGACCAGGTATGAAACGGGCCGTGAAGGAAATATGGTGCCGCAGGCACTCCAGCACAAACAGGCGCAGCACTCTTATGACCCTATCGGACTTTGCTGACTGCCTAGATATAACTCTTACCACTGCTTGATTGTCAGACCAGAAACAGACCCTAGAATTCGAGAAGAGGGTTCCCCAGATGCGAATGTCGACTAGAATAGGGAAAAACTCAAGGAAGGTTAAATCACGAGTGATGCCTGCTACATGCCAAGAAGATGGCCATGGTTGGGCACACCAATGGCCCCTAAAGAACACGCCAAAACCATAGCAGCCAGAAGCATCAGAATGGACCTGGAACTCCACCCCAGGGTTAAGGCTTTTCTGCCAAAATGAGACCCCATTATAATCCTGCAAGAATGCGAGCCAAATCTTCACATCATCCTTTATCTGCTTTGTCACCCTGATGTGATGGTGGGGGGCTACCGCCCTGGCCGTGAGCCGTGCCAAACGGGTACAGAAAGCACGACCTGGCACAATTACCTGACATGCAAAACTGAGATGGCCCAATAGGGATTGAAGCTGGCGAAGGGTGGTCTTTTTAACCCCCAGCATTGCTTCCAGCAACGCTTTTAAGGATTCCAGCTCGGTCTGCGGGAGGCGCGAAGATTGCTGATGTGTGTCCAGTTCAATACCCAAGTAGGAATGGATCGTAGAAGGGCCCTCGGTCTTTTCAGCAGCCAAAGGTATGCCAAAGTATGCTCCTGAGTCTCCCTTTGTGTCCCTGGATCCACTCCCCGAGCCTGTCTTTTGAAAACTGTGAAAAGGAAGCTTAGCCCGCAAACACTTAGTCCGTGAGTGTGAACGACCACAGCGCTTGCAAGCATGGTCGAAACGACATCTGTCCCTGCTGCACAACCCATTATTAAACTCCCAGCATGCTGACGTAGCCACCCTCTGTACTTTGGAGGGGGGGTTGCCTGACTTCTCCCCCAAAGCCCTTTTTTCGAAGTGTGGTGCCACTACTTCGGACCAGATGTCACTGTCCTTAATGTCCCAACGTGCCTTGGGGTCTTCAGCAGCCCTCTCACGGAACTTCCCATCATACGCTAAAGCTGCAGAGTCCCCCGCCATTTTTCTGGCTTTTAAAATAATGCCTTGGTAGTTAGCCAAGTGCCAGGCCTTGTCGGGGTAAGCAGCAGCCACCAACCCCATGTAAGTTGTGTAAACGGTTAACCAATTATCGAATGTTCTAGCAACATCCACTGCCTTGTCCCTCTTACAATACGATTCCGGCTTAAACTTGGAACTACAAAAAGAAGCCGGGGAGAGCAGGGAAAACATATCCACAAATTCCCCATTTAGGATGCGATTGCGAAGATTCTTTTTAAGCTGGATGCCGGGTGGCTGATCCGTGTGCTTGAAGTTTGATGCCCGCACCCTCCCTTTTGCATCCAGCCCATCCTCCCCACATGGCTCCCTGGCCCCAAAGGCGCAGCGATGACGCCGGGTGCGACGTTCCCATATCCAACTAGGAAGGCCAGAGGCCTTGTGGGTAGTAACCCAGTACCCCTTGCAGCGTTCTTCCGACTCGCCACAGGAATCACACGTACCTGAAAGATCCGAAGAATTTGAAGTGTTCCTCTTGCACTTACACCCATGCTTCCTTGATCTGTATGACCTCTTCTTCCTGCGTCATGTTCTGCGCCAATCAGGGCTGGAGGAGTTGTCTGGTGAACTCGAAACAGGTGACCTATGCCTACGCCTACCCTCACAAGACCGTCGACAAGGGGACTTAGACCTATCTAAACGCTCCTCAACCCGGGCCAGGCGACGCTGCAGGCTGCGGTTCTGGCGCAGTAATTCCTGCACATCGTCCCCACTGGACTGTGAAGCATCGCTCTCAGCAGCGAGCTGCCCTGGGGATACACGCTTTTTCTTCTTAGGGTGGGCCCTGTAGGGCCTGCCATCAGATGTGGAGGGGCCATCAAAATGATCATCCCTCACCTTTTTCTTAGTTATTATGAGCTTCATAGGTGGGACCTTCTTGCCAGAAGACAAGGCCCTTTTTTTAATCCTATTGGCTGCTTTTATGGCGTTGTTAGGGGTGCCCTTCACTGTGGCTTTAGGGGTGCCCACCACTACAGCTTCATGTGTGTGAGGGGAGGAGCCTTCCCTTTGTTCAGCAGCCATGGCTAGAGACATAACGCACCTTGAAGCGAGCCACTACAGACCTGAGTAAGATGGGCAGGTGGTGTGGTTTTTTTTTAATACTTATTATACTGCTATATTGGTTATTTTCCTACAAGTGTATCTTGATTGCAATCAGAAGATTGGGGGGGGGGGTTAGAGACAAAACCAGCCAACCTAACTGCTCACAGACTGCAAAAGAGAGTAACAAGTTAGCTCACATCCATATGCTCTGGAATACTGTGGAGTAGACCCTCCAAGGATGGAATAGTGCCACGCCCATAACAAGGGGGGGGGACTTCCACCCTAAAAGCGCACCGCACATGAAGCCTGTAGCCAGAGCGATCGCGAAATATCAAGCACTGCAAATGCGGCCTAAACATGCCCCCCCCCCGAACCACCTAAAAGAACAGCCGCCATGCGGATTATGGTTGAGGGCAGCGGCAGCAGAAAAACAGCTGCCATGCGGCCTACAGCTGGGGTTGCCGCCCCCATGGCAAGCAGTGGGACAGATGGGCCCACGCACCCACCCCACCCCAAGGAGAAAAGGGGCAAAAAGGCTGCAAATGCCAAAAAGAAGCCGCTGCCTGCTGCACCAAAGGCAGCCATGCGGCCTACTGCTGGGGCGCCTGCCGCCCTCTCGGGCCTGGCAAGGCGCCCCCACGGCAAGCAGCAACCAAAGAGGGGGCTTACACCCCCTCCCCAGCACCACTGCCGCTGAAAAACAATCAAGGAAGGCTGGCAAGCAGCCTGTAACAAACACTGCAAAAGACTTACCTCAACCTGGTTGCTCACAGGTCCTGCAACCTGGAAGATGATCCTGGAAGGAAGAAAACCAAGTGAGGCTTGGTCAAAAGGGTCACCCTCTTTTATTTGGCGGGTCAAAGGCCAATCCAAGCAGGTGGGAGGCACCCGTCCAGGTGAGCCCCCACTCAGTGCAGCAAACCCCGCCCACCTGTAGGGAAGGGAGGGCAGAAATTCTAGGGAGCGTGACTCTTGAGATCCTGGTGTTATAAGAATTTTAAAGTCTTTTATATATAAATAGATGTTCATAAATGTACCAAGCAAGCACATACAAATATGTAAACCACATGTCTAAAACCCCAGAAAAGTCCTGAAACCATTTTTTCTCTCCCCAAATGACCTCAAATATTTCTCTGCAATGGGAAATCTCCCCATTGTCTCTTTCACAAACCCTGTCTTAAGGGCACATTTAAGATATGAATAGGGTGTGAGCCTGTGACCTGTGACCTGGATTCAGGATTTGAGTAACAAAAGAGTGGCCAGGATGCCCAGGTAATCTAATCAAACAACCTAGGAGACAAGAGGAAAAACACACACACTCAGATTTCTGTTGTAGTCTGCCCCTTCTGTGATGTATGTATGATGTTTCTGGGGGTGGTCTAGAGATCTAACCATTTGGCTTATCTCCTGCAGCAGTGGTGGAGCCCTGAATCTGAGGGTGCCATGGGTCATGATGGACAGCAGAAGGGTTATGATGGGCAGCTTAAGAGGCTTCCCCCTTCGTCAACACTTTGGCTAGATCTTTTGCTGCCATAACCTCAGAGCACACTCCTGATCCCTGTCCTGACTCTGGAAAAGGATGCCATTGCCTCTTGCAGGGGAACTCCTTTTCAGCTCATCATTCTTCTGAGAGGGAGTCTCCACCTCTTTTTCACTGAGGATCATCTCACTATCTGCAATAAGAAAACAAAGTATGATTCAGCTCCTGTCCCTGTTTTGAAAACAAAGGAGTAATGCTCACAGAGAGGGTGGAAAGCAATGCCTGTGCTGAGGGTGGTGGGTTAAATACAAAATGTGAGTTATTGGGGCTTATTGGTGTTATAAGAATTCTAAGGTCTGAAATATAAAATAATGTTCATAAATGTACAAGGCAAAGACATATATAACTATATAAGCCACTGAAATAGGACAGGAGAACAATCCTGAAGCCATTTTGACTCTCCCAAATTGACCCTCAAATATTTCTGTGCAAGGAGGAAGGAAATGCGAAAAGCTTTCCAATTGTCTTTTGACTGTAGGCGCTTACACCTCCTTTTTCAAATACAGTCCGGCAAGGATCTGTTAATCTGAGCACACTATCAATATGCCTAAGAGATTCAGGAACTATTTACCATCTCAAAGGAATGGCCAGGCTACCCAGAAAATGCAAGCAAGTAAGGCATTATCAGGTATCCTGGCAGACAGGAGAGAAGCAACTCTCAAAATTCTGCTGGATGATGTTTTGTGGGTGGTCTTGGGCTATAGGGTGAGCAATTTCAAAAGTCTTTATAGGGGCTTGCACACTATGGTGCGGGTTTGGGGTTCTTCTGCCTCCTGTGTGTGGTGAGTGGGGACCCTGTTGCAATAATTCCTTGAATAAAGGTCAGGCTTACCAGCTGCTTTGCTTCTCAATATTCTCTGGTTGGCCTTTGTTATTTTCTCCTACCGACAAGGAACCCACTTAAGTACTCTATAGGGGTTCTGGAATACCCCATAAGGGAATGGGAGCAGGTTTTCTTATAACATTGGTATCTCTCGGTTGTTTTAATTTCAGCAGACATCAACCATTTACTGTAATAAGTTCTCATTCACCATTTTAAAATACCATTACATGTCAAATATAAAATACTACACATCATTGCATGCCATCTGTCATATCAGGTATCAGCTTCTAAATACTACTGCATGTAACCTCTCATATACTGTGTGATACTGAGTACTATTTCATGTAATTTATCAAATATTAAATACCATCGCATGCCAACTGTAATATATTACATGTCACATATTTCACATTAAAAACCATTCTTCTTCTCCTTTAGTGATCGCTCATAGCTGAGTAAGATTGTCTTCCATAAACACGGTTTTAACAATGAGTCCATAAGTGACTGTGGAGGCCAGTTCTGGATCCACATGTCCTTCCACAGTTGGGACATTGGTTTCCAGGCGGGAGTTGATCACAGTGTGGATTTGCCAAGCGTGCCTTGCTCTTAGCACGTTTCTCCCTTGAGTCCTGAGTTCGAGTGTCTTCAAAGACTTGACACCTTTGGTAAAGCCTGTTCTCCAACTAGAGCACTCGCAGGCCAGTGTTTCCCAGTTGCCAGTGTTTATACTACATTTTTTTTTAGATTTGCCTTCAGACAGTCTTTAAACCTCTTTTGTTGACCACCAGCATTACGCTTTCCATTTTTAAGTTCGGAATATAGTGCTTGTTTTGGAAGACGATCATCAGGCATCCGCACAACATGACCAGTCCAGCGAAGTTGATGTTGAAAAATCATTGCTTCAACACTGGTCACTGAGTGGGATTAAAAACCATTATATATATATTTTTAAATGATATTTATTACTTTTTTAACATTTCCAACACAACACTACAAACAAAAAAAGAAAAAACAAAAAACAATGCAAATACAATACAAAAACGCTACATGGACTAACAAAACAAGCAAAAACAAGCAAAAACAATTTAAAAACACTTCAAACATTTTCAATATCTTATATTTCATTCACTTATTTCCAGCGACCTCCTCCCACCTCCCTTTTTGTATTCCACTTCTATTATTTGTTTCAGCAATTCCTTTCCATCTTACTCTGTTTTCTGTTCTATAATTATCTTAACACATTCTTGCCATACTTTTCCTTTAATTTTCTATTAATCTATTTATACTTAATTCCTTATGACATTTCTGCTAAAGCCATATAGTTTCATTCCAACATTTTTCTAACATTCCTTAATTTTACAATATTTCTATAAATAGTCTTTAAACTTTTTCCAATCTTCTTCCACCGACTCTTCACCCTGGTCTCGGATCTTGCCAGTCATTTCCGCCAATTCCATATAGTCCATCAACTTCATCTGCCATTGTCCACCGCTTCAGTGTTTTCAAAAAGCAACCATTCTCTCAACCAGCAAAAAGCAGATGGTTCACAGCAAAGTTTAAAGGTCTGGCAGGGCAGGTCCACCTCCTTTGGCATCCATCAATATCTTAAATTTTACTCGAGGCTTCCTGCCCTGCCAAACAACTCTAGGAGCATCCCTCTGCCACCTCCTGAAACCCTCCATCCCATCCAAAGCTTGCAATGTTTGAAACAAAAGCAACATCCCCAGCAATACAGCAGCCCTCATCCCCACCACAATAACTCGGCCCAACAGTAACAACTTCTGATTTGTCCATATTTCCAGATCCCCCATCTCTTCAATCCAACATCCTTCACAGTTATCCTTAAGCAGATTCACATTTTTGGCAGTCATACTAATCCCCAAATACCTCTCTTTCTCAACCAATGTTAGTATCGCCTCCTGAAACTCTGTCAAGCTTTCCTTTTCCAATTCAGATAGGGCTCTGGTCCTCAAATTCATCCGTTCTTCTTTAAGTTCAATCATAACGAATGTCAGTTGTCTTTGTATGGATGGGGCTCTCCTCTCCTGTTGTATTATTTTAGATTCAGCAGCAAGGGTTTTCCCCCTGACTTCATCTGCAGTTTGCCATATCGAAGTAGATTCCTGTGTCAGTTTCTGGGTGGTTTCTGAATTGGTATTCACCTTTTGTCCCAAGTTATTTAAACTTTCTACAGTTGAATCAATTTCAATATTTGCAACATCCAATTTCACATTTATCGCATCTGTTTTCTTGTGAAGTTGTTCCAGCGAATCGTTTATTTTCAATAATGCAGCTGCTAAGGCCTCCTCTGTCGACATCCCATCTGTTTTTTCCTTTCCATTTGCCATAACACTTAAGAGATTCAAGGTCAATTCCAAAGTCTCACACTTTTTTATCTTGCAGCTGGAAATAAAAACCATTATAAGCCATCTATCAAACATTATAGATTATTATAAAAAATAAAGCATTAATATTTAAGTATTCAGTACTAAAGGTTGTATCCAATGTTAGTCCCACTCAGTGTAGGCCTACTGAAATATTTGAATTTGAATAGGCAAGGTGGGTCTATTCTGAGTAAAACCTGGTTGGAGACAACCCAGAATATCATTGCATGTAAAGCATCAAATTCTAATACTGCAGTCATAATCCCATTCGGGAGTAAGCCCCACTGAATTCAATACAGAGCTGGCCCACCCATGAGGCAAGGTGGGGTGACTACCTCAGGCAGTAGGAGCCACAGTGGCAGCAGATCTAATCTCCAAGGAATGCATCACCCGCTGTATTCAATAGCACTTACTTCTGAATAAATACAATCAGGCCTGCAGCTTAATACAATTGATTACCAATGCTCAATACCATTGCATGTCAAGATACTGAATACTGTAATATCAAATATCAACAGCCAAACATCAAATGACTGGAAGGAAACATCAAGCTAACAAAAGATTTTGAAGAGGAAATTCATTTCAGCTGAATTCTGGGCTGTTTCTGTGGATGGTTTATCTTGATGGAAGCTGGAGATTGGTACTTCCTTCCCACCGGATGTAAAGATTATCTGAGTCTGCATTCCTGGCATTTCAGAACTCTCTGGCAAATTCACAGCCAGCTCCCAGAACGGAACAGAGCGCTGTGTCTAGGAGGGCTGGCTGAGTGACCCTGCAGCAGCCACCAATACAAAATTTGGATCTGGGCCATAAGTTTAGCGCTGTCTCCCATGCAGGCTTCCCAATGTGACCTCCATCGCACTCCAAACTGCTATGGGCTACAGTGTGAACCATATCATGGAATCAGTGTGGAAGGGAAACAAGGCATAAATCCATCCAGATTAAATCCT